AGCCAGTTGTCTAGACATGCATGATGGCAGTGAGCTGTAGCCAATGTGCATGCAGTGATGTCAATCACTGCTTCTGTCCTTCACTGTGTTTTATCAGTGCCTTTAAGAGCTAGGAAGGATTGTAATGTAGCTATTGCTTCAAACAATATACTTGCAGTTAAAGTGCATGTGAAGCAGTCATATTTAAAGAGATAAAAGATAAAAGAGATAAAGATAAAAGAGATCAGCTCTAATTGCAGGTCCATCTGTATAAAGCAAGACCCTCTCCATGGATGTTAGAGTACACAAAGGAGAGGTAGGTATGCAAGAGCAAGTGCTCTGCTTCATCTGCATCAAGGGTTTCTAAACACATTATTCTATGGTCAGTATTCACCTCTCAGATTATGACAAGTGTATTAGCATTGAAAATGCTCCACTAAGATATTCTGTTGTATCCATCAACGATTTTCTTTCCATTACATCAGACAGTATCATCATCACCATAAAAATCTACTATGCAGATAAGGGAACAGATTGTCACCTATATCTCTTTATGTCGCTATACTACTATTGTTTCTAAGCCATTTATTCATTACTCGGGAAAAAATATAGGTAACAACTAGTGGAAAGCTGCATGTACATACAAGCACTATACAGAAAACAAGCTTAGTAAGTCAACTTTCCATTCAACATGCATTAAAATAATAACAGTAATAAAATACAAAAGTTTAGTTCCTGAAAAGTTCCTGGAAAACCAGAACTAGTGATAAGCCTTGATTCATTAATGTCAGGCAGAGCTTAGTATCAGTTTTAGGAGGAGAGAAATTATGGTAGAAGGGGTTGCTTCTTATTACATGCATTATAACTGTTGCATGCTAGAGAAAGCCAGGGTTGTAGTCAACAGACAGGCAGCAGAGTGAAATTAAGATATATATTCAATGGATGCATTAAGCAAATTTTAAACATTGACACACACTTTAATGACTCATGATTCCTCCTTCAGTCATTACATTTGTATAGTTTCAAGATTTCAGACTGGTACTTACATTCTCTGTAGTAGTGCCACAAAATGAAGACTCCCTTCTGAGATTCCTTCTGAAAGAAACGTTTTTGTGGCAGTTCAGACTGCAGCATTTATAACAAATTACATCTGTAGTGAAAAGAACAGCTGTATCTGACCCATATAATAATCATTGCATATATTTTCCTCTCTGGAATGTCTCTCACAAATGGATACTTATTAATCTTTCACCCCCCTATTTACATCAAACTGTTGAGTAATTAAAAACATTTTAGAATATGTATGTATGTCAAAAAGACACTGACAAAATTAATGTAGGTATGATGATTTATTGCAGATTAATTTTAGCTTAATGAAACACATGCTGTCTGATACTTCAATTAACCCAGGCTTGTTTTCCTCTTACTGTACATTGCTTTAATTGTACGCAGAAAAAAAGTATTTTAGAGAAAGAAAAATATAAAATATGTAAATATAAAATATAAAAAAAAATATTTTTAAAATCTCCTTAGAAAGTGGCTATGGATAGAACTGGGAATACACCCCTAACAACATAATCTAAAATAGAATTTGTTTGAGTTTTAGCAGCTTATGGGCCTAATTTGAGAAATCTTTCTGAAAGTAGGGCACACATAAAACACAATGCCACCTAGATGACACAATTCTTTCTATCCTAGCTGAAGGATAAATATCAGGAGGCTGGATGTCAAAATCTTTACAGCTCACTATTTCCAGAGGATTTTCATCCAACCTTGGTCAAGTTATTACAAGATCTTTTCACTTAGATATGTCTGTGTCAGCTTCTTAAAAAAATGATTATTGCTCTTTATTTGGTTTGGGAAGCAGTGTGTGCACCAGCATCTTACAGTCCCCCAAGCTTTCATGTACCAAATACTTTTAAACTTCTGATATGACACTTCCAACTTGATGATATCTAAACATCCTACTCAAAACTGATTAGAACAGCATGTGTTAGGACAACAGAATGTAATGTCACATTCAGGTGTAAGCTCTGGCAAGATGCAACAAAAACACTCCTACAGTCAATGCTCTGATTCCTTTAATTTGCTGTAAATAAGAGAAAACTCTTTCCTTTTAATATAAGTCAGTAAACCTAAGATGAGATCATATCTTTCAATGCTACACCAACTCTAGTAATGTAGCAGCTGTTTTGCCACACATATATCCACTAGAAATAAATTAGTCTACCACACCTCTGACATCAATCATAGCATCAGCCTTCATAGAGGAAAATGTGAAATTGCTTACAGCAAAGAATCAGTTGAGTCAGAAAAATTCACTGCTAGGAATGTGATATAATAAATGCTACAGAACAACATAGAGGGTCTAACCTGCAAACAACCTAATAGAAATGTCTTGAGAATGATATAAAAATAAGGATACACTGCTAACAGAAGCAGGTTATCAGAATAGATAATTTGGACATTAAAAAATAAGAATTAAAAAAAAAAAAATCTGAAGAAACATCTCTGAGTGTTTCTGAAAGATCTGTACAAATTTGTGAGTAAAATCAAATACAATAGAAAGAAAAAAATGTAATGAGAGGCTCTTTAATCTTGGTATAGGCATACTCAAGGTGAAAAAAAAAAGAATAAATGAACAAGAGTAGCATGTGGATAGCAAGGAGGTGTGCATTCTTTCTCAAAGCATGGTTCATTTAATCACAATCAGTGTATTTGTGCTAAGTAGCTGAGTGACTAATGGTTATAAGACCTTACCAGCATTGCTGGAAACCACTAACTGCTAGTTGGGCAAATGCAAAATGTTTTAGCTTTAACTGAAATAAAGTTTGTAGCAAAACGTATTAGTTTTGGTTAGAGTAGCTGGTGATTAGCTGAAAAACAAACAAACAAACAAAAAAAACCAATGACAAAACAGAACCTGAATTCTATTAGATAAGTTAGTCTAATGTTTAAAGAAACTTGCTTGCAAGAGTCCAGATAAGGTTGTGAGCCACTGTTGAGCAGATATGCCTAATAATTACCTATAGAACTGAGAGGTCTGTGGGAAGTAGATGAGAGGTTAATTGTACATTATCAGGAAACCAGTATTTCTACTGAGAATGTGATTTATAATATCTGATAGATTTTATTTCAATGAGCCTATGAGAGTTTTTGTTGGGTAATGGCATGTTTACCTGGGGGCTGAAAGAAAGTGTTGGTGTTTGGTAGACTAGGCAAACAGACAGAAAGGAGAAAAAAGATGTAAAGAGCATCAGTAATTGCTGTTCTACCCTTGTGTGAGCCTGTAAACTCAAAAAGAGGGTCTAATGTGGTTAATCTGCCCATACTTTCTCATGCTAACTCCTAAAGAAAGTATGATTCTTTTTGACATTATCTCACATCTCAAAAAGGGATCTTTACATAGTAAAGTATTCGTAGAGCAACTCCTTCCTTGAGAGGAAATGCAAACTCATTAGCTAGTGATGAACTTAAAAGACTAAGGCGAGTGAGGCTAGTTATTATGAGCTGGAGGAAAAAAAACAAAACAAAACAAAAAAAATACAGATCTTGCAAGAAGAAGAAAAATATATGAATGGACTATCATGGACTATGGCATGGGTTTCCAACCTTTTAGTTTGCCTGAGTTGCAATGAGTGAGGAGGAGCTGTGTTGGGCTGTGTATAAAATGCATAATATAGTTCATGTGTATAACAAACACAACTTCTTATTTAATGCATACCTAATATTAAAACATAAAAAGAGAGAGAGTGAGAGAGCGCGTGCAACAAAAACTTAAGACTAGAGAGATATTTTACCTTGTTGTGAAACTGATGTAGTCTGGTTCGATGGCAATGGTTGCAATTCTTAGTGAGTTCTCACGGAGTTCGTAAGAGATTTTTGATGAAATTTTATTCTTCCCGTGCTTCGTCCCTGACATAATTGTTCACAAATGTACATGCTGCCAAAAAGCGGTGACATAAATAAAGTGTGACTGTGAAGTGGGGGATATTTCTTTCTGGTAAGAAAGGGCTTATGAAAGTCTGGTAAAGAGACAGCCCAGGCAGTTCTGATTGCACAGCAATGTTTGGTTGCTGTGAGTGATGGGAGCACACCCAGGGCCAGGCTGGGTCCCTCGGTGGGGCAGAGCTTCCGCCATGATGGTGTGGGGCAGGCGGCAGCCGCATGGCAGGCTGGGCTGGGCTGCATGCAGCCAACATTGACGTGGCTGGACTATGGTTTCAGTCACAATCACGAGAGCTTTTCCACTTCGAAATCAGCTTGCCACGCTGCATCCCAGCTGTCAAGCAGGCAAGAATAACTGCTAATAACAAGACAGTAGCAATGAAATGCTCATTTCTCAGATACAAGAATACACAAGAATGACCACTATTAATAAGCTTCAGCTTCGCTGTTGTTTTGTTTTCTCCTGTTATGAAGTTAGCTTAATCAAAGTCCGTGGTCAGCAAGCTGCAGCATACACTGATCAGTCAATGCCATCGTTCCCAACTGACATAACTGAGGCAAACATTCATCTGGCTGCAAGGAGCTGCAGCACCATGTCCTGTACCTGCACTCTCCTCATCCGACATTGACTTCATTCTGTGCTTAACGGCCTCTCTCCACAAAGTCTCACATTACCTGCAGTTCTTTGACGAAATATTGGAGCAGTTTCTTTTATGAAATAAGTTTGTGATAGGCTTTCCTTGGGCATCTTTTGGGGTATTTCCTTCTAAACTATGCCATCAGGGATTAGGAGTTGTTCCAGCGGGATTAGGAAGCCTGGAAAGGGCTCATCCTGTTACACGCTCAACAGCAACTGAAGTTAAAAATTTAAAGATTCTTTTTTCTTTTCTTCCCGTTTTTGCTATTGAGGTGGAGCGCTATCTTGCACTCCACCTCCGCTTCCTCTTGCTGGAGCGCAGAGCCGGGCGCAGCCCTACCCATGCCGCGACCCGCCAGCCCCAACACCGCCCGGCGCGAGCCGCCCCCAGCACCACCCCGCAAGGGGCGGAGTCCCGGAGCGGCCCGGATGCGAGCGGTGGCCGCGCGTGACGCCATGCGCTGCTCCCACCAATGCGCGGTCGCGGCGCTGCGTTTTGAACGTCGGGGATCGGCGCTAACCGCCCGGCTGCGCGCGGGGACGCTCTGCTGCTCGTGGCACCTCCGTGCGGGTGGCGGCCGGCGCCGCTCTCGGGTAAGCTGGTGCTGCGGCTGGGCCGGGCCGCTACGAGCCGTGCGGGGGATGAGGGGGAAGTGCTGCGACCGCGGCCCGCAGCCGGGGCTGCCATCTGCTCGGGGCTCCGCTGCCACCCGCCGCGGCGTGGCCTTGTGGAGCAGCTGCTGAATGAGCCCTTTGCCGTTCTGTTTGTAAAGGTCGAAGATGGCTGAGCATCTGAAAAAGCCCTTCAAAGACAGTCTGAGCGACATAAAGGAACGGATGAAAGAGAAGAGAAATCAGAAATGGATGACGTTGAGTAAAATCAGCCAGATCTCAACTGTGAAATGCAAAAGAGCAAGTGAGATACTTGAATATCTTAATGTATAGTTTTTCTAGGTTTTTGTGTTGTTGTTGTTTTTTTTTTAACCAAGTTGGAATGCACGCTCTTTTGTTGCAGCCACCACCTCTGTGAAAATGAAAAGCCTCCAGGCCAACAACAAGGCTCTGGCTCAGGCTTTGCAGGAAGAAAAGCTCAAACTGAGGGATGCTCAAGCTCTTATCCTACAGCTAAGGAAAGAGTATCAAGATCTGAAGTTTCAGATGTTTGACCTGCAAAGAAATCTTGCATTCAGGCAAGCACAAGGACTGGTTGAGGTACTTTAATCACATCTTTATAATTTGGTGAAGCTGGCTGTGATAATCAGTGCAAATGACCCAGTAATAGCTTTGCAAATTTAAACATTTCACAAAAATGAACTTAATGCATAGAACTTTCTTTGTAATCATAGTTAAAACACCTAATTACAGGTATTTTGTACAGTATCTCCAGAATTTAGTTATCTCGTAATATTGGTGAAAGGATATTACGTTATTAGCTGATACCTGAATATAACAGCAGCAATGTTGTTTTCCTTCTCTTGTCCATTAGACTAGACTGTCAGCCTTGAGTGAAATAATTTCAAAAGTTTCTCAGAATTTACTGGAGTCAGTTGATCTCCTTGGCCCAGTGAAGGATTTGTGTTCCAGAAGCGTAGTGAGTACCTTTTCCTCTCTGGGGACAGGGGTTTTCTGTGAATTCTTTCCCTTACTCCTTTGTGTGCCACTATGTTGCTTCAGTTTTTGAGATTTGAGGCTCAATTTGGAGGTCAGAGTAGTACCTCTGTGTGGGTGTGTAGCAGGACTGAGGCTGTGCTGTAGGGTGAGAGGTGCACCCTGATTCCCTATGGCTTTGTTTCTTCCTCCCTGTATCATCCTCGCAGTTTCTTCCCCTGTCAACTATGTATGATTGGGTTACAGGTTACTGTTGACTTGATGAAACTGAGTGAGTTCCTGCAGTGTTTTATGTCAGCCAGTCAGGAAGCAAATAAAAGCAACCAGGAGTCCTTTTGGCTCTTCTGTGTGCAATTGTGCTACATTCTAAAATCTTTATATGGCCCAAGCTTATTTCAGCTGTTGAGTTAAAGTAAGATTTATTTTCTCCACAGAACCAGAGAGCGCGTACTTCAGTGCTTGAGAATAATTCCAGTGACATAGGAGAAAGACGTTCTGTGTAAGTATGTTTTGTTAATAGATGTTTATATTCTAAAATGCCATTAGAGTAAGTTTAATTTTGTGAGAAAGGGGAAGAAATTCTATGTAGTAGTTGCAGTTCATTGTTATAAAATATATTGTTATTCAGTAAGTGTTACCTTTGGTATTTTTTCCAGAGAGCTTCCACTGCCTGCTGATGGAGATGATCAGGTACTTCAGTGTAGGTTGGAAGCTGATTGTGAGAAAAGTGAGCTGGGTCATTCCGTGTTCAAGACCTGTCAGGAACTTGACAATGACACTTCCTTAACCAAAATAATTCCAGACAAAGGTAAACAAATTGAAGTATTTGGCATTGCTCTATTCAAAAGGAGGGAAAGCATGTGTGAATACAAGTTTAAAACTGAATTACTGCTTTTGATGTAATTGGCAAGTAGTTTTCATTTATTACTATCTGAGCTTTACAATATTGGCTAGCTGGTAAGCTTTTTGAATGAAGATGCATAACAAAATAGGGGGTCAGCTTGAAAATGCTTTTTCTTCCATATATCTGCAACCTAGTTTCATTTATCTACCAAACAGTTGATCAGAGTAAATTAATCTTCAGACATGCAATTAAAAAGTCAACAACTGTAAAAGTGTAAAATAATTGGAGAAACAAAAGACCTGTGGGTAACCTCTCCAAATAAAACAGTACAGGGAAATCCTGATTTTAGTATTCCTAACTGCTTTCTGTCTGGAGATTGTATTAAACATAACTTATCCTAATACATAGCAATCAAGATATACAAATCTATTGAGAAAATTCTAAGATAGTCATAATTTTTGACAGATTAAGAATTTGAATAAAACCTCTTTTATTGTTACTATTTAGCTTTAATGTGACTCTTTCTTTTCAATTATGAGGGCAAACATCTGATTTTCATGTGTACAACATTGCATCAGTCCTGGGAGATGTTTCTTCAAGCGGAGAAGATGGATTTGGTAATATGTTAACAAAGAATGTGTCTACCAGGCGTCGCTGTTTGAAGATGACAAATAGAGATGAACTTTGCACTGGTGTCTTGGACCACTTGGAAGCATCTGATCCAGCTGAAGAGCCTTTTAAACAGGATGAAATCAGGCTTGAGAAAAGTCTAAATGTGTGTACTGTGGAAAACATACACTCAGGTATTTCTCAGGTGGACAAAGTAGGTTCAGAGCTGGTGTTAAGGCAGATGGATTCTGAAACTGCAAAGGTCAGTTCAGGCAACAGTTCAGATCTTAAACAGCGTGCATGTAAAAGCAGAGAAGACTCTCAAGTAAGGAGAGAGAAGGATCAGAAGGTGAAAATGGGAGGGACTAAAGATACTTCCAGACCAAGGTCAAAGAAAAGACAAGGTAAAGAGACTTGCAAAGAAAAGTTGGACAACTTGAGTGGTTCCAGTGATGCTTATGATTTTAATTTTGAAGAGAGCGTCCATGTTACACCTTTTCGACAAAATAAGGTGAATGACAGAGATACTGATGTGAGTGACAAAGAAGAGTCATCCGAATCAAATAGCATCGAGTTGAGTGATACTGAAGGAGATTCAGATGATAGCCTTTATGTACCTTATAAGAATAAACCAAAAAAAAGGAAAAGTTCAGTGGACGAGACGGGTACATCACCAATCCATGTGAGGCCAAGGTCTAAAAGATGTCTGGCACAGCGTGAGCAGAAACTCCATAAAGAAGAGACTGAAAAAAAGACTGAAATCAATAAATCAAGTGAAAAGTCTATTAGTAAGTTTGTAAAGTGCTCTGTAATTGTTTCATTGAGCTTTATTCCAGAGATCTAGGCTATTTATGTTTTTAATGGAAACAGAATAATGTTGCTGACAATAATTGGATTCATTCTTTCGTCCACCTTTTTCCTCACAGCAGAAATTGAACTTAAAGATAAGTTTTGTTTAAGAAATTGCACAACAATGAATTAACATTGTATTTTAGTTGTATTTCAAGGTGTACTAAAGCTGAGTCTGAAAAAGGGAGATCAAAAGCCTAATCTGGGAGACTGAAAGATAGAGATGATAGTTATAGCTGATTTTCTTCGTATCTATTCTATTCATTGACACTGTCTGTTAAGATATGTTTCCCTGAGTTGTCTTAAACAACTTTTGATGAAGTACGAATAACTTTCTTAATTTTTTTTTTTTTTTTTTTGCAGGGCAACCTTCTAAGTCATTTCATGGTCATCTCTGTGATGTTACTAACATTGCTTCATCACTCCTAAGCAAAGGGAATGTACCCGTTGGCCCTGCAGGTGAAAGATCACCATCTCCAAAACGCAAACGAAGAAGCTGTACACTTACTGTGAACTATAAGGAACCAAGTATTATAGGGTGGGTGTTTTTTCAGTCTGATATAAAGTTAATTATAATCCATTAAATAAATGATTTAAGAGGGGTACTTAAATACTGTTAATAAGTTCTTAGCAAAATATTCAAAGGAGTCTGTTGGCAGTAGTGTGAAATAGTTGATGTGAAATTGAACTTACTAATGGGAAGATAATTTTTTCAGTAAGGAAGGAAAGAGAACTCAAGCTGCTTTTTTTTTTTTAAAAAACAGGAAACTTAGAAGAGGAGATCCATTTACAGATGTATGCTTTCTGAATTCTCCAATTTTCAAGCAGAAAAAAGATGCTAAACGCAATTCCACTAAGAAGAAATCTCTTTCAAAATATAATGAGAAATTTGTTGGTGGTTGTTGAGATCTTCTGTGATGCTAACAGAACTATGAAGAGAGGAAATCCTTCAGCCAGCAAACTTACACTATACAGTTATCTCTAGGTGTCTAACTGGATATAAAACAAAGTGGGTTTTGGTTTTAGTCAAGTGACTTATTCTTAAGGATGTGAGAGATGTAATTACTTTCATAACTAGGGTGATTCCACTTAAAGTCTTTTGGAAGACAACCTACTTTGTGAATTTGTAAATACATCAGAAATATCTGAAAAAGATGATGAGCAAAATTTTCTGTCTTAAATCCTGTTTCATCTGACTGGTTGGCGCAAGTGAACTTCAGGTACTTAAGTTCAAATGTTATCCATGTTTGTACAGATCTTATTTATGTAACATTTTCATATTGAAGCCTATAATAAAAGTGTTAGTGTTGGAAAGAAGAGTTGGAGTCCTTTTTACAGGGTTTCCATAGTTGCTTTGAAGGGTAGCAGTGTCACCTATAGACAGAGTGAAAGCCAGTGCATTCCTTTCCTCCTCTTCTCATATTGAGTATGCTTGGAAGTAACACTGTCAATTGTAATTCAGTTATGTTGCATGAGCTTTCAAAAGCTTCAATTCTAGTTGTTACTTCTATAAACAGAAGTTAAACTTAATTTGCTTTGTTCCTAATCTTACTTGGTTATCTGCAAATGTTGTGAAGAGCTTTCTGTTTTGGGGACTGGGAATAAACTGTAAGCCAGAGTAATGAGCTTTACTGTTATGTACTTCAGAATTCTGGTCTTTCTGTGGAAGAACCTTTACCAGAGGAAAACTTAGTATTTGATACAACAATTGACAGAAAGCTAGAAAAACTTAGCTGGAAGGAAGCTATCCAGCAACATTTCACTGTTCTATAGTGCTTAAAATATAGTGCATTTCTTCACTGCAGGAGCATTTAAAAGTGTTAATGGATACATTAATGAAAAGAGGAAAGCTGCATTCAACATAAGTAATGGAAAGTACAAAAATACAGGTTCTTTACTTGCTCTGCAAGGTTGCCTATCTTGCCTGTCCTGCTTCAATAGTTATTAGTGCTCTCCTCTTCTGTGATAAATGTAGTGTTGATTTACTGGCAACATTTTTATATAATCAAAACACTAAACACATGATGAAAACACTAAATCTCTTCTGAATGCTACTTACTGCCTTATGGACCATATGCTTTTATGTTACTGTGTACTTCCCAGTGCCTTGTATGCTGATACTTCATAAAGGGCTCTAGTGGACATTTAAAAAAAAAAAAAAATGCTTTGAGACTCACTTGGTTTTTCAAAGAATTGTTTGAGTCCTTAAAGAGACTGGGATAACAGCACTGTAGCTCAGCTAATGGGAAGCTGGGAATAGGTGAAATACTTGGAACCTTCACCTCTCTCCTTACTTTCTCATCTCAGCTTTGTATACTGTAGTCAATTAAATGCTCCTGATAAGCTTTTTGAATAGATTCTTTCAACTGCACATGAAAATGCATTGACTGCATTCTTACAGATTCATGGTACTCAGTTGTGAAATTGCTTCAGTGTGTATATTTGCAATGCAGGAACTAAAGAAAAAGAAGAAGAGACCAAGTAAGGTTTTGTACATATATAATTTAAAACTATTCTGTACCAATACAATATATTAATTTTACAAATGTAAAATTCATCAGCTGTTAAAGCATTTGCAAAACCACATTCTACTGTAACTTTATTGCACAGTATCTATGAAAATATTAATTCTTAAATTAGAAAACAAATGTTTCAATATAGAAGAGACAATCTGATTGAAATACAATAAGAAAATCTACTCTGAAAATAACAAAATTTCACAGGATACTGAGCTTACAGGTACACCTGTAGGCCCAATCTACAAAACCGGATCATAGCATCTGGTACTGGCTAGTTAAAAAAAAATTCTTTGTACCTTAGTTATAGATCCAAATGTAGGTCAGACTAATCTCATGTGAAACACTGTGGCAATTCTAGTGTTAACGTTTTGAATACCTTGTATATACCACATTTACTACCAGATAGTTCCTTAACATCTACTTAACTGCTTCAACATTGCACAGGTATTTTGCAGGAATATATTCCTTGATGCAGCACAGGGTGGGGTTTTTTCAGCCTTATAACTACTGAATGTTACCAGTGTATCATCTGTAAATATAAAACACTAAGACTGAGAGTTAAGTTTGTTTTTCACAAAAGCATTATAGTTACAAACTCTGATTAGAAAATGTCAAGTGATGACTTTTTGGCCTGTCCTATCTCAATTAGAGAAGTTAGAAGTACCTCTTAAATGTAGTGTAGGCAGCAAAATATATATATTACATATGTGCTCAGTTTGAAGATATGCTAATATGAGTTGTAAAATGTTAATATGCTCCTGGGTCTAAATAATCACAGTTAATAAGTATTTACAATAAAGCTTGGTAGAAAATCCAGTTTACCACAGAAGCAAGTATATAAGATTGAAGCTGAAATACACTGACTTTTGTGTACAATAGTCTTGTCTCTGCTGAATAACCTGAAGAATTTATGAGTGAAGAGTATTATATGGGGTGGATCATGAAGTGTATCAAAACTTTAATGTCTTTAAGCCAATTAAAATTAAATATAGTATAATTAAATTGGAGCCTTTAAAGATATTTTGAGTACTTATGTCCGGCATAAGTTATTATGACATTACCTATCTAGTCTGATTTTTTTTTTTAATTATCTCTTTTAATAGTGGTTATGAGATTACAATTTGCAGGTTAAATATTTATTAAAAAAAAAAAAAAAGGAATAGAAAAACTTGTATCTATCAAATATTGTAGGCAGTTCTTGTTTGGAACTGGCTGTTCTCTTGCAGCTTCTCAACCAGCTGAGTGTTTCTTTTAAAAAATAATATATTATAAAAAGATCCTACAATGAAATAAGTGTCTCAGATATTCCCTCCCTCCCTTTGTTCTCCCTTACTGTGTTTTCTTTTTAATGGGGAAAAAAATCATAAAGTTTTTCAAGTAGTTACTGCATTAGATAAGCCACAACATTAATTGTCTGGGAATTTTCTTCAGATTCCCAAACAAGTCCAACTTCCCATATTTTGTAGTTTTTCTGATGCTGGGAAGGTTATGATGAACATACGGTAGTGGGAACACAAAAAAAATCAATAATTAAATACATTATAAAGCATTTTAATAAAATAATTTTTGTAACTTCATTATAATACATGTTTGCAAAACTGAAAGGGTTTTTAAAAGTGCTGATCATTAAACAGAAGTTTTTCAAAACCTTATAGTCCCACAACTCAGATATATAATGGCTTCCCCTGCCCATAAAGTAGGCACGCTGATTGGTTTGGTTGTTTAAAAATAAAAGAAAAGTGTCACTTATCAATCAATCCGGCTTCTTTAATTTTTGTATAGAAGAATTTCTCCAGTATATTGGCACATTTGTAGTATTCACTCTCGGGGGGGTTGTACTCTCTGCAATTTGTAAAGACTCGCTGCAAGTCTGCCATGAATAATTTCTTAGACACGTAGTACCTATTCTTGAGTCGCTCACTCATTGTTTTGAGATCTGTACAGGAAAAAAATAGATTAACAATGTTTGATTCAAGCAGAATTTTATGCAATATCCCTTCATGTTGATGTGCCTCTTGACATGAAATGGTGAAGCTACAGTTTGCCTTATTTCTAATTGTGTTAGTCTAAGGCCTATTCCATTTTTAGTTTCAACAAGACCAGGTGAGCCCCTGGCCCTAAGCAATATTTTACTGTAAGAACAATTTTGTGTAGAGTTTATTTTTAATTCTTCAAAACTCATTCTTGTCTGTTCTCATACTTGTCTTGAGTTTCCTCAAGTGGGTGTGAAGTGTCCCTAACTCTCCACTAAATGTTCTGTGAGGCAAAGCTGTTGTGAGCTCTGCTGGAGAAGACCTGAGGAGCACACAAGTAAAGAGTTATGATGATATCATGCAACACATGTTAACTTAAAATCCTTATTTCTGTACAAACGCAGAAGAGAACAGGCATCAGAAAAGCAAAGAGAAAACTCTGCCAAGGGATGTTACTCAATGTTCTTTTTCTTCATTGCTAGAAAATACATTTGTGTCAGGGACTGAGGAAGCTGGCTGCTATTTTAGTAAGCACACAAATTGGTACAAACAGGCCAGGAGTCTATACAAAGCAACACAAACACTGTTCCACTAAAAGGATTGATAGTAGCCTGCAATGAACTTGTATTTCAATCTCTAATAACATTAAAAGATACAGAAGTCAGAAAGATGGAGGTGAGCACTGCATAAATAATGAAGGAATACCAGGATTGACTTTCAAGTCTGCTGCAATGGCAATCAAAACAATCTATTTAGAATAGCACTGAATCATTATAGAGGTTACATGACAGCAGTCAAAAGCGAAGAAAACTGCTCTCAATTTTTGTGTACTTTCCTTTGCAAGTAATCCCGCATAAACAATAGCTGCATAGGGGAAAAAAAATATAGTTCTGGCATGTCTAAAACACAAAGATAAAAGTTACAAGAAATGATTCATATTGCAGTTGAATAAAGAATTTTCCTAAATTTAAATTGAAGCAAGCAAGCCCTTTGTTAAGGGTTGAATCGAAAACTCTTGCACTTCTGATGAAGTCTTCTCTATGGGATTCAGAAAGTTTAAATCTAGTTTTCAAAGCAATTTGAACAGGTGTTCTTGAAAGTTTGCTATCAGACGTTTTAGCATAGCAGTAGAAACTGCAATGACCAGTTACCACACAAGAACTGTTCAGACAAGTCCCATAAACCAGCTAAATCCCAGAGGGTTTGAGATGTGTGCATCTTTTAAGAGCTTCACGGTGAGTCTCTAAGGGCATACTGAGATTTCACAGGAATACTTCATGAATGCTTCAGAAAGATCACAGACTAGTCAAATTTCAAATGACAGTTTCATACTCTTAGCACTTGAGAGCTGCAAGTTATTCAGCTGTAAATAATGTATCTTTTAACACAAAACAATCAGATTACAATTTGTCTGTTATGCCTCTAGCTATAAAGATTTTTAAATGCTATACTTAAAAAATGTTAATGGCATTACCCATGGGAAACCTTATAACTTCATAATATCCAGGAGCTTCTGTTCTCTTCACAGGTTCCATGAAGGGCCAAGCGCTTTGATGGCTCTTTGGTAAAAAAAAAAGTAAGGTATCTAATATGGAAACTCTATATTAGAAATTATTTAAAAATCTTTATAGAAGGTAAGCTAGAACGAGCACTCACCTTCACCTGCTGCAGGATGGTTTTTAATGTGCTGTAAAGTTGATCTGGATCCTTGGGCTCTTTACTTGAAAGAAAATATTAATACGAAAAGATTAGTTTGAATCCCAGATCTTCATCCCAGAAAGTGCATCATATCTAAAAGCTATTCCAAAAATTCAAGCAAAATAAATAGTAAAACAAAAATCTTAAGAACACATCCCTGACAGATTGTTTATGTTTCCCAACAAATGGAAGGAAACGTCAAATGACATTATTGAAAGACTTTTCTCAAAGGAATCTCAAATGCACTTCATTCTTCTCTGTGCAGCACTTACCCTCTTTCTTTTCCGCTTGGTTTCCAGCCAGTCTCTCCTGTACACCAACAGCATGAGAGATTACATGAGAACTACAGTAGGTCAAAACATTAACTGAGTTATGGCAACTCTAAAAATATAAGCAATTTCAGCACTGTCATAGCAAAATAGGTTAGTTTTCATAAAAGCTACTTCTAATAAGAAATGCAACAACCTAACTTAGAGCCCCATTCAATTTTCTCATGACCCTTCTTCCAGACTGCTGAGAAGATTCTAAATTATTATTTTGTGATATACCCATTTGTAAAAGTAATTCAATACATATTTTACCATAACCTCTGCAAAGAAAAAGATAGAAGGTTGTTCAATTTGATTCCCTAAGAAAATAGAATAAACTGCAGAAAAACAGTGCTGAGCAAATAAAAAAGAAGAAAAAAAAAAAAAAAAGAAAAGATACTTCAATGTCCTGAATCTACTTTGTCCTGTTCTAAGTCCATGTAAGTCCATATTTAGCACAGAATTCAATTTTATTCAGAAGTGCAGTGCATCAGTGATGACATCGAAATTGCTGACTACACTGTGATATAAATCAAAGATGGATCTGATGTAAATCAAATTAAACAAGTACACAAAAGAGCATCAGCCTCGGATGCCTTGAGGAAGTACTGAAAATATCAGCTGTAATGGAAATGCAATAATCTTCATTGGAATCAAATTAACAGACAAAAATCAATTGCATATTAGTAGAAAATAAATAAGTGATTGTATTAGTATTTATAATCTGGGATATTTCTTGGGTTGTTCTGCTTCTGTTCTACATTTCAAGAGGTTGATACATACTAATTCCAGGGATGCTTTCTATAGGAATCTGTCGTACTCCATCTTTGAAGCAAGAAAGGCCAGGATAAACTTTTCGAATCTGAGCTTGTTTCCTTTCTATGAGCTTTTTAATGATCTGTAATAAAGAAGCAGAGAAAACAAAAAGAGTTGATGTGCTTCAAAGTAACAAAGAACTGTGATGAGCAAAAAAAACCCACTAATATCCTGATCTTATGGTTCTTACAAATACGAGCAGCTAACAGAGGCAAGATACCTGGCCAAGCACTAATTCTGTAGATGAGTTTAGTAAGTCTCTCAGATGTCTATTTAGGTGCAAGTCTGGAGAAAAGGAGTCATAGCTCACTGATCACAGCCTGCAAAGCTCCTGGGCAGGTGGCACATGTAGGGAAGGAAATTTCCTGGAAGTTGTTGGAGAACTGCCTCTAACTCCAACATCTGGTGCTTGGGAACTATTTCCACACATCCCGGTCAGAAATTTCAAGACACATTTGTTTTCATATTGCAGTATTTTAGAAGTATCTGGAGATTTCAAAGCCTGCACGTAAATGCAGGATTTGCTTAGATATTAGTCAGAGATGTTCTTACTGAAGACTTTACCTCTAGGAAGTCAAAGTTGATTCTACTCTTCAGAACCTAAATTCTACTTGTAAATGACAAAAAAAGGCTTCCCCAGACCAGATGGTGTGAGCCTGTAACTGTATTACTTCTATTAGGCATGTCTAAGAGAAGCTACAGTAGCAAACTACAAGAGATAAGTGTTACATGCCCACCCAACAACATCCCATCCATGAGGAAATGATGAGTCCAAAAGAACACTGGAATCTGAAGAGTAACCCAAACAAACAGATAAGAGGCAAAAATAACTATTTGTGCTATATGGACTTTAGTTATCAAAACCTTCCCAGTAAGTTTTTTTTTTGTTGTTTTTTTTTTTACTGGAATCATACAATAGCCAAGTTGAAAAGGACCTCTTCACAGCACTATCTAAAAATCAAACCCTATGTCTGAGAGCATTGCCCAAACACTATTGAGCAGCTTGGGGCTGGGACTACTGCCCCGGGGAGCCAGTTCCAGTGCCTGACCACCGTCTGGTAAGAAACCTTTTCCTGATATCCAGTGTAATTTTCCCCTGAAGCAGCTTCATGCTATTCCCTTGGTCACCAAAGAGAAGAGATAAGCATACTAAATGCATAACCCTCAGATTCTTTCTTTCTTTTTGTCACCACAGGCCAAATAGTTCTACTGGAAGGAAAATGATTGTTCCACAAAGAAGCATTTTAGCAAATGCTTTAGAAGTGATGAGATAAGACTATCCTTGGAAGAATAAAGTTAGCCTTGCAATTTCTATTTCTTTAAATGTCTAGGGAGGTATTTAAACACAACTGGAAATGTCTTAATTATTTTGCTTATGAATTGTTATTATGTTGAAATCTATGATTCACTAATATTAACTTCAAAAAGGGACAACCTGGAATTTAAGAAAACCCAGTCTAGATTTGTCCATTAAAGAATTAAAATTTTAATATATCTTAATGAATCAATTCAGTTATTAAATACAGCTCAAAATATCAGTACTTTTTTAATACTTAAATTGCAGAAGTACGTGACTGAGACTTGAAAAAAAATTACTTAATTGAAAAATATACACTCTAAAGCATCAAAGAAAATGAGAGAAAATTTGATACTAAATTTAGAATTGGTTCTAAACAGTGTTCCTACATGGCTTCTGACCATCTAAACAGATGACAATATTCAGTGTTTCATGTCAGCTTTTACCTCCTTTTGTTTCTTAATGATGACCGAAAATTCTGTGTAGGGAATCCTTGGATTTAATTCACATCCCATTAATGTGGCACCCTCATAATCTTTGATGTAGCCAACATATTTTGCTTTTGGTACTTTAATATCTTTGGAAAAACCCTGAAAAAGAAATAAATTGAAGTTGTCATTACACAATTTTCTTTTTATGTATTTTTAAATGAAAGAGCTCTGATAATTTATAACCAAATCGTAACTTTATATATATATGAACATATACTGATATGCTGCGGTGTTCATGTAGTTAAAAAAAAATAAAGTGAAAAAGAAACACAATAGAATCAGTGTAAGACTTTCATTTGGGCTCCATTTCATTCTTTCATTGCAGTGGTTTCTATAAAACCTTGGTAAAAAACAGGAAGCCAACCAGGAATTCTGCCTCACCATTTACAGTCAAAGCCTTCAGTCTTACCTGGATACTGAGGAACTTCAAACTTGGGAAAGGATATTTCAGAGGCAAAAAGGAGTCTGTCCGCATAGGTCTTATAGTAGAATCACAAGCTTACAATTAATTCATTCTGAATGTGTAAAGAACAAACTCAGTGTTGTATATTTAATCATAGAATAAATGGGAGTGGAAGGGACTTGTGGTGGTCGTCAGATCAGGCTCTTCAGTGCTCTCTTCAGTGCTCTGTCCAGTTTTGAAGACTGCCAAGGACAGAAAAGTTCTACAAACTCTTTGGGCAACATTTTTCACTTCACCTTCCTTACAATATAAAAAGTAAAAATAAAACTCCTTATGTCTAGTTGCAGTTTCACACTATGCATATCTAACTACTCTGTCTGCTTATTCAGTTCAATCACTTCTAGAAGTAAACTTCTTGCATCAAGTAATTTCTTAGTGTGACTTACTTGTTTTTTGAAGTAGCCAATAGCATATTCATCTGCGTATGTGAGAAAGTTGAGAATGTTGTGTTTGATGTGGTACTCCTTCAAGTGGTTCATCAGGTGAGTTCCATAACCCTGTGTGAAATGTAGGAGAAAAAAAACAGTTTGACACCTTTGGGGACTGCAAATATTAGACACTGTAAGCCAATAGTTATTATAAACTGGTTTACAAAATGAAGTACTTCCTCTATATCCTGTTTTAAAAATTTTGTCATAAGTGACTTAGTGAGGTGTACTCCGGACCTAATAGTTTTCAGCCTTGTAGGAATATCTTTGTGACCCAGCAAGGAACACAAAACATTGCAGCTTCTGATGCCTGATTCACTTTTAATCTAGGAGAGCCCCAAACCTATTCTCTCTCTAGGGGTAGATAATAGAATTATAGAATCATAGAATGGCCTGGGTTGGAAAGGACCTCAAAGATACCTGGTTTCAACCCACTTGCCATATGCAGGATCGCCAACCACCAGACCAGGCTGCCCAGAGCCTCATCCTGCCTGGCCTTGAATGCCTCCAGGGATGGGGCATCCACAACCTCCTTGGGCAACCTGTTCCAGTGCGTCACCACCCTCTGGGTGAAAAACTTCCTCCTAATATCTCACCTAAACTCCCCTTTCTCAGTTTAAAACCATTCCCCCTTGTCCTATCACTATCCACCTTCGTAATCAGCCATTCCTCCTCCTGTTTATGTGCTCCCTTCAAGTATTGGAAGGCCACAATGAGGTCTCCCCAGAGCCTTCTCTTCTCCAAGCTAAACAAGCTCAGTTCCTTCAACCTTTCTTCACAGTAAAGTGTGCCTCAAAAGGGGTACATTGTCTTGAAAGGTGTAATTCAACATGCAAAAAGTTTTTCTTCTTTCAAGTTACCATCTACTAAAAGAAACAAAATTACGTATATTGTAATAATAAGGCATCCTGTCTTTGTCACATCACTTAAAATTTGCAAGACAGAGGACTGCCTCACCAACTCCTTTTAGAGAAAACCATTCTGGCCTCTCTTCTACTGAGTTCTGTGTATCTATAGCAGAAACAGCCTCTTCCTTCATCTTTCATTCTTTCAACTTTGATCATGTGGCATAAAAGGGAATAGTGAAATAGCTATTACCACAATAAGTAGTATAAAAATAAATAACTATGCCTTCTGACTGCACACAGAAAAAAATTTCATTTTCATTCAATCCCAAAGTTAACAAAAGTTTCCATTTATTCACACTTTCAAGTGAGCTATAGTCTTCCCTTTCTGCTGTGAGAAAAAAAAAAAAAAAAAAAAAAAAGACAGGAAATCCCATAATAATGTGTTGTTCCTCCACATGTTCAAATATTAATGTCTTGGAGAATAACTGGATATGTTCACAAATGTACATAGAATGTTTTTTAATACTGTTCTTGAAAGCTGGGGAAAAAAAATATTTATGTAACTAAGAAATGTACATTAGAAAATATGTACTTATGACTGAAAATTTAATAGCCTTGAACATGAGAACAGTCAGATAAAAGCAAGTTAAGTAATTGCTGACATTCAAAACAAAACACAGCGATACACTAGTAGTGAAAATGTAGTGACATACACTCTTGAAAAATGTACCACTCCAGGCACAAAATTAGTGCATTTATCTTTCCTTTCCTGATATTGTTCGGAGCATCTGTTATTCAGACCTCATATTGAAAATGAAGATGTTGTGTATGAAAAAATAAATAATACTGAGTTTGAGGAAGCTCTTAGAGCAGAGTAGTCATTTGTTAAAGCAGCAGATATTGTGCACAGCATTAATTACAAAGTAGCTTTACAACTGATGGCATGTTAAGTGGGATAGCATTTCTTAGAAGTGCTGAAAATAATGAAGAGACTTTCTAATTGCAAATTTCATAACTCTGCACAGGACAGGATGTCTCAAAAATTTTAAAGAAAAACGTTTTAATTAAGTGCAAGAAGTACACAAGCCACCCAAGATTTTCACTTCCCTTCTCATCAACAGGGTGCAAGAAACAGTGTGTGATACATTTTACTTACAACTTGAAACATTGCAATTCATTCTAATAATCCCAAAGCAGCTGATCTCTAACACTAATTGTCATCTTTTTGTCTCCAAGAAATTCCAGAAATTATGATGACAATTAGTTCAAATATTTTTAGTTGACTTATTATTTTTATAACTTTCCTAGCATTTATTTCTTCTCACAAATGCTTGCTAAAGTCCAACAATACTAATGAGAAACAAAGTCACGTACAATACAATTTAAAATAATTTCATAATACAGCATCAATCTAGTTCAAAACCAAATTAACTTTTAAAGATCACGTACAGAACAGTATCCATATTTCTTACTCCAGCACAAACTGAATTAAAATGTGTTTATTTTTCCCAAGAGTTTGCAGTGATATACCCGTGTGAACATTTGTTTTTTCTCACTTATCTGCTGCTAGGGGTTATCTTACTTAGAAAGGAATGTGAGAAGGCCAAAATTAAGAAATAGTCAACTGAACTCCACAAACATTGAGGTGCCCAAAGGGTAACAGAAGAAACTGTGCATTATGTATGCATTTGCAACCTAGGTAGGCACTGTGAGGAACCAGATTTTTGCCCCATTATATTTGGAAAGGTTAACCCTTGAGAATCACACCAAATATTTGGCAGCTTAATTCCTGTAGCACATTTTGAATGCTTGAGTTTAATTAAAACACTTTTTATGAATTATTTAAGCATAGAATAAACATACCTACAGCATGCTCTGTTACTGTTCATATACAACACTTTGAGTACTTTTTTATATACTACTGTGACCATGCAAATGTTAACCTTATGAATTCAAAGAATGTCATAAATTCAAATATAATTCAAGTACTAAAAGTTGTCACAGGCTTTCACACAGTTTCTGCTTGTTCATCTGCTAGAAACTCTAAATCAATCCATATCTCAGCTTTAAGAATTTCAACTGAAAAACATATAGCTACAGCACCATCTAAAGGCAAAATCTTGAACCAAATACTCTCAGTAAGATTTACCTGTAATCCTGGCGAAGGGGAGCAGAATCTCCTATATATTTATAGTGCTTTACATCCTCCCAAAATTACTGTTCAACACTGAGAACATTTTGTAAACTGGACTCAAAAATAAGTAAGCAAAATAGTGTATGCTTATTTTGAGTTGTAAAACTATACCTAATTTAATCAATATACCTGATTTTCATTGATGCTGTGTAACATCACAAAGTGATTGAACATAAATTACAAACACATGCAAGCCATACTTATTTCAGCCAACTGTGAGGTGTTATGCCACACTGAGAGGCAGTTGCTGAGGAAAAAGGTGAATAATCCAAGAATGGAAGAAAAATTACCATTATTTTTGTGTTGAGGAACGTGTCTTTTTTTCTTAGAAAATGGTCCTACTATTATTCTGATGATTTTAAATCTGCACAATTATTTAGGTTTTCTATGGTACATTGAGAATTACTCTATCTTTCAAATTCGATTTCTGTTTGGTAGCTCAATATATTCAATGTGACTACAAAATTAGGAGTATATGTGTGGTAAACTGAACTCATATGCATTTAATAAACTCTAGTGGATAGTTAATTTTACCTTGACTTGCTCATTGGAAGTCACAGCACAGAAAACGATCTCTGTAAATCCTTGGGAAGGGAACATTCGGAAGCAGATACCGCCAATAACTCGACCATCTTTTATTAATGCAAGAGTCTTGTGTTTCCTGAGTAGATAAAAATAACATTCATTTTAATTCACATACATAGTACATAATGTGCCATTATTTTCCTTTTTTCAGAAACTTGATTCACTTCTTTCCATGCTGCCACTGCAATTGTATATGCCTCTGTTAAGATATCTGTTTGTATCTACTGAAGAGTTTCTATCTTAACATCATGCTTTGAATTTACCATAAAATTCATCATTATGCAGCATGTCCTAGCCTTGCCAAGCACTCCTACATACTAGAGTACTCCTATTAATAAGAATTATATTGCTTTTGTAATATTTGACAATATTACTGACAGTTGTGCCATTGCATAGTTCTCAGTATGATCTTAGCCTGCTTAAATTAGAAATTAATGGAGATACAGGACAGCAAGTCCTTCCTAAAGGATTCCTGTTTTCTTGCATGTACTCTGAATAGCTGTGCTATCAGTTTCCAACACAGTTGATCAAGCAATAAATGACACTTCATATTTCTAATCTAATTCCTAGTGGAATGGAGACCAGAATAAATATCCATTTCTGTTGCACTTACACTGAATGCCAGGAAAGATAAAGCAAGGCACAATCTGAACTCTCACATCAAGGACCAAGAATTTTAGCATCATCCTCAAGGTCTGGAAAGATTTGCACTGCAGCTGTTCTCTAGCTTATTCAGTACACAGTATAACATAAATTGTATAAACAATACTGTAAATTCAGAGAAGATATCTTTGGTGTGAAGGAAAGTTGGTGCCAAAAATGAGCCTCTTCCAAAAAAGGTCAGTCTGAAGAGTACTTGCATTATAAATGCCACTGTCAAAGAAGAATTAATATGTTGTACATATTCTTTTATTTATCTTTATTTTAGTATTTTTTATTTGTAGAATGACAGTGTGTAGTAGCTTGCATTTTTAATTTTGTTTCTTCGTGTTTGAGTTGTTGAAAAAAGATTTAGTAAGGATGACCACTTTGGAAATAAGAACAAAATAGATCACAATTACATTAACAGCTGAAAAGTCTTGGGAAGAGAACAGTTAGACTCCACTACCTCCTATTGGATGAGGTTTGTGTCTACCCACTGCTCAGTGTAGGTCTCCAACTAGTGTCCCAGGACATCATGGCAGATACTGGGTTTCTCAGCTGTCCAAGCTATTCATTTTCCTTCCTGTGGGTCAACTGTTCAAAAAATGCACCAAGGGGAGCAATATTTTTGCTGCAGCAATATTTATATCTCTTTCTCAAGCACGTCTGCTCTCCAGCTATATCCATACTGAAGAGCACTTTGACAACGAGCAGTTCCTATCAACCTACTAGAAGAGTCTTTCCCAATAAAAAAGGGCCTTTATTCTGGCCTCCAGAAATGTGAGAGGAGGCCATGGCCCAAGACCACTATTTCAAAATTTACTTATATGTTTGGTTATTGTGGAACCTAAACTTCTTCAACCAGTAGCCTCTGCTTGAGATCACAGTGCTGCTAAGACTCCTGAATTCAGAAAAGTTCTCAGTGCTGCCTCCTAATCAAACAGCATTTATCCTCATATAGGAGAGGCAAAAGATTCCAGACTGGTGATGGTCCTCATAAGAACCTTGCTGATTCCTTCTGAAGAAAACAGGAAAAAGTCCCAGGGCTGGCCTCCTATGCTTGAAGACTGAAGTTCTGCCCACCTTTCCCAGCACTGGGCTGCCTGAGATTCAGAGATCACACAGAGCATGCAGCAGCAGAGCTTGTTGCCACTGAGAGAGTAGTGCAGAGGGAAGTGCTAGCAAGGCTAAAAGCAGAGAATATCATTCCAGAAGTGTTTTCATAACTGCTGCAGCAATAATGTCAGACATGAAGACAGTGGCTAATATCACTGGTGTTGGAGGTAGGCTCTACCACTAACCAGGCTGGACAGCTGTCTGATCAGCTCAAGCAGAGCTCTTTTTGTGGTCTCTGCTGACATGCAGCAAAGAGCCTACAAGCACACTACACTGTGAAGAGCTGCAGTCAGCATAGTAGGCCCCTAGATCCTCACTGGACATGGATTGTTCACAGAAATTTGGGGAAAACACATTGGTTGGAAGTTGACTCTGTAAGAAGTGCAATAGTGAAAAAATAGATACTTCTGAGGAAAAGGTAAAGAAAATGTCAGGGCTACAAATAGCCTTAATTTATTGATCAAAAAGAAGATTGATATCTGATAGCCTTGAAACTGTAAAGAGTTGAAACAGCAGCAAGAGAGTGTTGTAAACAGAAGAAAAACATCCATGCAATACAACAGCTAAGCAGAAGATAAAAATCAGAATGGAGAGAACTTAAATGTCCATGAACCTAAGAAAAACCTTTTTTTCCTGCTTAAACACAATTCATCAGTTCACTAGGGTGGATGTAGGACAACATGCAACGTGTGGATGCTGCTACAGCCAATATATCTCTTCACAAGTGCCTGTGGTGTAGATTTGTACCCAAAGCAAGGCAGGAAATGTGCACGGATAAAGAGAAAAGCAATGGATGAGTGATTCTAAGCATTCTCCCCATGTTGTCTTAAATTATGTTCTTCATAAATTCCACAAGTTCTTCTCACTGAAAAGCCTTCAATCTCTGCTGCCATTTGCTTTTCAGACTCCAAAAACACAGGATGGAGCAATCTGCAAGTTGGTATGGGCCCAGAGACCACTAATGAACACCATAATTATTTTCTGATTTTTGGTTCTAACATTCATAAGAATAACGTATGTAGGAGCTTCACTAGTTCAGCATTCATTTATTCAGCCACAAAAAAAGTATTTAGTTGCCAGTAGGACTGGCCAAGACTCACAGTGCCTGGAAGAGGTAGTGAAAAGGGTAGCAGGGGCAGAGTTCCCCCCTATAGTATCTGGGCTGGCCCATTCTAAAATCACTGCCTACAACAAGCATCATGCTCTCTCCATTTCACTCACAAAACTCCTCTGCAGCTGTACTTACGGATCAAAAACCAAGCGTGTGATGTACTCCTTTGGCATTCGAGGGAGCTGATGGGAGAACACGTTCTGCAAACCAACCAGCCACATCATGATCTTCTTGTTTGGCTTCTGGTTCAGGGAGTTCCCAACCACGTGGAATTCAATCACCCCCCTGCGCTCTTCCAGTCTTGCTGCCTCATCCCGGGCTGAATGTGCCGAGAGGAAGTTGGTCTGTATGAAAGAGGAACACAATCACATTGTATATATTTCACATCCTCTGATGCAACAACCTTAAGAAACAAACAAACCCTGCTCTTTTCCCAAGCCATTTTTTATACAAAAATTGAGCTGTCAATGATAACTATTTTTTTTTTTAAGCAGAAATGACAACATCAAATAAGCAGATATAAAATCTATGCTACAGTACACAAAGGCATATTCAAGCTTCTTTTCAAGATTATGAATCAACAGTGATGTTTATATCTCAGCCATTTCCAAAACATTACAGGGGACAACACTCATCCTGTTGAAGTCCATGTCACCATGTCCTCACATTTTCTTTAGCTTGGGCAGAAATAGTAATGGATTTGCCTACACATATTGCAAACCAGAGATTTTAATGGCTTTGGAGGCACAGCTTTATCTTTTCATTTTAGTAGTGCTTTCCACTACCTACATCACTATCATAAAAGAAAAAAGAATTTCTTAATTCCTACTGTTTTTGTCGTTATATATCTAGCAACTGCATATGCATATTTGCACAGAGATGAAATTCATAGATGATTTAACCTTTTTCAAGATTCTTTTACAATGCCAAAAGATTCCTGTATGTACATACTGTTTACTTTCTTAAAAGAAATTTGGCTGCTGAGTTTCTAGTCACTGCCAGCCCCAACATCCAGACTGTAAATACGCAAAGCCATCAGTCACAGTATATATCTTGAGCAAGAAATGTAGGTGGTTCCAAACCTTCAGCACTCTCTAGCTAAATCTTGGCAAACAAGAGCTGCTTGCAAAACATAGCCTGGCAAAGAGAACAGAAGGAGGAAAAGCCAGCCAAAAAAAAGTGTGCAATTCTGCAATTCTGTTTGTTTTTCTCTTCCAGGAGAAAAAAAGAGCAACTGTGGAAGAAGGAGCAACTAAGTGTTTAGATCAGCTCTTCTGCACTAGACAGAAGATTTAAATTTGGGTCTTTCATCCTTTTGCAGGACTTGAACATATTTTGCCTTGTCTGACATGATGTATATATGATTAACAACAAAAAGTGTACTCTGGAATTATTCTGCTAAGAAAGTACATTACAAAATAACCTCAAAGCAACTTCTTCACTATTATAGTTTCAAATCTCTTTGCAAACAGCACACAAAGCATGAAAAAATTTAGAATTATTCTTCATTTTAATGATGCATTTCACCAATAGTGTTTTCTTACTTAAAATACCCTTTTAAAGGCTGTATGTTTCTTACGGATAGTATAGCATGTTTTGTGGACTCTTGTCTTACTCAGTTCATGTGGAACATTTATTAATAACTGGCCATTTATAGACACATCAGGTCTATACGTTCCTCACCTCTGGCCCAAGCATTGCCGCAGGATCTGTAATTGTTGACATCACTTCATTGATCAACTCAATAGGAATATCTCCTACAACCCTTGGTCTTTTCGAGTCCTCCAGAGAATATGGTTCGTTATTTTTTCTCTTTTCCCCTACAAAACAAAACCAGGACAAATTAAAAAAGACCAAACTGTCACAAACAGTTTAATCACTATACTCATGAAAACAGCTAAGAGGAAGCAGAGCATGACTGTGAATCAGTTTAGATATTCTCACACATAAGCAGAAGGTTAATCACTTTTGTAATTAATCACTTTCTAATAAGAAGCTAGGATTTGAAGGGGTTTTTTTATAGATAGGAAAGAAATTTGAATCTTAAACACTAATATACCAACTACGAACCTACAAAAAGTCTGAACAGCATCAGCTGATCAAAAATTCTAAGTGAGGTAAACACTGTGGATGAAGAAGTATTGCAATAAGGAATATATTATGAAGGTGGTGACCACAAGTTATTTCAGACTCTGTTTCTTTAATCATGAATGCTGGGCGTAAGACACTGCTTCAGGGACCTAGAACAGAAGTTAACCTCTGGAAAAAAAAAACCACACAAAGTAACCTGGAGCAGTGCTAACAAAGCTCAACCTTACAGCACAGGACACTATCCATTCTCATTCAACATGGAGCGTGTGGTTAAGTAACATCTACAAGTCTGCATTTTAGCTCTTTGACCTTCACTTCTTTTTTCCCCAAGATAACAAAGGCACTTAGACTTGGGACATGCTGTCCCTCCAAAAGTAGCAGGACAACAACATCTGACATCAGACGTTCACAGACATTACAAAACTAAAAGTAGAAGAAATCAGAACAAAATAGCAAGATTAGGTGGCAGAATATCTGAGAAGTACAGTACTTTCCAACAAATACACATATCGCTATGATAAATAAAGTAGCTATGATTTACCCAATCCATTTAAATTGAATGATTAAAAAAAAAATTACATTATGAACCCTTTTCTCAAAGTTCTTAAACTGAGGCCAAATTATCAGTGAAGTTATGTAGGTACAGAAGTACACAGTATGAAATATTCCTTAGTTGATGTAATTATATCGCAAATTTATCTTGCACAGTCACAAAAATGCCATCAAAACTGACTTTTTGCTCACTAATATGCACTGCTACACACACAGTATTGAAAATCTTTGCCTTTTCATAAAACCACTGTATTTTAATAAAGTATTATTCTTCCACTGCCACCTCAGGAGTAAATACAATATACAAGATATTGATAATACTTTGAACCTAACACACGTGTAGCACGCATACTCTAACAGGAAAAAAAATAGCATTATTTTAACTTTGGTCAGATGCAAAAAGTTAATGTAACAGTGAAAAAATAAGTGGTGGATCCTGACAAAGTTCCTTCCCTTTTGTCTTGGAAAGGCACAGTAATGATTATTATTCCCAAGAACCTTTGTCCCTTTGACTATCACCTGGTCTTTCTCTTCTTACAACTCAGGCCTTAGATCAGACTGATGCATATTAGAAAGACCAGTTAATACTTCTCCTCTGCTTCCCTTCCATCCTCTCTCAACACTTCTTTTTGCTTTTACTATTTGCTACTTCTGTATTCTATCCCATCTCATTTCTCAACTGTGTTTTTGTTAAGTAGTCCTGTACTCTAGCACTTCTGGAATTACATATACTTTTTATTCCTATAGTATCAGGGTGAATATATCTCTCCTTGCTCTGTTCCTCTACAAAATCGTAATGAAATTACAATTCACTTATCTGTTTCCCTCAACACACTTTGTAGTGAAATTCTGTGCTGCTGACCTGGAGGGTAAGTGTTCAATACATATTTTTGGATAACATAATATTTCATTTTGTGATTCACTGGAATTAAGTATCCATTATAGATTTTTTTCACTCTTATTGTATACCAAGCAAGTGCACGTCATACATATTTGATTTAGAAAATCCATATGAAGTTTCCAAATCAAAACACTGTGTTAATTATTAACCACATGACTAACTGTGGACCAACACGTGATATAGCAACAGCAACTAATTAAACAAATTCATGAAGGAAGCATCTACCAAAGATAGGAATTTCACTCCATAATTACCTTTTTCTTATAGTCTTTTTTTTTTTTTTTTTTCCTAAAGATCTGATACTGCTTATTGTCAGAGCCAGGATACAGAATTTTGACTGTGAACAGCACTTATCAGCGAGCTGCATTTTGTTTGTTTTCACTTTGTTTTGTTTTACTCTAAGGAAAATCCACAATAATGCTGAGATCCTTCTGAAACCATCAGATAGTTCAGGGCCCAATATTTTACATATATTGTACAGGCTGTCTTGCTACAGTACTCTAAGTATATGAATATTAAGTTGTTCACTCCCCTTTCCAAACTTTCAAGCAGCTAATTAATTGTTTAATTAGCAATAGAATTTCATTGTTAACCTTAATCATTGTGGAAATTGTTTATTCCTATTATTTCCTAGTTTTAAAAATCATTCATACGTGAATAAACTTTCCTCCTTATTTCTTAATGGATTCATTTATTTTCCCAAATCAGATTTTTTTTTTTTTTTTAAGTAATTTGTCACAAAATTTCTGGAAATCCAGGTACATTAGATCATTCAAAATTCCTTCCAAACGCTCACCAGTTCTCCCATGGACGTTCATGTGTTTTACAAAATAAATGCCAAGTTTCCACATATTATGTTACACATACATTAATTCATTCCATTTTTAATCAGTTTATTATTTTCTCTTCTAACCATCTGAAATGGGAATCTTACAATTTAACCGTTTTCTGAATTTTCTTAGAATCCCTTTAAAAGCCAGTTTTGTATCCATGATGTTTCAATTCTATAGCACTGAAGGCAAACGAATGATAGCGCAGCTGCACAGCTTCATTAGCTTTCAATTCCGTATTTCTTTTCACACACTGAGAAAATATCATTTCTTCTTATGACTAATTACTACACATTTTACTGATTTGTTATAAGAAAATCTTCTACTCTTTACCACTTTTAAGGTCATCTCCCAACTCGTTTTTCAAAAAGAAGGCTGCAGTTCAGGAGATTCCATAAGCTCCTCTGCAGAGAACACTAACAATTCACTTCGCTTCTTCAGCTTCCTTGAGGACTTATTTCATATGAGCTTGTGATCATTTCTTTGACCTACAAACTCTTTTGATAGGCTCATGATTGAGGTATTTGAAAAACGTTTATGAGGAGAACTTACTCATTCAACATCTTTTTATCTTTCCCAAAATACCTTATTATTATCTGACCTCATTCTGGTATTATTTTTAACCTCATGTGCGTTTGTTCTTTACTTTATTGCTCTTAAGTATGCAATTTCAATACCTCAAAAGTTTGAAAAAAATAAAAAATAAAAAGTAATGGCCCCTTCTATTCTGCCTTTTCTATTTAAACAAAACTTTTTTTTCATCAGTTGTGGTACTTCACTACAAGTGAAGAGTATTCCAACCTCTGTAATGTACAGAACTTTTACCATATAAATAGAATTTAAACAAACTGATGGATTTTTTTTTCAAAGACAGCTGCCGTATCTGCCAGTTAAATATTACCACAGTGGAGAAAAGCTATGCATGTCTGTGCGTGTCTTTTAGTAAAACCACCTCACTGCAACGTGAAAGCCAAGGCCATCGTATACTGTAACTACTGTTAACATTAACAGAAGCAAGAAAGTGAGTCTCCGTGTTTGTTACCTAAGTTTGGATCAAGGACTGAAGAAACTTTGCAAGCAGGACTCATATTTCCACTGTTGGGTTGCTCCAGAGATGACGGGCTTGCACAATATGAAACAGATCTTGCAACAGGAGGAGGATTGATAACTGCAGTGGTATGAAAAGCACACAAGTAAAAATCAGGATACAAAATCCATTATAGTGCTGATCAAATAACTGTCATGACCATGGATTCAGCTTCACTGCAACTCACCTACAAAGTAACATTAACAATATCAACAGAGCAATTTGTAGGCAAGCAGAGATATTAGAGCTTTATGTCAACATATTTTTCCTAAACTTAGTGAGGAACTGGATGACAGCATTAGTTTCACTTCACTGCAAAAATCTGGTTTTATTATTCTGCAGTGCTGAGCACATATTAAGAAAATTAGCTTTCTTCACATGTCTGCCAAGGTTACTGGCATTCAGCCTCATGAAAAGATTTTTTGTAGTGGCTCATTGAAAAGTAAAAATTCATCATTCAACTTCATCTATCCACTTTAACAGCATTTAAAGGCTGCCTGGACAAATCAAACTCAAGGAAGGGAGAACTTGTTACACCAGTTAAGAGGTTGAAACTACTCTTTCAGAAAGTCACAATCAAACCTCTCTCTAAATTTAAAAACAAACAAGGAAAAAAAAAACCACCACATGTAAAATCATCTAGCTTTCATTTGTTTCAGGATTTTTGGCAGGAAGGCCAAAATGGGAGGGAGGAAGGGAAATGAGGTGCCAGCTCACAATCTGGACACCTGCAGTCTTTCTCTTTGCATTCCTTTATCCTGGTGTCATCACCAGCAACAGTTCTTTGGTGCCATTTCCATGCCAAGAATCCAGTGCTTAAGAGCTGCGAATTAAAATGAAGCACTTCAGAAATGTACATGAAACAATAAATTCTGAGAGCAAGATGATTTTAGAGTTGTAATAAATTTGTGCCTAAAGCATAATTTACCAGTTTGTGAACTCAGAAATTAGGAATTTCTAAGAAAAAAAAATATGTTCCTCTCACAGTGGAATTTTCCCTACTAATCTCAGAAACTAATTATCAGATGAAGTCCTGGCATAACTGTTTAATCAACTGATAATCAGCAATCGTTGCAAAATACCCAGATATTGATAAAGCTGCATATCTAATTCTCATTCCTTGGAATTCATCATTTGTGGAGGTGTACTGTACTTTACATGCAGATGCTCCTTAACCAGTCACTAAACACTACTTGCCTGTCTGGATTCCCAGCTGGCCAGTTCGAGAAGTAGACACCATGAAATCCTGATCCCAAATAGGAGAATTTGGGCTGTACACTTCTTCTTCCAGCATTGACAGAAACCTAGGCACAAAAACAGATGAAATATTAATTTAAAAGGAGAATTCAAAACAGGCTCTTTTTTAGAATAAACATTTTCTAAGTAAAAAATACTTAATTATTCTGTAAAAAGCACTGTTGGTCAATTTTCAAATAAATTCACGTGCACATTATCACAAAATGGAGTAGACAATAAGTATCTTAATTCAGTAGAGAGATGATACCTACAACAATCTGTCTTTGATTATAAGCAATATGTGCCTAATTTGATGGAAAAAAACAACAACAAACAGGTAGAATCTAGACATCTAGACCAAAAGTGAGCACAAATAAGGAAGTTGAATGTAGGCACATTATAAGTACTGATGTTATATAATGATGACAAAATATGTCTACCTACATAAGTTAGTGTTTTGTAGATGTATTTGCCTCCTCCATCTTACAGACTCATAAAATCACAGTGTTAGTTATTAACAATAGGAAGACATTTTCATTCCTTTAAGTGTGCTACTGCAACATTTAATTGCATGTTTGTGCTTTCATAGTAGTATTTTTAGCTCATTTTGGTACACTTACAGAAACTTTAAACCTTTCTCAGTATTACTGCAAGTGAAAGGAACTCCAGAATGGACTGCCCAGCACTCTTGGTTTCATGTGGCTAACACATCCATTCCCTTCCAGCAAGATAGCTGCTTATCCTATTTTGCACAACAGGAGTTTTCAGACCAGAAGATATCTGACATTTATTTACTCTAGGCTAGTCATCTGTATATAGAGAAAAAGCCCAGCTGAAAGCAACCAGACTGCTGAGTAAGACTTTTCTGAACAGGGGAAGGATGTTCAAGTCCTGCTGATGTATTTTATACACAGTATGTTTACACCTAAGCACAGCAACATGTGGTGCTAGCTGCTATCCTTATCGCTAATAACGGCTAGAAAGCAACTTCACCACCTGTGACCTCTTATAAGCACAAATGAATATTCAGCAAAGGCTGCATTTCAGGTAGCATGATTTGCACTCAGCTCCAAGGTGGCTGTTTCCTAGACTCAGACAAACACGTCACTGTGCCAAAGGAACTCAGAAATCTGCAGTCCTGGAAACCCTTCTCAGATATCATTTCTAATTCTTATCTGGGGCTACTGGTTATCCACACCGCTGGCAGCGCACTCACAGCTGTGTTGCAGGACAAGTCTCTAACAATATTTCTTCTGAACCACATCCCCTACTTCTCCTGAGAGCAGTAAGACCTTTTGGAGGAGCAGGAAGGGAGCCCAACACAGGACTCTCGCGCCATGCTCCAAGCTGTAGCACTCTGGCATATCTCACTACATAACATCAGCAGTCAGAGACAAGTGCTTCAGACAAGGTAGCCTGTAGAAAATTTAAAACACTCAGTAAACAATGCTTTTCTTCTCTTATTTCCCCAAATGCAGTGAACATTTAATGTTGTCCAAATAACTTTTCCAGACTTTGGAAATGTAGGGACAGCTTTTCCCTGTGCACATCTGCTCCTTGTACCAGTGTGGTGTTGAATCTTCCTTATAACTACCCCAGGGCCAGATCACAATCCTGTTCTCAGATATTACCAAGCACTCCTGTAACAGTCTGCCCCAGAGACAGTTAACACTCTTCAAAGTATTAAAAGGCACTGTTAATAATACTAGGGGCAACAAAACCTATCTCTATCAGCCTTGGAAAGTCCATGTGGTTTTTCATTCTCTTGAGGACCAACCATCTCTAGCCCCAGATAATAATCTGCAAGTCCAACTCTTCTTCCAAAGCGGGTTCCTTACAATAGTTCACACAGGTAGGCATCCAGACAGATGAATATCACCAGAGTAGGAGACATCACAATCTCTTCAGTGCTCTGTCATACTTACCATAAAGAAGTTCTTCCACGTGTTTGTATGGAACTTCCTGTGTTTACTTTAGGCCATTGCTCTTTGTCCTGTCACACATCACTGAGAAGTGCCTGGCCTTATCCATTTGCCTCTCACTTTTCTTTACATATTTATAAACATTAATCAGATCCCCTCCCAGTCCTCTTTTCCCCAGGTTTAGACATTTCCATGTCAAAGTTACATACAAGTGGTCACCCTCAAATAATCACTTTGTGACACCTTACTTTGGGAAATGGGTGAGGATTAGTGTCCGTTTCTCTTGAGGAAGCTTGTCTTTCTCTTGCCTGGCCTGCTCCAGCAGTTGCCGTCTCATTACAGTAAAAACGGAGCGAAGCAATGTCCTGCCGAAAACCTGTGTGGTTTCATATCGAGGTAGACTATCACAGAACTGAGGGACATTGCAGTAACAAAGCCACCTGTAAGGATGAAGAAAGTCAGATAGCTATCACCATCTAACATATAAATTAATAACTGAAAGCATTAAAAGCACTATCTACATCATTTATAGTACAACTGAGAGCTATATAATTGTATAAATCAGTTCCACATTAAGTCTGGACAAAGTTAAATAACATTTATACTGTCAGGCTTTTTTTTAGAGAACTATCAGCCAAACCCCTCTTAAGTCCCCATATATTCTTTTACTCCATGCTACAGTTTCCACAAGGTGCTCTTGTGATAGACAATACTCACATACTACATAAAATTCATTTTGACATCAAGGATTATCTCAAGTCATTCATGAAGTCACTTGCAGCTTCTGCCTGTGACTCCAAAGACTTTGTCCTTGGCTTGGTCTATTTTCTCCTCTTTAAACTTCTGCATTTCCCCATACATACACAAAAGAGGTGACACTTCTAACTAGTTCCACTGGAACACAACTAGATTCCAATCCTGGTATCCCACCAGCTAGCTTCTTCACATTAGCCATGATTCAGTGCTCTCCTTTACCAGAAATTCGCTACATAACAAGTCTTGCATGAAGAAGCAAATATTAAAGTGTGGCTCTTAGAAAAGGCATTGTGGTATTGAAGAGGTAAATCAAGAGAACGTGGACTTTGTAGGCCAACGGGACTCCAGTGCTTTAACACTGGAGTACAAATGAACAGAGCCAATGGTTATCTATAGCTTTAACAGAATTAGATTACAACCATCACAAAAACTCTAACAATGAAAACTGGATATCTGGGTGTAAACAGGCTATTCTGGCTTCTGTATTGCTTGTCTCATTCAGATCCAAAGTACAGCCTCCCTCAAAACTCTTCTATATTAATCAGACAGGGCAACTTTTCAAACATAAGAGCTGCAAAATTGTTGTTCAATATAGTTGTACAGGCACCTCTGCTTCATGTTCATGGCTGATAAAGCACTCCTCTTACAGCACAAGAACACATGTAATACTCTGAAAAAGTTACACAGAAATCATCATGTCTTCAAGTAAACTCAGTGACTGTGAGAATTCACATGGTGCATCTTTGGTGTACAAGTGTTCCTCAGACCCATAGCAGTGCCTCTAGTGACAGGGCAGGGTGTAAACCCAGAGGAAGGGAGAAGCTTCTACTGAGAAGCAGGAACTAGATGAAAAGAGGCCCTCATGTATGAGGAAGCCTTAGGGACTGTGGACAGGAAGCTTTGAGAAACTGTAAGCTACAAAATGATTTACAACACAAGCCATCAATCAGATCCAGTGCTAGCTACTGATTCCTAAAAACATAGACCCCAGTTAACTCTGGCTATGACATTTTTATTAAAAACAGAGATATCAAAGACAATCTGAAGAGCCCCATCAGTACCTCTTCCTTTATGCCAGGCAGCTGTTTGAGGTAACAGGTTTGTACAGGGCCACATCTCCCAGAGGTACAGATATGATCTGGGCCATATCTGGGTAGACTACTGACTCACTCAAACCACCCATGACACCGTTCTACAGCGTGGATGGCTACTTCATGCTGCAGTGCATGGAAAAAATCTTGATGACTCTTCATGTTCTTTATGGTAGGTCAAGGACTAACAGATTTGATATAACACCTGCTGGTAAACAATAAAACCCCCTCCAGTTTTGTGGAAGAGGTGTGACTTGGTAGAGGGACAGTGTACAGACCAGTGTTTTGCCTCACACAGTCGCAGGACTTCTCATCTGAATGCACCATCAATAGTACATACTTACACAGGTTTTTGCTCTTCTACTTTAAGGGAATAGGGTTTTTGAGAAGAAAGGACATCCGAAAAGAGGAGAGAAGTCCATGCTCATCCTCAAACAGAGAAACTGGCTTTGTCCATTCCTTGGAACAGCTGAGCTGACAGCATGTTAACTGCTTACAGCACTGGTAGCTAAGTGCTGCCTGCACTGGCGTGAGAACTTACTGCCTGTTGTCTCTGTGCTAACTGGAAAAGGTTCGACACTTTTTTAATGATGAAAGTAAAACTAAAAGCAACTTGGCTTTTTACACTAGCTTTTCTTCCCCCAGTCACTAAGACATTCTTCTGAATTCTGATGGAGTACTAAAAGGCCATAAAGGAACTGTAATTTTAAGTAACCTGATATCTCTTCACAATTTGGCAATCAAACATTTAAGAATTCTTTTTTAATTGTTCATATCTTCCATGATTTGGTTTCAAACCAGATGTTCTGCAAAGTTTAATACATATTTTTAAAGTTGAGTAAGAACTTGCCTTCATTTTTAGTACATGAAATAAGGACCTTATACAAGCCTCTTATCATAACTGGACTGACAACTTTGCAAACATAAGAGTTGCAAAAGAGTTGTTTAGCTGTTTGCAAATGTATAATCCCTTTCTTTGGCTGATAAAGCACTCCTCTCACAACACAGTGATGTGTGTACAACTTTGATATGATTTCACTTAAAGTCGTCAGGTTTTTAATAAGCTCAGTGACAACAGGAATTCTCTCATGGCATATCTGTGAAGTACAGGTTCTCTATGTACATGTAAGCAAGATTTATAACAAACAAAAGTGCCATTACCTGGTATAATTCACTTTATACCCTGCAATATCATCATTGGGTGATCTTAGTCTTCGTTGAGAAGGTGTCTCCAAGTGCCAGTAGTTAATGCGGTTCAGAAACATTTTAGCCAGTTCCACTATTGTCTGCCTTTCCTTTGAGGGTAAGTGGCTAAATTTGTACTGCACAAAATTATTCACACCCTTGAAAGAGAAGAAAAATGTCTAATTATTTACCCAGAATTTTTGTAGGCGTGACCTTGAACACTTATCACTTTATGTCTATTTACCCTGGACAAGGAAAAAGATATGGGAAAGAAAATAAGTACCAAAGACCAAGAACTCCTTGCTGAGTCACATGCCACAAGATGACTCTTCTGTTCAGAGAGTCGAGTGCATTCAAGTGTTTTTACTCTATTCCTCTCTAGGACCCAAGTTAGTGGGAGAGAAGGAAAATTCTTTAATTTTTGCTGTTTTTCAAATTAAAAGAAATAATAATAACAATAATCAGGGAACATAGAAAGATCCACAGGGCTTTCTTCTATATGTTCATATATGTAGAACCTCGCTGCTAACCATGCTGCATGATTTATCCATTTTCTCTGTAAACAAAGTATGTATTCTTCATCACCTAAAATAGTACAGTTGGTGCTGTGGGCTTCTATTTAAGTTTTTGTCTATTCAGTACATTTTTTCAAAAAGTGCCAGTGTTTCACAAGTACAACACTCCAGTGCACTTTGTATGCCTGTCTACATTAAAACAAAACAAAACAAAACAAAACATAAAATAAAATAAAATAAATAAAATAAAATAAAGAACCAAAGAAACAGGGGGTTGGCCAATTCTTCCAGGTCACCAGCAATAGATAGAGGGAATGGCCTCAAGTTGTGCCACGGGAGGTTTAGGTTGGATGTTAGGAAAAATTTCTTCTCTGAAAGAGTGGTCAGGCACTGGAATGGGTTGCCCAGGGAGGTGGGGGAGTCACCAATCCTGCAGGTGTCCAACAAAAGGGTAGATATTGTACTGAGGGACATGCTTTAGTGGGAAACATTGGTGATAGGTGATAGGTGGGACTGGAAGATCTTGGAGGTCTTTTCCAACCTTGGTGATTCTATAATTCTATAAATCATTGAGAATAGTTAAAATGCATGACTGTAATTGTTGAAATACATCTATATTGAAAATCAATTATAATACTGCTGCTTTACATGACCTGAGTTGCTGAACCACTAAAACAAAAATGTGAAATTATTGGTCTATTTTGAGGAAAAATTATTTTAGAATAAGCTGTAAAAAAGAATTATCCTTTCATCTCTGTGCTTTACCTTCTTAAGCAGAATGAAATGTGTGAAGGAAAAAAACCCACTGTATTACACAAAATCTTTTTAGTAGCATATTTTAGGACCAGGAGTGTATGGTTATTACATTCCCTTATTGCTTGCTTATACTAAAACTGAAAGAAAACCTAAGATAAAGTCTTCCCAAAATTCAGCAATAAAGAACTTTTATTATACTAAAGTATAAAAAGCAAGAGTTGTAAGGACAGACTTATTATTCTAAATAGCCTTCACATTTAAAATGTCTTGTTTAACAATAGAGCAGCCATTCATCCACCAGTGGGAACAAATTGAGCTCCTGACTGAGTGAGGTATGTAAGCCTCTACATAGCGTCCCTCGAGTTAATAGGCCCACTTGTATGCCAAAAATCCAGTCTCAGGAACTTGATAAACCAAAATCTGAATTTGTCATATGCTCTTTATCCATTGAGAATTGTAAAAGCCTCAGCTATTCTTTGTTTGGGGCTGTTTTTTCTGTGTGCCCTTTGAAAGAGAAGGCTATGATCTCACTGAGATGGATTGTAACATTTACGTTGACTTACTGAAGACAAAAGTCATTTTAATATTGGATTTCAAAACTTTGTCAGCATTTTTCATCACACAAGACAGAGAAAGACTAGAACTGCCACACAAAAAAGTAGTATTTTAAGTTTCATTCTCTAAATCCACAAAAAACCTGTCAGTTTCAGTAAAGCTAAGATAAATGATGAGTGAAGTGAAATAATGTGACTATCATACCAATGCTAAGGTAGAAGAAGCTGCAGAAGTCTCCTACAGATTCAGTCATTGTCTTGATAAATATACAGAAACATCTGTAAACTGCCTGAAATGGTATATTTTGAAAAACAGTGGTAATGTTTAAAAAAAAAAAAAAAAAAGTTTTTGTTTACCTGCTCAATGCTAGGCTTCTCAAATGGGGGACTTTCCAAAGATCCTTCAATAACAGGTTTTCCCATCTGTAAAATGCACTTCCTCAAAAGCTGTTAAAATATATAAATTTAAGAAAATTAACAAATGTACACAAGATCAGTGAAAGTCAACAGAATACAAAACATTGCAAGCAGTGCTGAAAATCTCCTAGCTATGTATCTGTTTTCTTAGTCACATAAATTTACAGCTCTTTAACTTCACCATGAATTGCTTCATATCATCTTTGAAACTCATACAAAGGGCTTGTAAGTATGTGTAGGCAGCTTAGTTAGCATTTATGTCAAGTGACTTTTCCCAGTTTGTGAGTGAAGACAAAAAGAACTGTGGGTGGAAACAGCTTATAGATGGGAGTCAGGGTTAGCTCCTGAATCATCTGACTGATTTTTGGAATGATATGATACATTGCAAGCACTACAGATTCTAGTCAAGGGTTAGCTGCTAAGGTATAATGCTGAAGAAAAGAAAATTTCTCAGTGGATAAAGTCAATACATGTATGAGAGGCATTTTGAGTAGTGAAACTGGCTTATGCGTGAGGGGAAAAACTCACAAGATCCTGCACAAGTTCAGCTTACTTTGAACAGGTAGAAATAAACCTGCTTGGTGTCTGCATCTTCTTCTTTATGGACGCAGGTGAACAGATACTCCACATCCAGTACAATCCCCAGCAGCCTATTCATTTCTTCTTCAGACACATTCTCCAGGTGGGAAACGTGAGCAGCTAAATAAAATAAAAATCCAAACATGTGAAAAGCCTATTGAGAGAATCTGTATCAAAAAAATTTCCCAAGATATCTCAAACTAAGCCAACAAAACCATACTTGCAGAGGTAAAGATCCTGCAGTAACTCTATTTGAAAAGAGCCTCTTATCAGAGCCTACTGAAATGTAAGTCACACCAGAGCCCCAAGGAGGTAATTCCCACAGCACAAGGAATATGGCTGACTGGAATCCCGGACAACATAAGTCTTGTCTGCCTGTATTAATAGGTTGTAATATATAAATAATTACATTCCTTTTTTTCCTGAGAAGGAATGCTTTTGAGACAAAATTCCTCGATTAAATTCACATAAATTAGGCAAATCAGGTGTTGACTCATACACTCAATTTTGTGAAGATTAAAAACTCAGCTCCATAAATAAGCTTTTTATTTTAAACTGGACATTACCAGCTAAATTTCATACCTTTCTATCACGTAAATTTAGATAATGTTTTGTGCACACTATACTAATACAGCTTCTGCAGACTGTACACACTCATTTGTTCTGAAGCTTACAAAAAAACCCCAACAAAACAACTAAAAAAACCAACCATCTTTTAACATGTCATAATTTCTAAGTAACAAGTTCCACATTTGTAATTTTCAAAAAGCTTGTGGGATATTCATGCAAAACTGGTTTAAGCAACTGGACTCAGGAAGTGAGAAAGCAATATGAAACAAAAAGTCAATTCCCAAAAAGAAGACATTTGCATTACAAACAGCAACAATCTTAGCTGACCCCAGGCCAATGCACATGGAATGCATATCCTTTTCTCCAAAAGGATGAGGAAATATCTTTTAAAAGCAAAGTAAAACCATTTAAAAGTTGATCACTTTAATTTTTATGTCTTTTGATAACTTTTATCAATATATCTCTTATTGGACAATTATTGTACTATCATCATATGTCAATGTGATTAGTACTGGTAAAAAACTTCAGTGTAATTTGAAAATGATGATATTTATTGGCCACCAAGGAAATATCAAGGAAAGCTGTAGTTCAGTATGACAGCTACCAAAACATTTAAATTCAACAAATTCATGCAGTTTCAAGTAAAAAGAACACCTTGGTTCAAAACATCAGAAAGATGCCAGCATTCATTTCCACTTAAACAAACACTTATAACAGGGTATTTTATTCTGAGCAAGTGAGGTGGCCCTAGCAGGTGTTCTTTAAGGAAAAATATTCAGCAATCTAGGCAGAATAAAACTATTTCTTTTCTGTCTTTGGGCCAGACACACCAGTTTAATATTCCCAGCTGACTATTCTCATCCTGTAGAAGTAATAAGTTCCATCCTAGACAAGCACTGCATGAGAAATTGACAACATAGTGAAGAAACCTTTCTTTGGATGTTCAATAGCCTGCTCCCTAATTTCTGCAGCCAATAATAAACCCTTACTTAAACAAACGCTCTAACATGCTGATATCAAATGCTATGTTACTCTTAACTAGTGTTTAATAGTCCCATTTATTTGCATTGCTCTACTGGTACCTCAGCTGCTTTTATATTTGCCAAAAAAAAAAAAAAAAGGGAAAAAAAACCACCACAATTATAGGTTGCTTCTGCAGCACGCAGGAGAAGAAAGCTAGCAGAAAGAAGGCCAATGCAATGATTTCAGTGATGTGAAGACCTGAAAAACACCAGGTTAATTACATTGCTTGTGCAACTTCAGTAACAAAATACTTGACTGTATGAAATAGCAGTCAGAAAACAGGCTGAGGAGGAATGTTTCTATAGTCTATCTCAAAATCAGTGTTTATGTAAAAACACAAGTAATATACATACAACAGGCAAACCAAGAAATACTCAAACACGTTACGTGACGGTGCATAGCAGGAACTGAGAACAGAAATGGGAAGAGGGAGCCTGCATGTGTACATAGTGTAGTAACATATTACTTAACCAGTGTATTATTCTCAGGACTGATAATGTTTACCAACAGGAAAATGCAGTGTTAAATGAGAGAAAACAAATTTAGAAGAGTCTCTGATCACTTAACACCTGGTCTTGAGGCTGCTAGGCAGCAAATTCTCCTGGCCCATAATTTGGTCAGCAGTTCAGTTTCATGCCAGTGACCCAGCATACTGTCCACATTAAAGAAATATTCAGTAAAAATCCAGATGTAAGGCAAGCTGAGAAATTAAGCCAATCCCATCCCTGAAGAAAAGGAGATGAGAAGCAGAATTGTTGGTAGTACACACTGGCATACCAAATAGAGATGATGGCTGTGAGGAGAATATATCCCATATTTTTGATCAGGTATGGTTTTAACCATCAGTAGAATTTATACATCTCTATTTCAACAGTACCCTAATAAAAAAGATATACACCACAGATGATAATCTGACACCTGAACACCTTGTGCTTGTGCTCAGCCTAGTTTTAAAGGCATTCAACAGTAACATTTAGAGGGGATGAATATGAAAATTATCTTAGAAAAGACCACTGAGAGACATATTTTGACCGGTAGTCTAAGGAAACAGACAGCAACTCATTTCAGTTATTTCAAATGAAAAAATCATTCTCATTACTCACAATTGACACACACAAAATAAAACTTTATATTTTCTAAAAAAAGAAAAAAAAAAAAAAAAAAAAAAAAAAAAGTGGCTTGGTCCATAAGGTAGCCGTCACGGGTAGTGGTTTTCCCTCAATACCTAGTTAACAAGTGATGTAAGATTACTCGCAGACCAAAATCTCCAACTTTAAAAGCAGATTTTTTTTCTGAGAAAAAAAAAAAAATAGCATCAACAAGTTCCACGAAAAAACTTGGGAACCAACAGCCACAACATCTCATAAGATTTATAAAAAATGATGTCTCTTTTGTCAAAGGCCAGGAATGAAAGGAACAGGTAACACAAGCTACCCTGGCTGCACAGCCAGAGGCAGCACAAAGAAGCAGTATGATGAAAGGGTGAAACTGACACGTGTGAAGAGACCAAACATTCTGATACCATGTATTTATTAATCTTCTAGGCAAGAAAAAAAAACAGAGATTTGGGAGACTCAGAAAAGAAACTGATGAAAAATCCAGAAATAGGTCAAATGTAATGATGGCATGAAAAGGGAACAGAAAAGAAATAAGTTGTACCCTCCCTGTCCTTCACCCTCCTCATTAAATAAAAACAAGTTCCCTACAGAGTTCTATGTTATTTTAAAAAAATAAATGAATAAATGATCCATTGTAAAAGCTTTAGACTTCCTTCTCCTTATTACACTGTCCTACGTTATGGTCACGTCAAAAAAATTTAAAAGCAACTGCTTCTGTTCAATTACTTCTGAATTTTGTGATAACTCAATTTTTACTAAATATTTGCTAATATATACTGAAAAAAAAGTAATCAGCTTTTAGTTTGGATAAGCACAATTTTTAAATTAAAAAATTATAGTGATAAACTCCTCTTTTTCTGGGTGTTGGTGCAATAAATAAGTATTTTCATTTACAGAAATAAAATATGTAGCAGGATTTTGTGCAGGTACTTCCAAAATATATACAAATAAAGTCCCAACAACATGAGGTTAATGCATATGTTACATGAAGTATTGACATCTCTATGGGTATCTTAATGGTGCTTTTGCATTTTAACAGCTTAAAATGTCTGTGTTGTTAGAACTTCTACTTTAGCTCTATTTCTCCAAAATTCATTTGGGATAATTCTGACATATTTTAATCTAAGTGAACAGACATTTATGTCCAACAGTTTCCAAGTCTCAGCACAGCATCTTAAATTTTGTCTTGCAAAAGTGAAGACTTGTGGGTATACACATGTGGATTCCAGGAGAAAGACAAAATCCTACCTAGTGTGTGACTGCAGCTGCGGCACGGCTCAGTAAGGCTCACAACTGCCTGCTGCAGGTCTGCCCGAGGGGGTGTGGGAGGTGGGTTGGGGTTCTTCCAGCCATTGCATTTACACGATTCCTCAGCCTGAAACCAAAGTAAAGGAGTATCAACCAATAGAGTTTAAAAAAACACAACAACAAGTCAGTGAGAACAATAGAAGCAAAAAAAGGACTTGGTGAAACTGTCCTATTTTAGAAGCAATAGGAAACAATATTATTATTTATAAGTTGTTTGTTTTAAATAATAAACAGTGCTAGGTTTTATATTCTACATAAAATCAGAAATGAAATAGTACTCCAAAATATAGAGATTATCATGGTATATCATGGTATGCAAGCTGTATAAATACACAAACTCTGGCCAATTCCTTTACAGAAAGCCCTCATTCTAGGCTCTGTATGAAAGAAGCATTCAAACATTTACCAGTATATCAGCACAAACAGATCATATCAGCACACACAGATCCACCATGACAGTTTAATGATTTAGATACAACCAGGCTATCCAGCAGGCAATGTGTTTATCGCTATCTTATCAGCTGCACTGGCAGCAAGAAATCATGCAACTAAAAATAAGCACATAACAAGCCAAGCAGGGTTAACCAAACATTGAAATAAGCAAACAGTAACTGTGCTAGTCAAAAAAGCTGTCTAGGGCAAGGCTTGGCCACATCATCAACGCAGCGAATGCCAAAGACCTTGAGCCTGAAACCAGGAAAATCTTTGAGGGCTGCTCCAAAAGCAATCTCTCCAATTTTATTATGTTGGTGCGTGTCAGAGGCAAATGGTGGTGGTATGGCAGTAGAGCTTGAACCTTCCCCCCATTGTTCCATTACATTTTGTTGCCATATGACAGACAACAACATAGGCAACAGCACAGTGTCTGATATAGAATTGCAAAGGTGTGGAATTGAATTCCTCCATGCAGAGAAAACAGTACCCATTGACCTTCATTGCTGCTTGCTGAGCATTTATGGAGATCAAAGAGTGGATGTGAGCACAGTGAGGCATTTCAGCAGCAGCAACATCAACATGAAAGGCAAGCCAAGTTCTGAATGGCCACGCAGATTTTTTATGTGTGTGGCATTCAGGCTCTTTTTCATCACTGCCAAAAACACATAGCTAATGGTGGTGACTATGTTGAAAAAGTGTTTTGTAGATGAGAACTTGTTCTATTAAATAGTGCTATTGTGGGCTTTGCATCTGCTGTAATTTCCATAGAAATAAATAGGAGCATTACTTTCAGAGCAACCTTTGTAGTTATGGACACTGACTGAAACACCGAGGGCTTGCAGCTAACACGGATGGACATGAAAAGGAAAGCTGGAGACTTGAATCAGTCAGCTAAGACCAAAGTGATTCCAGTTATCTGAAGAGCGGCTTTACAGAAGGGGATTTTTTTTCTGTACATCCAGAAGTTCTTAGTTATTTTCATGGTAGATTTCTCTTAACAGCATTCACATTTGAAGATCTAATCAGAAGAAAAGAATGTTTTTCTACTGTTCAGAGATATCTGTGCGCTGGGTCGTAATGAGATCCTCACAAATTTGCAATGCCAAGAGCTCTGTGAGGAAAGTGCCAACTGCTGCGTGATATTTATGGCTGAATCAACCCTGGTAGGAAAAATGGTGGAGTTAATACATTCAGCACTAACATGACATTTTTCAAAATGATTCTGGATACAGTTAATAGAATCTATTTTAGGAACCTATTTCATTTCCCTATTATGTTTCCAAATCTCATCTCACCTAAGGAGGAAGTACCCAAAAAAAGCAGAAAAGATCGTGGTTTGACAGCATCTAAAATTGACAGCTTTGTAGACTGGTGGTAAAATGTTCCTCCACTCCAATTTCAATATTCAGCAACCTGAGCAGTAGAACAACTGCTGCCTGTGTTCTGCTGAGCACCACATGATATTTTTACAATTCCTACTGCAGAAATGTTTATCCAACTGGACTCCTGGCCCCAGGCTCTGATGGCATTCAGGCAAGATAGAAGGGAAGAGTGGTGCTTTCAGCACCAGGATATTCAGAAACACACCTGCAAGTGCCCAGCAAAAGCCACTTCCACATACTCCCCTTGGAAGGGGGACCTGCTGCATTGTCTGGATCCAGCAGCTCTTCCAGCTGTATGATACATTTAAAATATTGCATCAGGGAGATTTCAACATGAAATGTGGCGAAATCTGGGGAAAATTAAAATTACTTTTTTTTTTTTTTTTTTTTAAGCCTCAGCAAATGCAACCTGGAATGATTTACAAAGAATTTCACATTATTTTTCTATGAGTAATAGAGTTGGCAAGGAAGAAGGGCTGATGTTATTTTGTAGCAGAAGCCATCTCTTGCAGTTTCTCAGGCACTGAATGAGTTTTATTCTTGTTTGTTATCCAAAACTACATGACCTATTAATGTTTTATGACTAGAAAGAGAGGTCAGTGATTGTTTGGCACCTGAGAACCAAGGATTGCCCTGGTGTGAGGAGTGAGAATGCAAGGAAGATGATTTGAAGCCACATTTTCATTTAGCGCTTCAAGTTAGGCAAAACTAAAGCCAAATAATCTATCCACATTTGCTTTGTGAAAGAGATAATGTTGCCATGAGAGTTAAAACAAGGAGAGAAACTGAGAAGACTGTCAGAAAATGAGAATACTGCCAAAGAAAATTCAAGAGAGAGTTGTAAGTTCTCAAGCAGACCAACAAATAAACAAACAAAGACTGAATATTAGTTGAGGGAAGCAAGATTTGATCATTTCCATACAGCTGTCTGGACAAACATTCAACTCTGTAAATTACTGACATAGAACAATGCTCATTATTAATTGCCTTAAATCATACCAGAGTGAAAAATGATACACACCAAAAACCCCACAAACCTAGGCACAGGCATTTTGAGAAATTCTTTTCCAAGTGGAAGCAGCATTTTGCAGAAGCTCACCACACAATGTTTATGATAAAGCCTAAAAATCTATAAACAGTGAGTAACTACAAAAACTTTAGTGTCACACAATAATTAACAGCAAAGATGCAAACAAACAGATGTATGAATTGCGATAACAGCTCAGTTAAGCTGCCAAAAATAAATATCAACCCACACACAGCAGAATAAAAACAGTGTGTTCAGTGGCAGATCTTTTTCAGCCCTTGGTAGCATTTCCTTGCCAGATATTTTGAAGCAGATGTTAATTTGTATTGTTTGAATTATTCCAGTGATCTTTTTCTAACAACTCTTAGGGTGGTTTTTTTTTGGTTTGTTTTTTTTTTTTTTTTCTTTATTCTCTCTGTAAAACACCAGAATCAGCATAAAAGTTCTGTTAACTAAGGGGGAAAGCAGCCCAGAAGGGTCCTCTTTAAAACTAAGCTTTCATTGTAGATGTTGACAGTGCAAGTATTTTGCACTGAATACCCAATGTGCATTCCCCAGTGACTTCAATTGCAGAGTTGTTTCAAGTCTTCCTCTGTACTTTGTTAATTCAGTCCTTTCCCTGACTATCTTCAGCTTTTTGGTTTCTTTCTTTTTTTTTTCCTTTCTTTCTTTTTTCTTTTTTCTTTTCTTTTTTTTTTTTTTTTAATGTCACTCATCTGCTTTTCATTTGAAAATAAAGTATGACTTCACCTTCACAAAAACTTAATTTAAGATCAAAAGAGTTGGGGGGGAGGAGGAGGAGAAAGAAGGAAAAGAAGCATTTAAGCTGCACATCCAGTCCTTGGGTCCTGTTCTCTGGGACATCTGCGGAGCTGTGATAAAGGCACTGCAGAAAGATGGGCACTCCTGCCTACTGAGGCCTGCAAAGTAACCTGTGCTGCCCTAACAGGCCCAAGGATCACCACAACATCTTAATTGGCATTTTTAAATAAAACTGAGTTCAGTGTACCTGAACATAACAACCACAAATTCCCCTCAAAAGCGGTGCAGAAATCACATACACGGTGTATTTTTAATCAATTTTTTTATACCTTCTGTATTAGATATGATGGGGAAAATTGAATGGTGCAATAGCTCAAGGCCATGAAAATAGCAGCTCTGGATAAACTAAAGTTACTCTTTTCTTTAGAATACCCAATATATCTATGCCAGGTCAAAAATGGATCTTGAAAGACAATGTTAGCATGGTTACTAGAAAGAAGTGCCTTTGGAAGTTACCGTGTTGCACTCCCCAGGCCCTGTTAGGAAGCTGTTATTATATGATTATAATGGCTAAATGAGCACTGTTACAATATCTTATCGCCTAAAAAATTCCTCCCCTTTTGGAGTAGTGAAAAGGGCACAGGAAGGCAAGCTTCAAGCTAACTTAACTACAAAGTAGAAGACTTTAGCAGCCTTAAAACTAAGTTTCACAGCAGCTTTTGCTCTGGGCTCTCTTCTGCTCCGAACCATGCAGGCTGCCCTGCCCAGTAACAGAAAAGCTGAGCTCACTCAGCACATTGCAGATACACAGCACTGTGGCTCTTGTTTCCAGTGTGTACAATTGCTCCAGAAAAACTGCTTTTCCTCCCAGCACAAAAACTGAGCAGAATAACCTATTGTAATATGCTGCCTCCAACAACAATAATCTCAAATTGTTGCTGTAACAAAGAACACCACACAAACCACAACAAAAACCTGGATGAAATTTAAATGCCTATTTTTCTTACTCCAATGCATAGTACCCAGCAACCAGGCAGTCAGATGCTGCTCACAGATCTATTTACTCCTATGCATCAGGAAGGCAGCCAACCCATTTGCCTTTAACAATACAAAGTAATCAGTTCAATGATCAGCTATAAGCACATTCTTCCTCTGTAGATCAATCCAGCTATTTTATGTCACATTTTGTTCTGATTTCTCTCACCTACAGGATAGATGTAAGCTACCGTATAAATGTTTTTATTAAACACAGGGATCCATTTCCCACCTGGTGATGTTAATGGTAGATCTGTTTGATTTAAATGAAGATGATTTAACTCAACCTGCAATACTCACAAAACATATTCATCTTACTGCAAAAACAATCATAAGGAAGGTTTAGATTTTTTTGTACATCCTCCTTAATTTCTCCAGAAAACAACTTCCAAACGTTTTCATTGGAGCTTCAAGGAGCTGTATTCTCACAGTGCAGAGCTGAGTGAAGTCAAACAACGCAGTTCAGTCTGCCTCATCTTGATCAATCCTACTGAAGTAAAAAAAAATTATATAACATTACAGAAATCTACAAACTATTTTTAATGTGTGGGAGCAAGAAAACACCACAGACATCCGTGCATGATCAGAAGTGGGGAGAAGTGTTCATATCAAGGGTCAGCAGCTGCTCTGCAGCAAGGAAACACAGATCACACTACAGGCTCTGCCACTCATGGGGCCTTGGCCAAATCTCCTCATAGCCCTGCTCATGATGTTTTGGTTATTTAAAGCACAGGGTCTTTATGGAGGTGTCATTTCCCGCTGCTTGTGCAAATGCCTTAAGTGATAGGGCTCTAATTACATTAACAGGCAGGTATTACTGTAACATACACTGTGAGAAATAACCAATTGTACAGAAAATCTAGATTACTAAAATAGTATCTATTTCAACATATTTTTAAGAAAAATTCCCAGTGGGACTAGAAAGAAAGTTGTGTTTTCACAAACCAATAGTGTAAAAAAAAGAAAAAGAAAAAGAAAAAGAAAAAGAAAAAGAAAAAGAAAAAGAAAAAGAAAAAGAAAAAGAAAAGGACTTGCTCCCCCATCTTCATTAAACATATTTATGTGTGTAAGCAACACAGTGCTGCTTTTATGAAAAAAGCTGCAAACTCATGTGTCCAATGCTGAATTTCACACTGGGCAAAACCAAAACGATGTATGCAGTCATTCATATGTACACAGTTATAGTGACTGCCAAATGCAAAATGCTGCACAAATACAGCTCTACTGTGCACTTCTAAAAGTCATGGAAACTGCCAACTCCCTACATATCTCTTATTGTTCAGAATGCACATTATCCCCACACAAACTCAGCCGTTTAAAGGGCTGTTAAACACAGAAGAGTCTGTTCTTGCTCTTCTACCCCTGAGCTTTTTATTTCACAGGAGAAAAGTCAAGCAGTGCAGCTCCATGGTGACCACTCTCCTGCCTCAATTCCTTAGCAGGAAAACAAAAACAAACCACTCAAACAAAAACAAGCAAACATGTATCTCCAGTCCCAGGACAGGGCAGCAGCTCCCTAATCTCAGTTCTCACTCAGCTCAGCAGTACCTTCAACCCCCTTCTGCTTGCAGCCTCCTCTCCATCATGGCACTTTTCCTCCCTCACCCCAGGCATTCTCCCAGCCACTGACATCTCTCCATCTTGTCATGCTGCTGCTCAGTTCTAGTGAACCCACGGCCTCTGCAATTCCCTGCATCTCTGGGATTAAGTTTCTAATATGTTTTGTGTGCTGAAATAGCAGCAATGTGGGGTGAATTTTACATAGGAAAAGGTTGTCAACACTAAGAAAACTGTCACACATTTTCTGCCCTCCAACTTATACAGCTCTACATAGATTTGCAGATCAACATGGCTGCTACCACAGAAACCTCATTCAGAGACAGGCTGTTTGAGCTTTCACACACACAGAACAAGTGGAACAGGAGTTGGAACCCAGAGTAAGAAAAAGCTCAATCTTCCCCTCTGTGCTGCCACAGCCTCTTGCAGGCCCAAGCAGTTTGGAGCCAGGTGCTCAGGAAGAAAAACAACACATCCTTCCACCCAGCTTCATCCTCTCCCAGCCCCACAGGAGAACACACTTGATCAGTTTACAAGGACGTCTCATTGTTCACGTTCTGAGACCTGAAGGAATGTTGTCTGCCAATACATTCCTGAAGGAAAGTCAGGTAGCAAAGGCTAGTTTTCCATTGGAATCTGCATATGGAGTCACACTGATAACTGCTCTGTGCCTGCTTGTTGACAGGGGATGAGGATGAAACCCAGGGTACCCCAGCCACACACCCAGATCCATCAGGCAGCACCATCAAGGCCTCCCTGCAGGACCCTGGGGATGATACAGACACCCCTGCAGGGCATGAGTGGGTGCGTGGTCACTGTACCACCAGCACCCTGTGAGAGGTTTGGGAGGGCGGGCAGCAGGCTCTGCACTTCTAGAGGCACCCTCTTCTCTACCGGTGCACAGAGGATGAGGCACTGAGGAAGCAGAGTGCAGAGACACTGCTTCATTGCACCAGGAAAGCTTAAAACCATCTTCTCCCACCTTCCACGAGGGCTACAGGTTTCCAAGCTTTGATCGTTTTAACTGACTGGCATGGTGTAACCTCACAGCATGCCATGGACTCAGCGAGGCCAAAGCAAAGATGCTTACACATTTGTGAACTGCAGAGACATTGACGCGTGTGGCTTTTTGAGCTTGCCCTCAAATGACAGTGTTGTGACATGGCTCCAGCAGACAGCAAGCTCTTCACATCTCCAAGCAGGGCAGTGGACCTGCACAGGGATGCTCCCTCACATCAGTGGGCAGTTAGTTGGGGTACTCACTTCACACTTGCCTTCTTGGAGGTCCCAAAGTAAGGGAACAACAACACCAACAACAAAAAACCAACAACACAGAAACACACTTTTCCCAGCCAACAGCTCAATTATTTTCAGCACCAAGAGCATTACTGGAGTGTTTCGCATCAGTGCTGCCAACCCGAGCGTGTCAGCTCGCTGTGCATCCAGGAATCGCCCTGACAGCCCCAGCGCGGCCTGCAGGAGCCCTGCGCGGAGCTCTGCACCGCACACACAGCGACGCAGCCACCGCAGTCACAGAGCCCCGTGGCAGCACAGCGCTGACCGCGCTCCGCACTCGCAGCGAGCGGACGGGTCGCGCCCCCCCCCGCGCCCAGAAGCGGGCTGCAGGTGTACGGACGGGCGCGGTGCGCAGGGCAGCGCGGGGCGGCAGCGACCAACGCCGGGCGGTGCGGGAGGCCGGGGCAGGGTGCGGCGAAAGGCAGGGCCCCGGCCGGGCGCTACGCGACGGCGGGGCCGCAACTTTCCCGAGGGCGGAGGCTGCACGGCAGCTCTCCCGAGGCACGGCGGCCGGTGCCGCCCGGGAGGCTCCGGGACCCACGGCAACGCCGGACCCGCCGCTTCCGCGGGGAGCGCCGGGCTGCAGCCGCGCCGCCTCCCGCCCTGGCCGGCCCGGCGCTGCCTTCCCCTCCTCCCCTCCCTCCGTCAATCCCCACCCTCCGTGGGCGGGTGGGCGCACGCGGCCGGCTACCTTGCAAGCGGAGTAGACGCCCAGCTTCTCCAGCTTCTTGGCCCGCGGAGCCGCGCGCAGCTGCGCCTTCTTCCCGGCCGTGCGCGCCGAGCCGGGCCCCCCGGGGCTCTCGGCGGCATTACGGGCCGGACCCCCGGCGGCGGCGGCCGCCACCCCCCCGGCGGCCGGGGAGCCCTGCTGCGGCCCGCCGCCTCCCGCCGCCCCGGCCGCGGCCCCGCCGCCCGCCTCCGCCATGCCTGCGGCGCGGCGGCAGCCGCCCGTCCGGCCGGCCGGCGCGGTGCGCCCGGCCCTAGACCCTCCCCTTCGCCGCGCCGCCGCCGCCGGCTGCTCCCCGGGGGGGTGGGGGGGGGCGGGAGGAGGGCCCCGGCGCTCCGCGGGCGGCTCCTGTCCCGCCGGGCGGGGGGGAGCCGGCGCCCGCCTCCCGCCGCCGCGAAGCGCGGGGCTGCGCGGGGGCGGGCGGCGGCCGCAGGCGCCGAGTGCGGGCCCGGCCCCCGGGGCTGAGGAGCTCGGGGAAGGGGCGGCATCGCCGCTTCACCAGCAGAGCCCCCGCGCCTCCTTTACCGCTCGCAGGGCCAGGGTTTATTTGACTTCAGCGGTGCTTTTCCACGCTGTGCGCTTTGCGGCTTGCTTTTCAACGGGTTTGTAGGTGATTTCCAAGTCAGCCTATACGTATCTGTCAGTTTCTTTTAAACGTAAAACTCAAAAGACCCGCTGCTCCATTCCCTGCATTGTCCAGGAACGTCTCCCTTAGTGTTGACAGCGGGCCATCCTCTGTCTGTTACCTTTCCATTGAAAGCAACAATTAAGCAAAAGATCCCACAGCAGTCACTGCGCTCAGCGCGCAGAAGTCCCGAGGAAGTTACGCTCTGTCGCACGTATGTAAAATCGCGGTCGAGCCGCGAGAAACCGCAGATGGCACTTCCACAGCGGGGCACCGCGGCTTTAAAGGTCGGGATTGAGGCTGGGCTCTGGTGTGCGATCCGCAGCTCTTTGATGTGTCAACCTCAGGCTGCAATACCGAGAGGAGGGGGGATCCCAGTGCGTAACGTGCGCTTGCAAAAAAAGCAGCTCCGGATTTGTGCACCTGCCCCGTCCCATCCCTTACCCGGCGGTGAGCGGCCCCGGGAGGCTGCGGCGAAGCCTGTCCTCCCGGCAGCTGTGACAGCGACCCGTAAGATGGCTGCTGCCTTCCCCGCTGCGTTAAGACGGACTGTTAAGGTGGAGGAGAAGCTCCGCTCGGAGGCGACGGGAAACGCAACCCCTGGCTTAGCGGAGTATGAACAGGAATGAAAAGAATAAATAAATTCGCTTCTGTTAAATCTGAGAATTCTTTGTTGATACTGGAAGTGGTCGAATCGCGTTTTAGAATGACAAACAGCCGCTGTACGATAACAATTTAAGAACAATTTCCTCAGCCTCTCCGCTCGCGTTCCTTTATGTCGGCGACGTTTCCACTTTCCCCCCGGACCCGAAAACGAAACTGTTAGCGCGCAGTTTCACTTTCAGCTTTACCCCGCTCTGCGAACTTGACGACCGAGCAGATCCTCTGACACAATAGTCGGCTCCTACAGGCCGGGGGGCCGTTGTTGGACACGGGCTCCTGGACTTGACCGAGCTGCTGGAGCCGTTCCACAGCTCATGGTACTTATGCAACCCACTATCATTTGCACACCCATATACAAACTAATTCCCCACTTCAATTCTCAACACGCATTTAATATTTTTGCACAGTAGGGCAATTCCACCAATACGTGTTAGGCCCTTTGTGTCTGCAGCAGCACAGGCAAGTGTTCCCAGCATCATTCCCCAGGTGAACAACCTTAATCTTTTCACTCTACTCTCTTCATGGTTCTTAAAAGACCAATAACTTTTTACTTCCACTGAAATAAAACATTTCATGGTGTGTTTATGAGGGTCTATTGCAAAAACCACATTGCATGCAGATTAGTATAAAGACAAAACTCTATATTCCCATAGTTCCTCCTTGAAGCCACAAGAGTATGTCTGCCTTACACCACATCTCTACTTTTTGCCTTCTGCTCACCAGATAATCAGAGCATTAAGTCTACCAGAACAGTTAGCCTACCAGACTGTGGCTACGGATACAGTTACTATAGTAACATTTATAAACACCAATGTCACTACAAATGCAGTGTTGCCTGCTATCATGGAGAAGCAGCTTAAAAACAAAACACACTTAAACTGCAGATAGGTAAGTTCTCTTTTATATATATTTATATATATGTGTGTATATATATAAATGATGGCATCTATTTAATCATTGTTTCCATTCTAACTTGTGCTATTATGTTTTTTAAAACAAAGCAAGCCCCAAGGATTTGTCTTAAACTGTCCCAGGGACAGTTAAAATTTTGGCAAGGACTACCAAAGGTATGAGGAAAAGACCATTTGCTGGCCAGAAACACAGGGTATAACTTGGGCTGAACTGACTTGCAGTAGCTTCAAGAATATGATTTGTCCATAACAAGTTACACTACACAAGGAAAGCTGAAAAAATTGTGCTTTAACATATGACTGTTATACATGCATATACAGTTTCAAATATTTGAATTTTTCTGTTGATTGATTTCACAAGCAAGCACATCTTTATTTTCCATTTATAACATACACACAGCTCAACCTGAGCACAACAGAATGGCTGCAGTGCTTATTTTCAATCACTAAGTATGTAATACAAAGATACTAACTTAGAGTCAAACTCAAAGCAATGTCTTAAAAATCCTTGCCACATTTTTTCAGCTTCCATCCTTTGGGGCATTTGAATGGGTTTGCTCAAGAGGAGCCAAGCCTGGAAGTAGCTCCTAGGAAGCACCAGTGGCAGCCAGGTGAGCCCAGCTGCCTCTTGCCCCGCTTGTGAGCTCGGTCAGTCAGCCCTGTGATTCTGGAAGGGCTGCTCATCTGCTCCACAGCCAGCCAGGAGCCAGGTGATGTCCACACCAACTCCCACACTCTTCAGGTTCCCTTCAACCTGGTGGTGCCCCAGGAAAGCTCTGCTCATAGTTGGGGTTCCCATCCCTCATCACATCCAGAGTATGCTACCACTGCCTGGACTCACAGTGAATACCAGACAAGTTTAAATGCAAAAGCTATACATTATTCCAGCTAAGGAGATAGCTGTATTCTTGATGCAACAAAAGAAGAAAATTAAAATGCAACTCAGGGCGAGGCTGATGCCTGCTTGTTACCTAGCTGTCATGCAGAGCTTTTGGGGCCTACCTTGAAATGACTCAACTAATAACAGCCTGATACAGATCAATCTGAGGAACCTCCTTGCCCAGGGCCCAGCTTCACAAGCCCTCCAACCCCAGCTCCCAGCCCAAGCAGAGCCCTGTGCCCAACCCACACCTCTTCCTCCCTTCTTGATCATGATGGGACTCCTCATTCTCCCACCAGTTTTATTCATGAATTCAATGCAAATGGAGAAAGGGGACCTCTTCCCTTCCAGTGAATTTCTCAGAGTATGTAATCCAATTGTGTTCTTTCATTAGCACGTTCCTTGTGGGCGAAACAGCCTCCTCTTGGCCACCAGGCATTCTGAGCTGCTATCAATATTTTATGAGTCACTGGAAGTAGTAACAGCACATTTTTGTTCATTATACTGTATCTAGCATCTTGTCAACTTCCCATGGTGCTTGCTTGCAATTTTAATCACACAGGCTGCAAAACTTACCAGTAAGCCTTTGTTAAAGAGAACGTCACATCCCAATTACTCTTTTTTTTTTTTTCTTCAAGGAAAAAAATAGAGAAAAAGAATGGAGAATATGTCACTGCAACAATCATGGCTGTTTGTGTTGCTAAAACTTCTCACCAGAGCTGAAGCACTTTGGTATTTTTATTCACTTCTTACCCAAAATGTACTTTCTGGGGCTGCAGTCAGTTTTGAAAGACCCAAACCAGGGTGAAGCTGGCAGCTGAGCTCACTTACCACAGGCAGTCTTTGCCCATGCAACATGAAACACACATGAACTAAGTTCAGAAGCTGCTTGCTGATGTTGCTTACTCATCTGTACAGCCTCACATTGTATTACAAGGTGGCAAGCTCTACCTTGCTTCATGCAGGCACAGGATGTATCATCTATTTCTCCTTTACCTCCTCTTCCTTCCGTCTCCCTATTTTTGGTTTACTCCATCCTCTAACATCGTTTTCTCTGCTACTCTGCTCCTCTCCTGTGAAGCAGAGAGCTCTGCAGCTTTCTGGGACCCTTTCCCCAACCACCCCACCAGGAGCAGGCCCACTGGCAGTGGTGGTATCAGCCATCCCTGGTATCTTGACACAGCCTCAGCTGGCAGCAGGGCAGGGAAATCACGTGGCCTCACTCCTCCAAGCTGCACCCTTGATATCACACTGATCTAAACAGAAAAGCCACAAAGAGAAAAACCCTTTTATCTCTCTAAGATGATTACTACAGAAGGCCTCTGGTGGGTAACAAACTGGCACCTCCACCCCACCACAACAAATCCAGCTACCACCATCAGGTGCAAGATACCTGTGATAGAGAAAGTTTATTTAACTCCCACTTCAAAGGCCTGCCTCTTGGTGAAGAGCTGCCGCTATCCAGGAGGGCAGTTCTAAAAGAACCTAATGCAGGGAGCAGTTTCAAGCTGACATGATACCAGCAGGGCTGGAATCCCACAGTTCCAGTTTAGGACAACACTAAGAGGTGAGGTGGCTAATTACCTTAATTTATTCAATGATTATTTTAATTATTAATCACTTCCTTCTTTCTTGCCTATTATCAGGGCCAGTGCTGGGAGTGCTCCCAAGCCCCAGCACAGCATGTGACTCACTGGGTTCACCTCCATCACTTCCCACCTTTCACAACAGGGCTTCCTTGGAGCTATGCTGTTGCTGCTGGAGACAGTAAGTCAGGTGCTGTACTGACCTAGGCTGACTTACCTGGGAGAAGATGCATGGTTATTCCTGCAGATGGTTTTAGAGGCCCAGCTCTCCTAAAAGTGGAGGAAGGTGTAGGACTGGCTGCTTCGTCTTTTCAAATGAAGTGTTTTTAAGAGGCCTTATATGCATTCAATAAAGCCAAGAGCGTTTTCATGATAGATATTAGCTTGTGGCTGCTTTGGCTAAAGACCACATGAAAAAGAGACTAAGTAAATGTGTGGTCTGCTGGCAAGGCAGCATCTGTCAGGACAGGGTGTGGTTTGAAAAGCACCACGAGGTGGCACAGCCAAAACTACAGCTGCAGCAGCTGCTCACACTGGCTCCTGGGTGGGGACCTCACATCACACAATCCCAGTGATGCCAAGAGTCCCTGTCATGGCTATGCAGGTATGAGAAATTCACCTGTTCAGGGAGGATTGGCAGCAGAGCAGCCTGTTTATACACATTAGCTGGTAATATCATTACAAGCTCAGTGAAACAGTGACCTCCATGCAAATCATCTTTGCCTCCTCCTGTCACCCTCAGGCAGGCAGACACCTTCCTGGCACAGCTCTCAGCATCCATGAGTTTTCTAAGGCCACTGACATATAGCTAGTAGTAACAATTATTCAAAGTTTATGAAGGAAGGAGTTTTCAGGTAGATATTAAGTTAATTGCTGACTGTGACAAAGGTAAGACAGGAAGAAGCATGTTCTGGGTGGAGACATGAATGACATGTCAGAAGGAGATGAGGACATGTGGGACTCACCTGGACACAAATCAGATCCTGGATCATTAAATCTCCATAAGTGACATCTTTACTACCTAAAAAAAGAAACAGAACACTTTGCAGAGCAAAACTGGAGGAAAAAGTCTCCTTGCTATATGAACAGCAAGCAGCTCGAAGTGCCAGAGCTACAGGGCGCTGCCCGAAATAAGGTTATTGAGATGATGGTGCTCTGTGTCACACAAGCCCGTGGCCCCAGCTGTGTGCTCTGCCTCTGTTTGGCCACTCTCTTGCATATGGCAGTGGATGGGCAGGCAGAGCAGCAGGACAGCTTACCTCTGTAGGAGCCAGAGAGAGCTGGCCAAGAGGCTTTTAGCTGAAACACAAGAAGTAAAGAAAATATTTACCCTTGAAAACAAGTAATCTCAAAATATGCTTCCCTGCCCATTCTTTTTTTTTTTTTTTTTTTTTTCTCCTCTGCTCTTCTATTTTTAGCTCAGAACATTAAACACTGCCAGGTTGGGGCCCCCTAAATAGGTACAGGGAAATTGCAGTGAGCTAAGAAGCCGTGTTTTCTCTTTCCCTCTCTGAGGCTACAAGAGCTTAAGCTTTCTATGTTGTAATGGCAATCTCACTGCTATCCTTTAAACCTATAGCAAAATATTTGCAAGTCTGCATCTGTTCCTGGTGAGAGAAAAGCAAGGAGAGAAGAAAATATAAACAAGTCTTTTTTCCTTCACAAAAGATCAAAGTGAATTTTTCCCTTTTTTTTTTTTTATTGTTACCAGGTTTATAGACTGTAAAATATATATAGCATGCACAAACAATATAAATATACTATATAAAAATCTAACAAGGTAGCCGATCTTTTAATAATTTGAGCCAAATGATTGCAACTGAAGAGCTGCAGCATATCCTGTTATTCTACGTGAATTATTATAGATATTATTCTGGTTATTCATACTGTACTCAACTAGGATTGTTCTGGTTCTCTGAAATAGCAATTTGTTAGCACTCACACCTACTTACAGCAATATAAACAGTGTGAGTGTTAAGAGCTAAGTTTCCTGAAGCCAAACCAACATTTTGTTGAAAATTTTCAACTTCTTGTCTCTGATCCTAAAAGCTTTTATATATCAATTCATTTTATATGCAGTATATTTAATAGGTTGACAGAAAGCAGCTTACCAGATTTTCTGTATATATTAGCCCTAACCTTTCTTGGACAGGAATGCATCACTACCAGGACAACAGTGACAAGGCTTGTACAATTTCCCAGATTCAAATTCAGACTATGCAGAATAAAGAGAGCGATCTGTGTGAGACTGCCTTCTGCTGGCATCTTGAATGTGTACCTCCTTATTCTGCCACTGAAGTGGTATAGCATTTCTGAAGCGCCCTGATGCTCAAGTTCAGTAGACAGATGGACTTACCATAAACTGGTTCCACAGTAGATTGAGAGCTGTAGACACATGCAGGCTCACCTCTGTAAGGACAACATATACAATGGTGTGAAAAGGGTTTAAGTAGCTCTGCTAATATCTTAGCATTTATCACTCCCTGTAGAATAAATTTTCCTTTTTAAATTTTGTGATTGATCTGCCTCAGCTGCTCATAGGCACTTGATTTTTTAAGATTCTTACACCTCAGAGATGATGAACAGAAGGAGTGAGAAAGAAAAAAGCGTTCTTCCCAGCTAAAGTCCTAGAAGAGGGAACAGTTGCCAAATAACTACTTTAAGTGCAGCTGAAAAACTTGAAGCAGAATGAAGTTGCCGAACTTAAGTGAGGCCAAAGAAGAGGGTATGCACCATGGGAAGCTGACAAGATGCTAGAGACAGTATGTTTCCCAGAGATCTAAAAGCTCAAACACTGCTTGGTAATATTTTCCTTTTCCCTATACTTTCTTAATTCAGAAACTGACACTTTCAAAGTCCATTCTACATTAAAAGAAAATTCACACTGCTAAGTCTGGCTCTTGTAAGCAGAAAACCCCCAACAGAATATAATCCACGCAAATGTTATATATCTTGTGTGTCTATACACAATCGTACATTTTTTTCCAGTTACTCCTAAAGCACGAGATTTGATTAAAGAGAGATATCAATGCTACTGGCCCGCACAAAATTGTCAGTATTTTTTCATCTTTAACTCTTAATTTTTAATATGCACTTACTCCACTATTATGTCTGGAAAGTGAGGATGTGGTACAGAAAACCTGATGAGAAACTACTTCATACATGCAGTATTAACAGCATGAAGGCACAGAGCTATGCATCAAGTCACAATGAGGAAACAGAAAACTGACTGAGACCTTAGGAGGTGTAAGGTAACAAACTGCATAATGCACTTTCTATGTCCAAATTTTTCTGTTCTTGAATTAGCTGCATTACTAAGTTTTAACAGTTTTTACACCTTTAACATCATTCAATTTATAAACACGTCACAAATACTACATCACTGTGTAATATATCTAATACTGAAATGAAAATTCATAGCACATTAAACTCCTTTATAGAATGACATGGGAGGAAAAATCACAGGATAAAGCAAGACCATCCAATGATGAACTCTGCAGAGATGAGGAAGATCATCTGGAGAAAATCACGATGGCATTTGAGAATGCAGATGCCACAGGCATTTCAATTCTCTGCTCAGTGTGTCAACAAGCAATATATCCACACCATTTTTTTAATCACAAAAAAACCCACAAAGCTCTAACTTTGTTGGGCTATGATAGCTCACAAACAAGAGTGGATGATAAAACACTTTTAGCTCAGAGACAGAAGCTAATTTCAAAATTAACTGAGCTTCCTAAGAATTCTGAAAGACATCGGCAGAAGATCAATATTTCATATGAATTTCTTATGGATGGTCATGCTTCTACATCATGTTGTGATCATGACAATACAAACAGTGTTAACACTCTCAAGGAAGTAAAAAATTCATCAATAAAAGCATTATCAATTAGTCAAGATAAAAATTCCATGTGGCAGAGAGACATAGAAGACAGATTTTTTGTAGTGGACAACTACGGAAGTAGGTCAGATACATGTTTTCTGGGACTAATTGATGGGCACGGTGGCATGACAGCTGCAGAAACAGTTGCAGCAGAGCTTCCACTTTTATTTCTTGACCAGCTTGCTCAAACAGATCCCTCCTACAAAATAACCAAGGAGGAAAGGCAAATTCTAGACTCTTTTGCCACAGTAATCACGGAAGACTACAGGGAAAAAGAGAGGATTTTCTCTAACAGACAGAACAAGACCCATAAGACAAATACTTACGAATGGATTCACAAAGCATACGCCAAGGCCTTCTGGAGAATGGACAGACTTTTACAGCTAGGAAGGAATGAGGTTTCCAGAGTTCGATGGAGTGGCTGCTCAGCTGTAACCTGTTTGATGGAAAGACTCCCCAGTGAAAACATGGATGACACTCAACACTTTGAAAACAGCTCGCAAAGTTCATTAACTAGGACAACTGAGGATGTTGCTGGGCTCCTGCACATTGCTAACATAGGTATGTACATTTCACACTGGATTTTTTTTCCTCTCTGCCCAGAAAAATAATTTAGAGGTTTACTGGCAGTAAATATTTGGAGATAAAAAGCTGGAATTGCTTTAACTTATCAATGTGAAGGAAACACAGTGAATATCCTGTAATTGATAACAGCATCAGGCAATAATATCAGGCTTATTGGATGAGAACCCTCAATATGGTAACTGAATTAAGGCAGTAAGTTTACTAACATGAGACACATGGCTGGACAGCATTCTGTTTATATGCAAGTGACCCATGTAAAAGAAGTATTTAAAAATCAAGAGGAAGCTTAAGGTGTCAATCACTTTAAGACAAACACAAACATTCTAGATCTGATAAATCCCTAGTGTCAAAGAAACACATTTAAAAGCATTTTCTTCTCTTAGTCATTTGTTTCATTGAGTGCCACTTCATATTGCTACTGAAAAATGGGATCTGTAGGGATTATCTGAACTATCCATTTCAGAAATCAGTGATTTACTGCTGTCAAATCTATTCAGTCCTTCTTCCTTACAAAGGTCACCTTTCCATAATGTAGAAAATTATCAATTACAACAAGAAACGTTGTTATATTCCTAATGCCTCTCCTCCCAGATTTGCTGCAGGCAGCACACTAAAGCTCATGCAGTCCTTTACAATTCTAGTCATTATGTCTATCCACTTGGAAACTTGTTATCAGTTGAGTTCTTGTATACACACGACAGAAGATGCTTTCCCGCAAAGAAATACACAAGCAGAGTTTTTTGGTTTTGTTTTGTTTTTGTCTTTCAAAGCTCCTGATGAATAGTTTCAAATGAAATGCTGTCTACAGTCTCAAGTATATTCCAGTCTCTGCTTGATTTATATCCCCAGCACTAATACTTTCATCTCAATCTCAAGGAGCATTATCAGGAAGCATGCTAACACTAATTTTCTATCAACAGGGGTACTTTTCTCCTCCTCAAATGAGTGTTTTCAGAAAGCTTCTATGACCTCTTCCTATTTCTTCCTGTGAATTTTGATTGCAATTAATCAAGGTCAGAAATAAGAAGGAAAGGGATAATCTTTTAAGATACTTCATTTCTTTAGGATGCAAAAATATTATATTCCACATCCATATCCAACTCATCCAAGATTAAGAAATGATTCTAGTAATAATATGCAATTCTTTGCAAATCTGAGGATTCTATAAACCAACCTGAACATGCAATGACACTGAAAGACATTACCGTGCTCTACCCACCTTTCCTCACTACTCTGCCAACACTTGTTACTATATCCATGCTTTATCTCCAACAAGCACTTTTTCAGCCACCAGAACTTAACCATTACTGGTATCAAAACTGGTACCAGATCACATTATTCTTGCAAGAGATACAGTCACACATATAATGGTATATAAAAGCAACATACGTAAAGGTCAGTGTTTTCAGATTGAATAACTGCAAATGTATTGAGAAAAAAAATATCCTTTCCTCTCAGAGAAAGTTTTATGGTGGCTTCAATTACAGATACTGTAGGCTTAAGCTCTGTAAATCAAGTTGATGAGAGATACTTCAAGCCTTTTACGACTTAAGTCCTCGCATTTGAACTACTTCTAAATATACATTTACTTAAACTAATGCATTAATTTCCCCCACCAAAGAAAAAAAAAAGATTTTCACAACAATTTTTTCCCCCCCAGAATTGCGTTCTTACAGACAGAGCAGAAGACAGCAGCACTGCTTGCTGTATTTTGTCTCACAGTAATAGGTCACCTGGTTTTTGTTGTCTCTTCTGCTGTCTCTAGATTGCAGACAAACCTGCACCCAAAAAAACAATCTAGATTTTACTCTAGCAGAGAAACTTTTACACATGGGTTACATTATGCTCTTGACTAGGCTTTCAGTTGGGGTCTTACTCTGAGGGATCAAACAAGTTTTAGACAACCAGCTAGTTTTCTGCAGAAATCAGAGTACAGACAAGGGAGCAAGAGACAAATAACTTAAGGTGTTTACATTCTGTAAACATCTGTATTCTTCAGTTGGATATTAAAAATCACCTAGAGAAATCTACCTTCACAGGGAAATACACTTGGAGCTATCCCCTAGAGTAGACAATGTCAGTACTTGCCAAGAAATACAACAGTATAAGCACTGCCTATAAACAGTTTTCATGCCCTCCTCCTGTCAGAAAATGCAAAAGAATGCACTGTGGCCAACTTAGCATTTGGAAACTACAATCCCAGTCAATTTGTCTTTAGCACATCACTTTTTGTCCTTATACCAAAAGAGCAAAGACTCTCCTAAACACAAAAATTGCCTCCTCTCAGTGTAGCCACAAGGGATCTCAAACGCTGCACACCTTGTTTCAGAGATGCTTTCCTTTATACCCTGCATTCAAATCTGACAAGGCTGATCAACTAGAGTGTTGCGATTTTTAATACTTTTTCCACTCTCACCATCTGGATTTCAATATAATTAAGTGAAAGAAAGTAGAAATTTCCTTTATTTCTACTAAAGGAAATAAATTAGTCCTGCTAAAAGTCCTGCTTGAGTACCTCAAAGAAGAGACTTAATGCATAGGGCTAAAGAACTGTAAACCCTAAATAACGTCCAAATTATTTTTTAGCTACTAGCTATTTTATAGTGCTTTAAAAACTCTGAACTTGCTTTCTGATGGGTTAATTCAGCCACAATGTTTTGAGAGCACACTCTCTCCTAGAAAAGTACATGAGGAGTACTTGACACCATCCTTATGTACTCAGTTAAGAGCTTCAATTGCTTTTCAATTGCAACATTTCTATCAGACTGCATGTTAGGCCAATTTGAAATGTCACAGATTCCTCACAAAAGTTTAGCTGTAGTCAGAAAAACAAGGTTCTAGAACAGTCTTCTGAGTAGTGGGAGGAGAAAAAAATCCACAAAATCTTCCAGTAAAACAGAACAGTATTAATTTATAGTCATATTGCTGCCTACAATAGTAAAAATTGAACAATGATTTTTTTTCTCCTCCAGTCTTTAGCAAAGTACTGATCACTGATATTACAGCAATGTAAGAAAAAAAAATAATCAGTGGGCTACAGTTACAAAATATTTATTTTACTTTTAGGTAACATACATGCAGTTTTATGTAAAAACGGCAAGAGTTATCGCCTCTCAGAAGAGCACAGCACTTCCAATGTAAGGGAGAAAAAACGCATACTTCAGAATGGTGGAAACATCAGCACTAATGAATCAGATGGATTAGTAGAGGGTCACCTCAGAACTACAAGAGGTCTTGGATATCACGGAGATCCCACACTAAAAGGATCCGTTATACCTGTACCTCATAGCATCTCTGTCCAAATTGATGATTCTTGTCAATTCCTTATTTTAGCTTCTAATGGGCTTTGGGAGGTTTTGGATTACAATGAAGTATGTGCATTAACACTAACAACATTCACTCATTATCTGAGAATGTATGAATGCATTCAACAAAATGGCGCTTCTCTGTATAACTGCCAGTATTTGATACCCCTCTCTGAAGAGGAGTTAAGTTACTCAAAGGCTACGAATTATCAGCAAGTTGGAACAGAGATGCAGGACTCCAATATGGAGGTTTTTCTCCCTGACTCAAAAAGCAGCCTTACACATGGAAAGCCAGGATGTTGTAGCATGAGCTATTTGCAAAGTGAAAATGGAGTTGTTCCTAAGGAAACTAATGATCGCAAAAATCAAGCTGATCCAGAACTGACACTTTTCAGTAATGATGAGATAGGTCCAGAGAAAACAAAGATAAAACAGTCTGATTCTTGTACACAAGTCAGCTCTGAAGAAATGAAACAGTCAGAGGACAGAAAAGTTTATCTATGTAACAGTTCTCAGCCACATTCACAAACCACAGCACCAGAAGAAACAGATATTATCCATGCAACTAGTCCAAGTTACATCCATAAACAGCTGCCAAATAAACTGACAGTAAGGTCTAAAGACATTAAACAGACTCAAAATTGTACAAAAGCATATCTATCTATTTATGACTCAGATCCACAACTGGCTGAAAAAACAAATTCTAAGATATCACACGACAAGTCTGTAGGTTATACAGGCCACCAACTGCTGAAGACTACATTGCCAGTGGATTGTAAGACACCTACACATTTTGAAGAGGACACAAAAACATACCTGTCCAGTTGTGAATCACAAATCACAGGAAAAGGTGGGGTCACTTCCAAGGCACTCTATGACAACGCAGCAAACTACATCAGTGAACAACTGGTAAAGGCTGCATTACGTGCAGGTTCAAGAGATAATATTACTATTTTGATTGTACTTCTAAATGGATGTGATAAGTTACCCAACTAACTCAACATTTAAAAGGTATCATACGACAAATGAAGTTCCACAGAACACACAGCACAAGCTTATATTTAGCTGTGTCATGAAGTTACTTGCAATCACCTTAAATGCTTACCCATATAGCAAATCAGACGTGCTCTCAAACTGTTCAAATGAAATAAATGCTTCTGAAACTCACAGTAAGAAACAGTAATCACAAACTTACTTTTTTTTAACCACTTTATTCAAACCTGAGCACCTCAATATAAAACTAAACACTGGTGAACTGTCATTTGCCTTGCTAAAACCCAGATTACTGCAAATTAAAAATCTGCACAAGTTTCTGCTATCAGTTCAACATTTAAATAGACTAATTCATCTCTTCTGACACACTTGGTAGATTTCATATAATGAAAATAACTAAGAATTAGTGCAATATACTGGACAGGTCAAAATAAAATGTACTTTGGAAAACAAAGTTGCAAAGTTCATTATTGACAGACAGCAGTACTTATGTTACAGATACAGGAGCATCATTTATTACTGTTCTAGCCATAAAGGAAGAACTTAGAACCCCCTTTGATTAGAGAGGAAAAAAGTTAGCTTTAAGTAACTGTACATTCTGTATACCTTCAAGCAACTCTTAAATATTACAGAAAGTATTAAACAAATGTAGACTACAATGCAGAGTACCTATTTACAGTACATTAATATCCAAATTTAAAATCAAGTTGAATGTCCATAATTGTTAGTGCGCTATTTTTTTTTTCCTCAGGGGAAAAATAAACTGTAATGGCCAGCAATGATCAAAACCAAGAAAAAAGTCACAGACACCAAGTTTGTTGTGGTTTTACTTGAAGAGCTCTTACAGTTTGTAAAAAGGAAAAATATCCTATATTGTAAAGATGAATTTACTGGTTTGTACCTTCTGAACAGATTAGAAATGAAGTTAAACTTGATTTATCCTATTCTCTTTAGACAACTAAATGGGTTGATATAATTTACATACAGTGTACCAACTAAAAATCCACTTTCCTGCAAGCATAGGGTTCTTAAAATTGTTAATGCAAGTAGTACTTGGGATTAAATTATTAAACTATGGAATGTATAACTAAACAGTAGATACCTGCAGAAACAACTGGTTGCATCAATACTGTGAATGAGTTTAATTTTTAGACCCTGTTTCTAAAACTCTTCTAAAGCACAATTGAGAATTATGAAAAGTTCAAATTCTATTCATCGTAACAGTAATCAGTATTGAAGCAACAGGAACTGGCCAATTAGGTCCATGGAAAGTAGGTCTTCTATATCCCTAATGGAAAGCAATTTTTAAAACCTTTCAACTGAAGGAAGTTTATTCCGCTTCCATCACTCCTCTATGCTGAAACATTACAGACAGCGGTGGATACATGCATGTTAAAATTTTAGGTCAAAAGGAAATTCTGTATCATAAACTTGACTATTATTGTAAGTCTCTTCGCTGTTTGGAAGCTGTACTGGGCCAGGTTAAGCACTCCAATTCCATGGTTATTAACAGTTAGGAAGCAGAAGAATATTCAGAACAGTTTAAAGCAATTGATGTTTTAGTTACTACAACATTGACTCTTGGGTGGTTGTGTAGGTTCAGTAAGGTCTACTCCTCTTCCTCTGGCAGAGTTAGCTCCTGTATTCTGTGGTTCATTCTTTGGCAATTTTTTTGCTATAAAATCAACAAAAAAAAAAATAAGAGGTTAAATGTTGTAGTGAGATTAACTCATCTGAGTACACAAACAGGCAGCACTTCATTACTCTATGAACGTATCAATATAATAATTATAAAGTCTGATTCAATTCAGTGTGTTGGTAATAGAAGAAGTTAAGACACTTAACTTCTTAATGATTAACTATCATATCTAAGATTTAAGAGCAAAATTAGTATATTGAGCAGTAAAAAATATCTGCCTAGGCATGCTGCACAATGTCATAAAGTGACAGCTCTTGCAGGAATTCATCTACACAGAACAGTCTAAGATAAGAACATTGAGAGTAAAGATACAAAAACAATGAAAGAACACAACAGACAGAAATGGGTCAATCTACTGCCCAGATAACTACCCAGAATAAACACTGCATATAACTTAAGAAATGGTCCTCAGCACAAGATCAAACCCCTTCTTTTCTTTCCCTCCCCTCCCTCAAAGATGCATGTGTCCAGTTCTTATACATCAATTTACTGTGCTAACTTTTGTCACTCTTGTAGCTCAAGGATAACTCTCAATCAGACATGGAAAATACAGGTGACAAGCACTACCCTTCTCCGTAGCAACTCCTTGGAGTCATTTTCTGACAGAGAGAAAGGTAAGTTCTACTTCAGAGGACTTCCATGGGGCTGTCTTGTTCACTTTATCAGGACCCATCCACCATTCCTGTTCTACTTTCTGGCTGCATACTTTGATTCCAGAATTATAATGTTGGCCAACATTTTCAAGAGCGACTTTCCAAAAAAGGAATGAAATTCAACTACAGGAACAGGCAGCAATAACAAAAGTAGCACATCAAAAAGATTAACTCAGTTAACAGAACCCAAGAGTTCTCATGACTCTAAGCTGCAAAGACAATATGAGACACAACGTCAGCGAAAAAAAAACAACAAACAAACCACCATCTACCCAACACTGTTGCTTGGAAATGAGCATTTTTTATTTTTTTATTTTTTAATAACAGAAAGCCTTGAACAAGCTCTAAAGCAGTTAATTCACAAGCAGTTGTAGCTTGCATCCACTCCTTTCTGTGTTCTCATTTTTGACTTTCCTCACATTTTTGGAAGATCACATTTACATATGGTCCTTAGCAATGAACTCACGCTGTGCAAAAGGCTATTCTAAGCTCAGTGCTGCACAGATCTTGTTCTGATGCAATGCTAAGTTTGAATTTCACCTATTTCACTCAAAGAATACTCAGATGGACTAGGAACCTTGCAGACCAAGTACCCAGGTACTAAGTATGTACTTTCTGTCGTTTTAATGTGTGTACTTCATTAAAGTAGAAACAGGTAAGGTTTACTCTTTATATAATAAATTATTAAAATCACAACAGAATTTGAAGATTCATTTTTTCACATTTCTTTTAAAGATGCAGTTTGCATCGCGATGTTAAAAAAAATTTTGAAGCTGAGCTGTAGTCCTGCAAAGAGGACTATAATTGATCTTTTCTGCATCATTAAATGCAGTGCTACCTCCAGCATTTATGACAAAAATATATCTTCTACTTAGAATTCTGTACACCCTCCACCCCTCACCCCACATATTTATAGTTAATATAAAGAAAGTACTTGCTGTAAAATGTTGCTATAGTCATAATTTAATTTGCATTTGCTGGAAGTTCGAACTGCATTAGGTTACCTTCCACTTTATTGGTTTGCAAAGAAAAAGGTAAGGGCACTTTAAAAACAATTTATTTTGAAAGCAAGAGAGGTCACCATAGTGCAACATGAAAAACAGATTAATACAGTTATTTGACACTATACTTCACTGTTTCCTCCTAGTAACAGAGTGACTACTCCAATTAAGATTATTAAATAGGGCAAGTAACCCACCTAAAAGAGCCATCTTTCCCCTCTTTCGTTTTTTTTTTTAATAATATGTTATACTTATCAAGGGAATTCACAAGATTGTTAGTAATTTCAACTTTCTATTATGTGTTATCACCTTTATAGGAATTCCTAAGGAACGTTAGTGCTAAAAATATATTAGTAAATTCACTTTTCACACAAAGTACCCTTTACTTGTACTCAGACTTTGAATTTAAACACATATACTCATTCTTAGCACACCCTTTGCATTTTACATTGCTGCATTTGGAATTCAAACAATTTTAAAATAAAACAGTATTTAGCAAATACTCTAATTAGACTAAAATGAATACTCTTGACTTCTTTAAAGCAAGTCACTGTCATCTCTTATTTTGATACATTTCCAGCTTCAATGACTGTCTTGTAAGTACATTATTATAGCTTTTGCACCTACCCAAGGCAGTATGAGATCTGCTGCAAAAATCATAACGTTAAGAGTCACTTATTTATACATTTTTACTTACATTCTCATACTAACGTGATAACCATAAAATATATTTTGGATTTGTTAAAGTAAAACTATGTAAAGTTTTAATGATGAGCTATGCCACAGGAAAGGTTGGTGTTTTTTTTTTTTTATATATATATAACAGCAACTACAGCTTAATTTTTCTTCAACTTGAAGCAGTACCACTGATCACAACATAAAGATAGTTGCATGAAACTTGGTGACAGAATTCAAATTAATCTAAGCTTGTTCAGCTACTACAAATTAATCCAAGCTCTAAATGCCTGACAGAAGACCTGCGCAAATATGTTTCAATTCAGTTTATCTCAACATCATAAAGTAGCTGAAGGGGCCTGAGGAAACATCAGTGCCACAGAAAGAAAAATAATTTATGTGAAAGTCTGAAAGAGCTTGATTTCAGATGCTTCCAATTATACGCATCTCAAGAAAACAATTATATTCTCTTCCCCCTTCCCCCTCCCCCATCAACTCACCAATTCTCAAGAAAACAATTATATTAAATTCCCTCCCCCCCATCAACTCACCAATTGCCATAAATATTTCATTTACGTTCATAGATGTTTTGGCAGATGTTTCCATGAACAATAAACTGTTGTCATCTGCATAAGCTTGTGCTTCCTGAAAGAAAATACTGCATTAGTTCATTATACTTCATACTTTTACTGCTACTAAGGAAGAATTTATACTCCATTTTAAAAAAAGGTTTGCTGAAACACTCATGACAGCGTGTTATTCATTAGCTGCAGGGAAGTTGTAACTCCATCAAGTAGTTAAAAGAAATGCAATCTTGAAATCCTTATTTGTCTTAAAAAGTAATATTCCAGATCAAAACTTACACAAAACTAAATAGTAAATATTAGAAGGACAATCCTACTACAAGACTCTAGCTGTAATGGCATGAATAAATAAGTAACAGAAAATGCCTTCAAATGCCAAAAAGCCCATTATCACCTCTGTAAAGAACTACCTTCAGTCTTTCATCCACTAAAGCAGACTGACGAGAAGTTTCAGAATAGAGGATTTCTGTCAGAATAATAAAACTAATAAGGAGAATCTAATGTCTTGTCATATGATCTCCTTTGCCAGTCTGGATTTCCATCTGAAATACACATGCGAAATATTTCTGTTCCCTATTTTTGCCACTTCCTGTCAGTTCAGCTATGAATCCCTGGTGTCTTCAGATTATGTAACTGCCTTTGAATTCAATGGGAAATCTGCATAAAGCCCAACCATAATACTTATGATGAAAAAAAAGAAAAACTGTAGTCTAGTTCAATATTCATTTAATTAACAAGTGCTAAGACACATGTAACTGTATCAGAAATAATACATTTACCAATATTTAAAAAATCTGAAATGTTTTTGCAAAGGACTATCAAACCTGTGAAGATGACAATGAAAAATGTTAAGAACGTAACTATAAGAAACAAAACACCCCCACAACAGTACAGGTAGTTCTCCTTTGATAATTAAATTTGATTAAGTTTTTTTAATCTATAAAGATAGATAGTATTTGTCACATGCTGCAATTTTTCTACGGAATACCAGATTTTTCTGTGGTAGTTTTTATGTTGCAATTGACATAAAATAATAAAATTTTTTTTAGAATGTTGAATTTAGGTTGAAAAATACTTGGAATTACTAATCTTTACAGACTGATTTCTAAAGTTATACAACGGTTCATTATCATATGCAGCAGTATCTCGCACAATAACATAGATGAAAATAGTAACAGAATTAATGACTAATAAATATGTATTTGAATCACTTTTCTTAAGATCAATCAGTCCTGAATGAATGAGAACATCTGTAGTGAATTTTATTTGCTTTGGAAGTCATTTTCTGATAACTAAGTTTAATCAACATTTTCAAGAAGACAAACATAACAGAAGAGCATGCGTGTATCAATACAAATAAAAACAATGCCATGAAAAGCACAATTAAAAGCTGAACACTGCTTCAACAGTATACCCTAGGCAAGTCAAGTCTATCAGTCACCTTTGTATCATAAGATTCTCAAAATTCCCTTGTGGATAAGTCAGAGAGCTTAGGAACAAACTCTGTGCAGATCATTCTGTTGCTTCCACTAACACTGTAATTATAGATAATTTTGAGTGGAAGACAGGAAGAGATCATATCATAGAACAGAAATTCAATTAGCCTAAAAAATATGCAAATAAATTAGTTAGTCTATTGCCATATATCATTTGTACAAAAATATTTTTCAGCAGCATCTAGAATTAGCCTCTCTTGAGGTTTATATTTAACAGTATGACCTCTATGACAACCACCTAGCCTGTGCATGCTCCTCAGTAGGCCTTTTCACCTTCCACTCCAACAACAACAAAAAAGGTTATTTCTATAAACAGAAGGTATGCACATACCTGGAAATCCACAGCTCTTTTGTTAGCTAGATCAGCTTTGTTTCCTGCTAAAGCTATTACAATGTTGGGACTTGCTTGACGCTGAAGTTCTTTGACCCAGTTTTTTGCTCTGGCAAAGGACTCCTGTTAATGATTGCAAAATGATGCAAGTTGAGTTTTACCATCCTTTCCACTCACCTATTATCCCAGTCTCTGTTATCTATACTTCAAGCAAAATGTCAATTAAAGCAAGGCTGCTACCTCTGTCCTAAGACGCATTCACAGAGTTTTTTAAATGATACTTTTCTACCCTTATTTTTAAATGTTCTGAGTTACGACAGTACTGAATAAATAAAGATATGAAGATTTATGCAGACTAAGAAAAGATAGAGAAACAGTTGAGAGAAAATTAGAAATTTGTTTTAACCTCTAGAAGAATCAAGCTAATGAATAAACTCAAGGATTCTCAACATTTCTAATTATTGACCACCATCACAGTAGAGGGATGCTGGGTTTTTTGAAAGCTTTATTCTCATTTTTACCAAAAGTATACAAAGCTTATCTGATGCAAGTTCAAACAAAAAGAAATCAGTTAATGTTATGTTATAGCTTCAGTAGATTATGCTGCCTTTAATCCCTACCTTCTATTTTGCAACAATAACACATGAATGCAACATCTTTCACCATCAGAAATAATTTGTCACCAGTAGTGTGGTGAGCAACATTTCAATTCAGATGAACTGACTAAAGGTGGGCTTGAAAAAAACTGCAAAGGCATTTGCTTTCCCTAGGTTTTTTTGTTTGTTTGTTTTATTATTATTATTATTATTACTTGTTAATTTAAAGAACACAGTAAGGGATCTCTTGGTAAAAAAAATTCTAGGCACAAATTAATATTACATAGCCCAACATTAAGTGAGGAATTGATACAGATGCACACAAGTTATATATAAAAACAGCAGACACAAGACCATTAAGAATCCCCTTAACTCCCACTTCAATTGTACTTACCTCATTTGTAATGTCGTATACAACTATAGCTGCTTGCGCTCCTCTGTAGTACATAGGTGCTAAACTGTGATACCGCTCTTGCCCAGCTGTATCCCAAATTTCAAATTTTACCGTTGTATCGTCAAGACACACAGTTTGGGTTAGAAAAGCAGCTACAAAAAAGACAGAGGTGCTGAAACCAGAAGTCTGCTCGTATAAAATTACGTTTACAAAAGATGAATCAAGCACGATTTCCTTGACAACTCCAGCCTATTATTAAAATATAGCAGGTCTGAAGCCAATAGATTGTAACTGATCAACACAGAAGAATTAAACAATCAAACTTTCCTCACATTAAAGACACATGGAAGCAAAAATCAGGAAGAATTCCCATTATTCTGTTCCAACAGTTCATCTCAGCAACCACAAAATTTTTCTCTCACCTCCTAGATACCTCTTATCTTGATGCAACAAACAGCATTTCTTCGTGCTACGCTCCAACAGCTCTGACACGTACAGTTCTGGACTACAGCTATACTTTTCAACAGAATATTAAAGCCAAGATTTTCAGCTCTTGACAATCCCACCTTGGTTAAAGGTTATAGAAGTACAAACAAGTTTTGAAGTTTTCTTGCTCAAAAAGCAGTCATATAGGTATATTTTTCCCTTTGCAAGTCATCTCAAAAATTACTTCAAAGCATGATTTCCACAGCCTGCAGTTTCAGGGAAACTTGTATCTTCTGCCACTACAGCTTAACATATTTATATGCATATCTAAAACCTACATCTGTTATTACTTTAAGTTACCTACTAATCACAAAATCAGTAAGTAGTTAATAGCAAGTCTTCAAACAGTTACTCCTAGAAAACACTTTCCATTCAGATTAAGGTTACATACTAGAAACACAGAGGTGTTTCTATAGAAACCATATTTCAAAATTATGCTAAAAATCTCAACAACATGCTAAAGGAAGGCCCCTACTTGGAAGAGAAAGAAAGTGGGGCTCTCATCAACACACGTGTTCACAGAGTGATCTGTTTAAATCTGCCTTTAGCAGCACTGATCAGTAACTCCTGAACACCTTGGATGTTATCCTGTCCCACATACTCCAAGACACTGTAGCCTATGAATCACTCCTGAACTGCTCTTGCTGTAACCTTCAACTGAGCTTATTACAATAAAAGCAAGTCAATCTTGTTTTATAAATATGACAGCACAACTCATGTAGAGAAGTTGACTACTAAGCAGCCAGATGCTCCTGCATCAGAGGTATGAGCATCCACCAGGGATGAGCAAGCAGGCTGGAGAAGAAAAAGGCTTTGATGTTCCAGTGTTAAATCACTGGGTCTCTGAATGCTTAATATCCAAGCACTGGTAAAATGGGCTTCCCTTACCAGCTACTAAAGCAGCCCAAAACCAGAACGAAGATTAAAAAAATAACCACAACCAACCCATTCTGTACTGTATTAAGGGTTTCCTCCTCAATCATCAGAATGTTACATTTCCCCAAGGCAGAGACAAGATGTTAAACAAGCGGAATTTGAAGTCCTTCAAGATGCTATTGTCTTCAAGAGAAGAATGTACCTACTCTCCATAAATGAAGGGATGCACTGAGAAATATATTAAAACAAGTGTTTTATTTTGTCACCCTCCTGTTTTTGTTGAAAGGAACCATTCAATGATTACAAAAGAATGTCAGTTAATTTCTGCCAACAAGTCAACTTCCTTCTAGATTGCAAGACCATACTTAATTGATAATTAACTATGTTAATTATCTGAAAGCCTACTATCCTTTATTGCCATTCTTTGCCTTAAGTAGCTAACAAGCACTGTTGCATTAGTCTGAAGTGGCAAAGTCCAGTTATCAAATACAGCACTGTCCAATGTCTGCTTTTCACTGCATTCTTTCAGAAGTTCTTATTCAAGCTCACAATGCACATAAGCCTATCTTTGTTAAAAGGCCCTTCTGAATACAAAGATAATTATGCCTAAAGCAAATGCAGCCTACAGTTGGACAGCTTTCTCTACAGAAAACTTTCTGAATCCCAACACTGCTGAATTTAATATCTCTCAATTGTATAGTACAGCATTTTCTTGTTCCTATTTTAAACAGAAGAGTAAAATAGTACAGAGATTACACTGAGCATACGCATGAGCTTGGAATTAAGTCTCTTCTAACCTTTGTATAGCTTTTATATAGTGGAACAGTTCAGGTTTTTCCAAATCCTACCCAGAAACAAAAAAGGGAATACAAAAAGGACTTTAAATAAATTTAAAAAAAATAATCAGTGGAAGTGAAAAAATTAATCAGTGAAAAATATTAGTTTTATTATTCCCTATACCCAGACTTTCTTCTGTCAACTTTTCAATATATCTTTTGGAATGCCTTCTATATTACCATAAAGCATGAGGTGATACACAACCTTTCATACTGACACCTATCCTAAATTCATTACAAAAGATACCAAGTCAGAAATAAGTAAAACTGTTAAAGGAGAAAAAAGTTCTCTGTGTATGCTGACAGATATACAAAAAACATACACCTGATACTCAGAAACAGTGTAAAAAAAGGTGATGTTTGAAATTTAGGTTGGCTTTATTTTTGTAAGCTTTGCAGATTTTTACATTTCAACAATCATTTATGTAAACACACGAGTTCTCCCAATTCAAAAGCAAAAACCAGCTGCATAAACTACACTACAACCTTTTTGAAAGATGTAGTTCTGTCTCAAAAACACCAAAATACTTGAACGGTTATTCTATGCCTTATGCACACAGCTTAAATCTATAGCACATACACAATCTATAGCACAGCTCAAGTAGCCACATACCCACCCACACAAACAAAATTGAACATAAAGTCTACTTCCCAGAACCATGCAGTTCAAGCACATGTTTACTTTGTCTGCTTGACATCGAAATGTGGTACATCTTTGTGCCATCTACAACTCTTTTCATAATAAGTTACAGACCTTAGTTCAGATTTGATACTTGCTGTCAGTGACCATTCTGGAATTCCCTTAATATTCATGGCAATCAATGGAAAGAAAACAGAAAGAATAAAAATGGGAAATAAAAAGAATAATTTTCTCACCTCCAATTGTACTTTCTTGAAACTCGTGAAACTGCCCTTTTACAAAACGAAGGACCAAACTTGATTTACCAACTGCAGACTCTCCTAGAAGTACTAATTTGAATTGGCAAATTTTATTTCCAGCATTTGGCCCATTGGGTCTTGTTGCTCCGCGATTAGCCATACCCAAATTAGAAAGAAGTCCTTTGTTTCAAGTTCTTGAAAGTAAGTTCCAGGATTCAGAATTCAGTGGCTTCTGCTGTCAACAACCTGGCTATGAAAAAACAATGCAGGACATTAGATTTACAAGCCAAATAAGAAAAACCTAATTCGCCACTGCAGCACGGAGTACATACAGTACTAATATTTACAGCAAACAGTTCCCAGTACTGTCACCCTCACATGTAAAAAGTCAGCTAGACAAAAAATCTATGATAAACAGAACACTTGTCTTCTTCAATACCAAATCTAACCATTAAAACTTTCAATTACGACATTAAAGCCCAATTATGCTTTTTCTTGCAAGACTTCAGACTCTTAGTCATAAAGTGGCTTGAGATGGAAGGGAGAAGGGACCTTAGCTCCCTAGCTCCACACTCTGCTATATGCAGCACATCTCCCACCAGATCAGGTTCCCCAAAGCCCCACCCAACCTGGCCCTGAACACCTCCAGGGATGATGCACACACAGCTTCTTTGGACAAGCCATTCCAGTGCCTCACCACCCTCTGAGTAAAGAATTTCTGCCTAATATCTAAGTACATTTTAACTTATAACCATTTTCCCTTGTCCTATCACAATCAGACTGTGTAAAATGTTAATTTCCCTTCTGCTTATAAGCTCCCCTCAAGTATTGGAAGGCTGCAATAAGGTCCACCCGAAGCCTTCTCCAGCTCCCTCAACCTTTCTTCATAGTAAAGCCGCTCCAGCCCCCTGATCATCTTCACAGCCCTCCTGTGGTGCTGTTCCAACACCTCTGCATCCTTGTGCTGGAAGTCCCAGGGCTGGACTCAGTACTGCAGGTGGGGCCTCATGAGGGCAGAGCAGAGGGAGACAATTACCTCCATCATCCTGCTGACCACCCCTCAAATCCATGCACCCTAGGATACAGTCTCTTACTTCATAACATATCAAGATCGAAGTATAACAACATAACACTTATTATTTGATATTTTACAAGTAACATGCAAGAAATAATCAAGATTTTTTTTCCTGATACTAAGCAACACTCAAAAGTCAGCAACAGTAAACAATGCAAAACAAAGAAAAAAAGAGAACCAGGAAAAACCCAATCAATACATCAGTTCTTTGCAAATACACTTTATTGTTTCACTTTTATCACACATATCCAACACAGTTTCCTCATATTAGGCAGTACAGATCTTGATGTACAAAGCTTTAATATCTTTTCTAGTTAACAACTGTAGTTATAGAAGTGAAAATGCTAAGCATGGCATATATGGAAAAATGGGTAGTCCTGACTTTTAAGAATTCCTGATTGCTTTGTGCAAGCCACCAGACAGAGATCTATCAAATGGAAGTAAATCAAAATTTCCAAATCAAATACATAAATATTGATCTAAGATCTAAGAGATCTTTGCTAAGAGCATATGCTAACAGTACATTCCTTCAATATATCTCCTCCTGTTGCAAACTCTCTCTCTCTCAAAAAAAATCACAATATTTATTCATGTGGATGAAGAAGCATTGAGTCCCCGTTGTTCTCACTTCTGAGTCAAAGACTTGTGTTTTTATGCATGCACTTAACAGCAAAGATTAAATCTTCCATAGGTAGGCACTGACGTACGAAAAACTGGAGAAGTATTTTCTATATTTTCTTTCTTCTCTCTCCCAAAACAAAATTCCAAATGAACCTGGAGGAAGTATTCCTAACTGGCTGTTACTCAAATCTCAGCAAGAAAAATATATCCTTCTATATTTAAAAGTAATTGATTAAAAAAATCTCTTAGCTTGCAACTTTGTTCTAACATGGTTGTTTACCTACTTGAATTCTGTGCATCTGTTGAGGATATAGCTTCTCTACTTCTCAAATAAAAAGCAAGTTAGATTGGAGCATAGCATCCCAGTGTAGAGAATGGCTTTAATACTAATTTTGCAAAATGTAAGCAAAGCCATTTTCAAGAAGTTGTTACTCTATCTTCCTTATGGTAAATTTACCACCTTACCAATCAAACAGTAGTCTTAATCATTAGCTGCCTTCCCATTTTGAAACATTAAGCATAGCTAAGATGATTTTCTATGAGGCATCTGAGCATTCCGACTTACTATACACCTACCTCAGACACTAAGCCTTCATTCCTCTTCCTAATTCCCCTTTTGTAAACTCAGCACAAGTTCTCTCTCTGTAGAGAGCTCCACAGCTCTAGCAGAACCCAATCCACCACTGAAACACTCCCCTAAAACCTATTTTTCACAAGTATTACATGATAAAGAAATCAAAGTATTATTTCTTAATGAACATAACATTTTGAATAAGCTGTTATTTTCTCACTGTAAATACAACTTTAATATAAGTCCTCAAAAAAAAAAAGTATATTTTCCAACACCTTACTGATACTTCTATTTGCTCATACTGTTAGTTTACCCATACTTCTCAAAATAATTTAGTCTCTTCCAGTTAAAATATTCCAATCTTTTATTCATCTGTCTGTCCCAAGATCGTGACCTGCTCGTCACGTGATCGCGACAGTTATCACTACCCTTAAAAATAAATGGATTTTTATTTCAGTTGTACAACAGGAGTAAAATACTTCAGATATAAGTTCTCTCAAACGTTTGGAAAAAAGTATGCAATAATGAAACAAAGTTTTATGAAGCAAAAAAACCACCATATACTCCACCATTGTAATTAGCCCCTGTAATTACATATCAAAATCCTCTCATTAAATTTGGTTTGGTTGAATACTTTAGAATACAGGAATGGATCTAGCTGGTTTAAGAACACCAGGCTTTTCATCCTTATGGCATTAAAAAATAAATTAAAAAAAAGTGACATACAGCTCATGCGTTAGTTCTCAGGCAAGACTTATTTCCACATATTGCTAAAACATGCTTGAGAAGTTGGGGGAGAACATGGATAAAAGAGGATCAGCGACAAAGAGTAAATCTCTAGCTAATTATAATACAAGAAAAAACAGCAAGGTGTGGCCAAAATACAGATAGCTGAGAATGTTAGCCATTTGTTTATCTCTTCCTTTGGAAAAATGAAGGCATTTTCTTTCTGTTTTAAAATAAAACATCTGTTCGCACTGTAGCATTTTACTGTGCCTGGGTAACCCTGAAATAATTTTAAAACCTTTAATCTTAATTCACCCCATGCTCTTCTAGACTCTGGAGCATTAAGATATGAGGGTTAAATCCAAGTGAAACTAAGTGAATTATTCTTTGAAAGAAGTGACTTCCAGATGATGTGCAGTGTGCAAAAAATCAACACATTTAGTCTCTATGATCATCCTTTTGCTTGCTGCCTTACATACAAAGGGTGGCATGAAAGAAAAAAACAGAAAAGACTGATTTATCCCATACGAATCTACTTTTTTAAACTGGTTGTTTACAACCTTTAGTTATTGAAATTGCCAAATAGTTAATTCACTTACAAAATATTTATTACTAATCCTTACAAAATTCGTTTGGGACTCAAAGTTGAATTAAGTTGTCAAAACAACTATCAGTCTTTTATAAATGCCCAACCAGAAAATTTTGCAATTTACACACTCCCCCCTTCCTTCAGAAGAAAGCATTCTATACACTCAGGTATTGTGCAAAATTAACTAGCTGTCAAGATGACAGAGATCACACTACTTGCAAGGCCAACAAGCCCTGCCTGTAAACATCCTGCAAACAGCCTTCCGTAGCTGCATCAGTATGTCTATTAACTTAATGAAACCTACCACAGTTGTACCATGCAGTTTTTAATAAATAAAGGATAAGGAAAAAAAAAAAGAACTGGAAACCTGATAGAGCATATCCAGCTGATTTTGTTATATATAAAGTCACAATCATTTTCCATAAGCATGCATGTATCATCTTTTACAAGTTTCAGATTACACTGAAACTGCCCAGTAAGCTCACAAAAGGACATCGTACAAACATGACAGAAGAGGAATCAACAGATCTTCTTAATCTGAAGTAGTACAATTATAACAGCCATCACAGCACGTTCTTGGCTTTTTTTTTTTTTTTAGATTTGATACTGGCTCACAGGAATGTAAAGGTAGATTTCAGTGCTACAGAACCCACACAGGTTCCAGAACACAGGCCAAACTTGTTCTCCAGCTCCTTAAGTCATCTGTAAAACACTAGCTTTGGGAAACAAAAAAAGCACCACACAGAAGACAGCAATGTTACTTTTACTATCTCACAAACTACAACTTTAATTTTTTTTTTTTTGCAAATAACTTTCAAGGCAATTCTGAATGCTTACTTCAAGAGCTTAGCAGCTGTATCTTTTTTTTTTTTTCCTCCTCTTAGCTTCACTTAAAGTCTCCAGGAAAAGACCCACAAATGCACCATCTTCTAGTCCTGCCATTACCAAGAAAGTGCTTCTGTTAATCCTAACAGGTAATTTATCAGATGCTGGGTATTCTCACTCCTTTAGCAGTCAAATTTATATTCTTCTAGGTAGTCCTTGTTAAAGAGGTTTGTTAGAGAGAGTTAAAGGGTCACAACTATTTTCATGGAAAATCATGTAAAATTTCTCATGTTTGAGTTCATAAGCAGAATTCTATCACTTCGTGTTAAGACCTACAAACTCACAACTTAATGGAACTAAATTCAGTCACTTAAGTGTTCAGATCAGTGTCTATTTTAAACAACAAGAAAGCCAATACAGAAGTATCAAAATAACGCTTGTGACAAAAGCCAGACTACTAAAGGGATTAAGACAGTTAACACTGCTCCTACAATGAATGTGATTAAGTACATAATCAAAGACCTCAACAAAAGTCAATGATTAATTCAAACATGGAACATTCTATCACTTGAAATACCTTCCCATTTCAGAGCAAATGATAATATTTCTTATCATGAACATAATTAACACTGTACTGATTTCTAATAAGTTTTCTGATGTTTCATGAATAGAGATCATACAGCATTGAGCTTGCAACCATTGTCTAATTTGGTTATGCTGGACTACCTTGTCTGTTTTAAAAAGCAGTATGGAAAGAAATCTATTTATTAAGGACTCCTACTAACAAAGCTTTCTGTTACTCTCTTCCAGAATTGACAAAATTACTGTGCAGCGTTCATGACAGTGACACACATAACTAAACATTTGTCCCAGTTTGTATTGAAGCATTATGAAGCTGTAAATTAAAGATGTGAATCAACAGTCACCACAAAAAACAAAACCCTAACAGATTTCCAGTTAAATGCAACAGCTATTTAATAAGCTATTTAATATATCATATAAAAGATACATAGTACCAATTGTTTTGAGACAAACTGGTTCATCATACAGCAAATGTAAGTAATGACGACTGTACTATCACTGTCCCTAAGCAACTCATTTCAGCTAACATCTACTTTTTACTGATGTTTCTTGTTACATAATATCATCTAGGCAAGAAACCTAGTCTGCCTGCAACTACCAAACTGGAAAAAAAAAAAAAAATTGCCATATTGAGTCTGAATATTGTGTGGATGGAACTCATTAATTTTAGCTCTGTTAGCTGTTAAGTCCTTTTCCATTCCTAGGCTGTGAAAAGGGCATAAGCTTGAAAAGAATCACAGAAAATCCTGGGAGAATAATAGCCTTTCAAAGTCCCGTTTCATGAAACATTTTGATAATTTTACAGTTTCAGCTCTGCTCTAAAACAGGAGGGTAAATGTTTCTACAATGCTCCAGCTTTACCACTAGTTCCAACCGAGACTCAGACAGTGCACACACCGTCCACTAGGCCTGTCAGCATTCTATGGATGGCGACGCGTTGTCTAAGTATTTTACTTCCCACCTTCAACATTGGCCTTCCTCCAGCCGCAAACGAAAGGGAAAGCGAGGGGTCCGTCGCCTCCAACCCTTCCACGCACAACTCGGAGGGCACAACCCTTCCCTCGCAGCTGGACCAAGCGGCGCTGAATCGCAGTGGAGGATCCCACTCCCCGCCACGGCTCCGGGCCCGGCCCCGCCAGCCCCGCCGCCTCCCCTCCCCCGCAGCTCCCTTCCAGGCACAGGAATAAGGGGAAGTGGGAAAATCGGGGGCGCCATTTTGAGCCAGGAAGAAGAGCTCAGCATCTTTCCCCCTCCACCGGGCTGCCCACCTTGGCAGCCCGCCCTGCCTCCCAGTCTGCCCGCAGCACCCGGCGGCGGCCGGCGAAAGGTGAAGATGCCCGAGCGGCCCAACCGCACATCGGGCGCCGTCGGAGCTTCACCAACCCCCGAAGCGGCCCCCGCCCCACCAGCCCCATCGTCTCCTCACCTGGCCAGACCGCGACGGCCACGCAGGGGAAGGGCTGGACGGGGAGTCAGGAGGCGGCAGCGGTGCAGCGTCTGATTTTAGCGTCTGTCTGTCCGTCGTTCCGGCCAGTAGGGCTGGAGGCCTAGTCGAAGCAGGGCCGCGAGAGGAGGGGGCGGCGGGGAGGCGGCTCCACGGCAAGCGCGGGGTGGGGGCGAGGGGCGGGGGCGCAGCCGGGCCTCACCCAGAGGCCGCCGCCGCCGACTTCCGCCGCCGCCTGTTCCCCGACCAAAACACACACGCACACGTACTTCCGGTACTGTAGCCACGTCACGGCCCGCACGAGGCGCACGCTTCCGGTTCGCCTGCGAGTCACGTGACCCCTTGCTCCCTTTTCTTCCTCCTCCATTTTCTTCTCACTGAAAGCACTGAGGGTGGTTGGGTGCTGATATCTCCTGTTCCTCCTCAGGAGAGAGGCTTTCGTAGTGAGCAGGCAACTTCTATGCCTCTCCTCTAGAAACCACATGCATTTTAAATTCTCAGTATATCTTTTATATTGGCAATATATTTATTATATTAGCTGCATATATTTTAAATTAGAGATGGGCTAAGTATTGTGAGAGTGCTGAATCTGAAGATGGCAGGATGCAAAGGCAGAACAAGCTTTGATTGCTAGTAATACGTGCAGACACTATGTGATACATCTTGTTCAAGAGTCCATTGGGCATCCATTGTTGAGGTTTTGTGCTAAGAGTGTATTTGAAGCCCTCACAATCCTGCATATCTTTTTGACGTGTATAGATTTGCAAAACGTCCTGAATTGGAAGGGATCCACGTGGATCATCAAGTTAAACTCCTGCCTCCACACAGGACCACCCGAAATTCAAACTCTGTGTCTGAGAGCTTTGTCCAAACACTCCATGGACACCAGCAGGCTTGGGTCAAGACTACTGCTCTGGGGAGACTAAGGAAGAATGTTGAAAGATTAAAGGAAGCTTCAGGGGAGACTGGTGAGAATGGCTATAAAGGCTTGAAAACTTGTCTCATAAAGGAAGAGGTGAAGATGTGCTAAACTCATAAGTGACAGTAGTGTGGATCAATCACTTGGTCCCATGTGTGGGACTAAGAAGTGAGCTGTATAGGAAACAAAAGGGTGACAATAAATATTTATTCAATTTGACATATGCATCAAGGTTTTCTAGTTGGCATTTGAAAGAAATCAAAAGCAGAACATACAAGGAATTATACAAGTTTATAATTCATCATGTTTAATCATTTGTACAATTTAATGAGGATTGTTTAGAAAATCTATCACTGGAAATACTGAATAAAAATGAAGTGGTGTTTTCCTCTCAACAGTTTTGGATGAAGGGTATACTAGGGTACACCAAAAGTAATGCTTCCTAGTTTGTTATGTTGACTCATGATGTCACAGGAGAATGTTGGTGGTATGGCAGTAAAGATCAAACCTTCCCACCAATATTCTGCTTCATTTTGTTGTCATGTGACAGATGGCAGCAGAGGCACAATCTGACAAGTTGGTGTCTGACATGAAAGTGCATGTGAAGCAAAGGTTTGTAATTGGAAGCCGCCATGCAGAAAAAAATGGTACCCACTGACACTCATCAGTGCTTGCTGAACATTTACGGAGATCAGACAGTGGATGAGAGCACAATGAGGCAGTGGGTAATATGTTTCAGCAGTGGTCACAGTCGTTCACCTTCACTGCTGCAGATTTTTACAAGCACAACATGCATGTTCTTGTTCAGTGCTGGCAAAAATGCAAAGCTAATGGTGATGACTGTGTTGAAAAATATTTTAGCTGAGAATTTGCTCTATCAAACAGTGTTATACTCTTTGTAGTACATGCTGTAGTTTGCATGGAAATAAGAGGCATTACTTTCAGAGCGACCTGTGTACAGCAGTAGAATAGAACTACATGTGATACTAGTCTGCTCTTAGCATACATTATGTGCATGAGGTTCCTACTGGCTATGGCTGCGACACAGACCTGCAGTCTCTCTCTCTCCAGCTTTATGAAACCCCAAGTCATTCACATCTGGTTGAAGCTGACATAAGCAAAGATTCAGTGTGAATGTATAAAATAGAGAGCATGGAGCACTAATTAAATTAATTTTCATTACCATATTTTGGAGTTAATAAGTCCATGAATGTTAGTGGTGAGGATGAGTTTCTTCTACTGTAGCCTGGACTAAGAGCACTTCAAGAACAGGTCTGAAATCACCAGGCTAGTCATTCCAGTGATCATGTTTACCTATTTGTTTCTCTGTATTACTGTTAAAATATGAAAAGTGAAACTTTGCATTGGATTATGTTAACAGAAATAAATAAATAAATAAATAAATGGTGTCAAATGGTATCATGATCTCAACAAATTGTTTTTTTTTTCAGCATTTCTCAGTGGCGTTCAACAATATGCTCTATTCATGCTTTTAATGTTTAAATATAGGTATATAATAATAAATAGAAGTTGACTTCAGAGGATGTACTATCTATTCATCTATTTATTCTGTTAGATTTTTCATCTTGGTTTCACTTCCTCAGTTTTTTTTTTTTGTTTGTTTGTTTGTTTGTTTAATTTTATTTTTCCTCCTATGTATCTACCTGTTCCAATATCCTCCTTTCTGCTTTTTTTCTATTTGGGTACATTTTCTTTACATCCATTGTTTTGGTGATATATAGCGTATAGAATGTATGAAGCACACAGAAAGCAGTAATTTTCTATATGTAACTGGCTTAATAAAAAAAATGTAACCAAGTGATGACAACAGCAAAGGATTTTAGCATAGCTAATGTCCATCAAGAGTTTCATAGAACTTGAAGCATTTTAAATGACATTCTCTGGCCTTCAGACACTTAAAAACTTAGGGAATGCTAAGTACCAAGACCATAGATTGAGAACTGTTGTAGAACATGGGATCATTGTAATTTCACTTTCTTTGTGAAATAAGATTTTAGGTATTTTCTGTTTTTCAGTTTTAGTCTGTAAGAGACAGAAAAAGGCATTATACTGTGGGTATTGAATGTCAGTGAGTAATAGAGACTTTCAGATGACAAACACTGTTTATTAAAAAAAATAAAATAGCGCTGCTGTAGAAAGGAGTATTTTTTCAGCTTCTTCCAAAGCAGAATTCTCTAGAGCCTATATTATTTATAACCTAGGAGATGAGAAAGTCATCTTGAGTTAATTTGACTGAAGACATTTTTTTTTTTTCTAAAATGGAGTTTAATTTTTTTGTCAATTCATCAGCTTATTCTTAAAATTTATACATCTTTCCTACCCTGCAAACTTTTAACCTACACACCAATTAACTTTCAATCCATCTAAATATGAATATGACATTGATTCCTAAAATAAGATGAATTATAGGGAGAAGGGACAGCTCTTGTGTTAGATACACTGAACTTTGAGTTCACATCTGCTCTGTGGATTTAGGAAAATAACTTGAAAATAGGTTAATAAAAATGTGAGGTTTTACCTCTTCCTCATATTGTATATCAGCATAAAATGCTGAGAATGCACTTGGCCTGTATTCTAACAGGGTGAATCCTGTTTACTTTTAAGGCAATTCATATAAGGCAAAATCTCTCCAAATTCATATTAAATTCGTATTATATTAATTTTATTTTTGTGACCTCTGGATTCACATTTTTAAGAATATTACTTTTTTTTTTCTTTTTTTCTGACAGGAAGTGAAAATATGAATGCACTTATTTCAGCTTAATATTTTTTAATGTAGGAGGTGAAAGGGAAATATTAATCTCCATCTTTCTAGTAGCCTGTTTCCTAGCAAGGTTTATGGACTCCCTTGTAATTTATTTTAGAAATTGCTCCTATAGATAAAAATATTTTCCTATTTTCTTTGGCACCTGTATAGAAAGCAGCCGGTGAGGTATCACCCTCTTTCACAAAGAAGCTACCAATGGAGAACATTTTTAAAAGCAGATTTTCAGTCTGAAGAGGTTCGGGATCTGCTTCTAAGAGTTGTGTTGAAGATCTCTCCAAGAAGCACAAATTTTGGTAGTAAGTTTCAAGTTGATTTGTAGGGATCTCATCTCTCTTGAAAAACACAGAGACAAAACAGAAAAAATCTGGGGACTTCTCTACTTGTTTCTGTAATAGGTATTGCTTTCCCAATGCCACGCACTATTTTTTCAGCAAGGCTGAAGGGATTCTTTCAGTTAGAAAGTGTGGCCACCTGTTGGGGAAAAACACTGTAAAATAAAAGACATCAGAAGTAGCAACGAAAGTGGTAGTACCTTGAGTACAAGCTAAGTAGAAATGCAAACAATAAAAGTTCAAGTCCTTGTTTCAGCTTTTTGTGCATGCTCATTTTAGTGTATAGGTTTGCAATACTATGCTTTGTTCTCTCCCTGAATAAGTAGTTCCCTCTTCTGCTGACAGTTTTATCCTTGCCCAGTTATTGCTTTCAATCAGATAAAATTCATCCCTCATTTCTAACAGACTGGCTTATTCAAATCACAATTTGATCTTTACTAGGTAGAAATTGTGTTTAACAGAGGAACAGGTTGCACACTAAGGCATAACAGGTAATCTAATGATTATAGTTATATTATTTGGCAGGAACATTTAAAAATAACAACAAAAATGTTTGAAGAAAGTATAAGTGAACCAAACATTGTAAGAATTTTCTAAAGTTTATTTGCCAAGTGGTTACATTTGTTCTACATTACTGGCTTTGTACCATCATTCTTACAACAAAGAACGGCTACTCTTGAAAAAGGATGCCAGCAATAGCCACAGCTAAATTAGAGCTGAGAACGTATGTTACCTGGAAGAGATTACGCTGTGCTCACACATGCTCACAGATCACACCATGAACATGCATCACTGGAGTAGGTGGCCAGACATCCCTGACACCAAGCAGGCTGTTCACCCCAGAGGAACCACGGCCAGCCTCCTGCCTGCCATTTGTAGGACAGAGTCCTCAGAGCTCAGTATTCAGTTAACTTCTTTATCATACAAATCTTAGAGCTGTGACTAAAATGGCAACAGCTGGTAATGTTTGTTAATTAATTACAGATAAACAGATAAGGTATGTACATTTACCTAAAGTTGGTTTTGCCATTGGAGGAGGATAGAGAATGGAACAGGATGTGATTAAATATAGATGTTTTGCTGGGAGGAAGGGGGGAGTTTACTGATGTCACCTGAGAGGAAATCAGCCTTTCTGAAAGCGGAGGAGCTTTAAATGGCACTGAAAATTGATCTGCTTTACCTAAGCTACTTTTTGGAAATAATCTGTATCTGTTTCCATGGGGCAAGTTTGATACTTGTGTTGGTGTTTCCCTGGAGCTGAGGCCAGGAGGCCATCAGTGTGTGCTGCCTGTAAGGGAGGTGCGGCAGAAGCTGGTGGTGCCACTCAGGGCGCGACCGTTACCAGGCCAGCGGGTAAACCGCCCCACTGGCACCATGGCGGATCCGCCACAGCCTGTCTACCAGGGAAGTTTCACAGACAGATTTCCCCACATCTTGGCTGTGAGTGAAACCTGCATGCTTTCTGTGCCTTACCAGGGTTATAATCTGGCCTTGAGGCTGAAGCAGAGGCAGCTGGTTGGGCCAGTGGACTCCTTTCACTGCAGTCCTGCCTCACCCCCTAAATAAAAAAACCTCTCTTTTTAACAGAGTGGGACAATTAGCCATCTTGTATGAGATGTTGGAGCGTTTGGCTTAGTTACACCTTGTTTTCTTTGGTTGTGTTGCTTAGGCTGGGAAGCTGTTTCCAGCTGGTGATACAGCTGCACATTGCCTCACTGAAGCTTTACCCAGGGTGAGTGTGCTTTTGAGATTCTCACTTTTAAGTTTCTGTATAATTTCATATTAGTGATTGTGCTTTCAGGCCCAAAATCTGTTATTTCTCCTACCTCATGCTGTTTGTTTTAAATAAAGAACATTTCAGTGAAACCATGGTCATATTTTTCTATAGCCATTGTTTAAAGGAATCACAGAAAATAGCTGATAGGAATGTAGAAGTTTCTAATTTCTTTTTTTTTTTTTTTTCTGTCTGTATGTTTTACGAAATCCATCATACCCTCTTAAGGAGTATTAAAGTTTTACACCACAGTTTTTCTCTGTTGATACAATTACAGTGATTATTTTGAAGAGTTGTTATGACTTCTGATAGAAGACCTTCTCCTTCATCAAAGTTGCCCTGTTAGAGTTGTTTCCCATGCTCCCTTCCTGATCTCCCTGAAGAATTAAACTGCATCCCTTCACTGACAGCTCTCCCTTTAAATGAGTGCATAAAAAAGCCCAACAAACCAACAAGACAGTGGTTGAAGTAATTTCTGAAATTGCTTAATTGATGGGGGAATTGTTCTAGATCAGGTTAAACGTTTCTTAAGTTGGTAAATGTAACATATGTAAGGAAGCTATTATCCACTTAAAGCCTAAGCCAGAAAGGTGAAGCTTAGATACTCTCTCCTGACTTCTGTTGGTGATTTGATTAAATTTAGACTGGGTTGTGTTGACCTTTTTTTCAGAGTATCAGCACCTGCAGCAACGCAGGTATGTATTATAGTCCTAAAACATCTTTCTATTTTGCTCTTACATCTGTGGAATCACACTGAATTGGCTTTTTGTTATTGTATTATGGAAATCTTCTGTAAAATCATTATTTTCTTTGCCTTGTATATAGCCTGTTACTCCAGCTATTGTAAAGAAGTTTCGCAATACGACAAATCCAGCTCCTGGTGCTAAAAGAATATTCTATGGCATAGCAGATGATCCTGATGTTGCAGCTCACTTGACACATGGCATAACATCAGGTTCTTCAGTTGCTGTAAGAATGTGACTTCTTTATTTTTGTTTGAGAATGAACTGCTTAAGAATGTGCTTAATAAATGCAACTGATTCCTTCATCATTGGAGATAAAGTCATAGCGGAGTGATTTCATTGAGCATTTCACTGCTGCTTGGATTATCTGAATTCTGAGTTCTGTTCATAGGATTTAGTTAGCTTGATTGAAATAGGGAAACAGTTGACTGACTTTTATCAAATAACTTTTTCAATGAGTAATGAATTATTCATTGCATTTCAACATTTAGCTATCTTCTCACAAATTTTGCTGCTTTCCTCTTCTAAATACAGATGCAAAACTTGTTGAGTTCTTAGCAAGTGAACTATTACAGAGAATGTTCAGCAACTTTTTATGTATTCTTTCTTTCTTTTGAGTTGTAAATGATTTTGTTAGTTAGGAAGTGCTATTTTGAAATGTCAATCTATTTTCCGTGTATTATTCAGAAATTATTTTTGTAAGATGTAATCAAAGAACTGAAGAGCTCTTGGTAATTTTATTCAAATTTCTGAATTTACTAAATTTGTTAGTAAATAACACTTGCTGTATGTCTTGTCAGCAGGACTTGTAAATAAACAGTTTTCAATTTAACAAATGAAGAAGCTTTGGCAAAACCTGATAGGCTTAGTCTCTAGGTTGGAAAATCTAAGACCTGATATTTGAAGATATTGAGTAGCACATTCATTAGGCATATCCAATATAATAGTAACAATAAAAAAAAATTAGATTTGTACTGTACCTCTGTACCTCCTCAGAAGTTTTACGTTGAATAGATTGACTTGTTTAGTCTGTATCATCTGTGGAAGACCATTTTACTTTGTATTATTAATTAAATGTTAACTGGAGGAAGAGTTGGAGGCACTGAGTTTTCTAAGCATAGATTTGGATCATTATATCTACTACTGCTTTTTTTTTTTTTTTTTTTTCCCCCATCCAGTATATATTTATATAACATTTACCAAATATTTAATAATAAATCCTCTTCATGGTCCCCATTATTTTGATGGCCAGTCTGAAAAATTGAATGTTTTGAGAAGATCAGTGTAGCCCATTTTGATATTTTTTGAACCTTTTTTACTTTTTTGAGATTTTATTTTTCTCCTTGTGTTGACCTAAGCTTACAAACAATTTCTATTGACCCAAGCCTTCTGGGTAGACATTTTGTCCAACTTAGTGTTAAGCTTTGAGAAACCCTCCTAAAGTCCTTTCTGTTGATACTTCCTTTTGGATCGCAGTATTAGTCTATATCTTAAAATATGCACTGGCAGAACTGAGAGTAGGTGGTTAGTGGATAGACTTAACCACTAGATGACAGATGTCTTTCCTCATAAGCACTAGGAGACATTCAAAAGATGTTATAGCTATATCATTTTCATACTTCAGTTTTGTCATACTGTAATTTGTAATTTGACAATGCTTTCTAATATACATTAAGAGCAGAAAAACTGTGGTCTGAAATTTTATTTATCAACAAATGAAAAATCTTGTATAAAATTAAAAAATTCTGTCTTCGAGTCTGTGTTTTATTTTGCTGGAGATTTAGCATAGCACTGATTATTAATGACCTTATCTAACAATACAGTTCTGTATTACAACTTGTTAGAAGAAATTATGAGTCTAATAATCTAAAATGTCTTTAGAAGACTTAGTATCAATCTGCTGTTCTTGTGGATGTGAGGGGTTAGCTGTCCTGATGTGTGAATGATTAAAATTTGCTGTTTTTCTTGCCTCTTTTGTTGTTTGTGACATCTTTAGGCAGCTTCATTGATAAATCCGCTTCCTAAAACTAATTTTCAACAAAAATTACAAGACAGAAAAGAAGCGATCTACTTTAGTAATCGTGAAGCACCTTTGGGCAGGTCACATGATCAATCTGCTATGTTACCCGAGGGCTTGGATATAACCAATACCACATTCGGAACAAAAGTTATCCAAGGTAGGAAAAAGTAATGCTAAAGCATACTTCTTATAAATACAAGATAGTATGCAATTTAATATTTAGCCGAAATTGTATGCTTCCAACAATTCTGGTTTAACAGAAAAGTCATTACAAAAGATATTGAAAGGCATAAAAATGTACTGATATTTTTCAGTTATGATAAACAAACAGACATCAGAGAACATTCTGTAAGTAGTAGGGCTTTTTGCTGTGTATAATATATTACCTTGACTTGTCAGTCTTTCCTCCATAGATGTGAGCAGATCACGTATGCGTTCACCATGTGGTCCCTTTGCAACAGTTATGTTCGTCTCAGTTTCTGTGATTCTTGCTCTATTGTCATATTATCATGTTACAAGATTCCTATTGATTTTATTGATTTTCTGCAAGTATGATTTAAAAATGTCTTATTTCCACAGTATTGGCATCTTCTTCAATAAATACTGTTTCAAATTTAAAAACAAGCCAACAATAAACCCATACATATGTTCCTTTCAGATACCTCAGCTGGGGAACTTATAAATCCTCCAAAAACTTTTGCAGAAGTAGATAAAGAAGCCAGAGAAGGACATGATTTGTATGTTGTGTCACACAACGATTATTATCCTGGTATGTTCACAATGATTATTCTGATCTGTTCAAAGGCTAGTAAGTAGCAACATAAGATGACCTAATATAAATTTGAATCTCATTGCGTCTTCAAAATATATCACACATGATTTTTGAGATGCAAGCAATTACGGTTTATTTGTTTATTAATATAATAGAATATAAATCATTTTAAAAGCAATGGTGAAAAAAAAAATCAGATATGCAACTGAAAGAAGAGTACTCATTTCTAGAATTGTAGGTTTGTTGTCAGTGTATTAGGCAGTATAAGAGCTTAATGAAGGTGCTGAACGACTGATTTTTGTTGGGAGCTATCTGAAAAACAAAGTATCTCCAAGAATGCAGAAACATCTAGATGCTCTGGTTGCTTAGTGACTTCAGCGTTATCTATGTGTGTTATCTATATCTGAGCAGTCTCAGGCTCAGAGGTGTGTATTGTGAGCCCAGTCTGTCCCATTACTTTTTCTTCTGGTTGCTCTGTTTCATGAGGATACAAAATTTCAGGTCATACAGTCTTCTGATAGGAGCTCAGTATCAAGCTCTAGTTACTACAAAGAATTTTACTGTGCTGTCTGGCACTCTGAAATGCAAATTCCTCAGCCTGCCGCATACTGCCTGTGTGTCTGTCCCACAGTCTTGGTTTATAGTCTTTCAGTGGGCTGTACCTACACTGCTTCAGACTTCAGGGGCTATATTTATTTGAAGTGGTCCTTAGTAGTTATCGTTTATCTCGTAGGTCTACACAGGAACACTGAAAAAATAAGCAGCACATACATTTGTTATGCAACCACTTCTGTTTTTCCCATGTCCATCTTTTCCACTTACACTGTGAAACCTACTGTTATTGATCTATAAAATTGGCTTTACAATAAAATTGACCATTGTGCTAGTACCAACAATTTAGTAGGTGTTGGCCCAGAATGTAAGAAATCGTGAAATAGATATTTCAGTTGTAATAATGAATAATTCAATACGGAGATTGTTTTTGGAGAAGTGAAACTACAGTAACCTGGTCTCTCACTGAGAAATTCTGCTCTTGCAGAATATGGCACTATTGCTATAAATTGGCCAAACATGTAATTTTATTTCTTCTCCTCCCCAGTTTTATCAGGTGTTTTAGAGGAATTTTCTTTTTCTGTCTCCTTTATAACTTCTATCCACAAGACCATGGAGAAGTCAAGACAAGAGCAGACAAACTAAGCAGCAGAAACACAAACTGTCTTTATATATAAGGGAAAAAAAATCAACAATGTGCTCCAGTTTTAAACAAAACATAAATGTTCCATGCAACAATACAACCAGAGGAAGCCTTTATTAGTAAGCATGCATGGATACTTTTTTTTTTTTTTTTTTTTTTTGAAAGTTTAAATTACAATTCTTTTAAAAAAGGAATTGAAAATGCAGGAAAAAAAAAAAAATCAGTCCCTCTGGGTAGCATCCCTTCTCGCTAGTGTGTCAACTGCACCACTCAGCTTGGTGTTGTATGCAAACTTGCTGAGGGTGCACTTGATCCTACTCCATGTCATCTACAAAGTTGTTCAATAACTCCACTCCCAACACTGATCCCCAAGGAATGCCATCATCACTGATCTCCACTTGGATGAGCGGCACTTGTGAAATGCCATTCTTCTTCTGTGATGGGTTACAGATGCTTGTTGCTCAGTTACACAGAATACTGAAGTGATGTTCTTGTACATAAAGCAGGATTAACAGATTCATAAACATGTAGGGCAATATCTTTTTTTCCCAGACTTTACTGTATAATTCCTACTAATTCAATATAGGAAGTATCTATCTGAAAGTGCAGCAAGTCAAAATATTTTTTTGCTTAATTGTTAATAAATAACACATTGAATGATATTTGTTGCTGCTTACATACTGAATTAAAAAGTGGTTTTGTTTGTATGATTAAGCAATCTATTTTTTCATTAATTCTGTTGGGATTTTCTTTTGTCTTTATTCAGACATAAAAAGCATTTTGGACATCCAGCTATTTTGTAACTCAAGTAGTTTTTGTGGCTTTTTTGTTGCCTTTTGTCTTCCTTTTGACAATGAGATTAATCTTAAATACTTAAGTATTGTGTGAATTACACAAATTTCTTGTCTTTTATTGAAAATAATAATTAGGAATTTAGTTTTTTTCTTTATTATTTTACTTTTTTTCTTTATTATTTTATCTTATGAATGAATATACTTTTTTTTTTTTTTTTTGTATATTTCTCCTGCTGAAGTGTTTTAAACAAGTTGAAACACTTAATTTTTTTTTTTTCTTTATTAGGGGAAGCAATAAATAGGAAGTATGACTCACCGAACTTCAACAAGTCTTATGTGTATGGAATAGAAACCCCTCACTTTGAAGATGGACGAAATGTATCCAAATCCTTAAATTGGCTCTACGATTGGCAATTGTAAGTTACAATGAGTTAAGTAGTAAATTAGCAGTATGAGTTTTAAAACAGATTCTTCATATTGAATATAATTCTATATCTTTTATATCTTTATATCTTTCATATCTTGCTATCTTATCCTTCATTTTGTTAGATTTATTGAACTGAATGGTAAATGCAAGGACTAATTTTCAGAATAATTTATTCAAATCCTTTCCACTATATTATGAAAGCATAGATCTTGGCATTTCCTTTGTGTTACATAAAGATGTCTTTTATTTTTGAAATATAAGAATTTTCAGTTACTAAATTTTATTTCCCTTGCAAAAAGTTGCTATTTCCTTTTAGTATATGTGTTTTTTAATATTGAGTGGTTGTAGAATATTGTTAAGCAATTGTTTGTGAGTTCTCTCAACATTCATAGGAAAAGAGCAGCAAAAATTGTATCCAAAAGACTTGATGACTTCAAGGAAAAATTTCAGCCTCAGATTGGAAAAGTCCTTGATCCGTAAGTAAGCAAGGATACCTTCCAAGAAAAAAAAATTATACACACTTTCCAAGCCACCAGTTTCTTTTTCTGTCTTAGATAAGCAATATAAATTTGTGTTCTAAGTTTCTACTGTAGTGCTTAATTTCAAGGGACTCTGCCTGCCCTCGTTGTGAAAGTTAGAAATGGAGGCTGTGTTGTGGCTATATCATGAAGTGTTTATTTATTTAGCCTTTTGCTTTTAGGAAGATTTGAAAGAACTGAAATGTCTCATGTATTGTTTGGGAACAACCATTTTTCTTACTCTGACATTGGATTTGTTGATCTGTATTCAGTTGGATGTGAAACTGTAATATTATCTAGCAGCATGTACTTAATCATATTGTTACAGTGCTTCATGAACCTCGGGTGATTTCCAACAACTGTTTTAGTTCTCAAAACAGTGCTTATGGTGAACTATGGTAGTCTTATGGCATGGCATGGTCAGGATCCAGCTGTGCTACTAAACTGGTGTTGCTGAATGCAAAGATTGTCTTTGCAGATGCTTAATATTTCTTTACAACTCTCTGGGGACCCAGAACATTATTAACTTTGGTACCAAATTTAATTTTGCATTCAAAATCACAGGCTCAAAGTGATTCTGATGGGTTATGCTGATAGTTCCTATTGGGAGTGAGCATGTTTCCCTTTCTGTAGGGAGAGCCGGTTTATCTTCTATCTTTTTCTATCCGTACTGTGAATGAGACTTAAATTGTGAGCAGTATGAGGCAGTGTGATCAGTCAGGGAATACGGGTTGCTGTACAAGCTCAAATCCAGCATTAATACTACAGGAAAGGTATAACCTAACAACATTTAATCATATTTGTATTATGAATAGAAGAAAAATGCACCATAGTATTTCAATCACCATGCTTCCATCTCTGTAGTTATGTGTTTTTTGTTTGTTGTTGTTGTTTTCAACAACAAGCAAGCACTGCTTCTCTTTTCAATTTTGACAGAGACTTCTAATTCATGTAACAAAATTTTAATTATTAGACATGAAGACAAAATGGACATTACATCTTCTTCAAATGAAGAAATAAGTTCTTAGAGTCATCAACATCATCTTAATTTTCAATTAAAAACATCGGGTCAGGTTTTCTAGATGGATATTTGCTTGGTTGCTATACTTTGTAGAAAACATTACATGTGAAAAAGCAGATGTAAATAAATCTTTCTATTGTTGTCAGAAGTAGTTTATTATGGTGACATTTTTTCAGATGGAGATCTGGTTTGTCATAAACATTAGTAATATCTGTCAGGTATGCTATAAAGCATTTCTCACTCTTCAATTTCTATTTTTATAGAAAAACAGTTTAACATTGAGATGCTTTTTCCTATTACCTTTTTGAACACACGTAATTATTAATGTTTACATTTAGTTCTGTTTAACAGTCAATTTTCTAAATGTCTATAGCAGGATGCTTTTTTGCAATTATAACTTCAAAGCAGTGTACTAATGAAAAAAATCCAAGTTAACTATGTATATAATTCCTAGTTATATAACAGGTGAGCATGCTTCTTTAATGATAGCTTACGGTTTATTTTAGCCACTAATAAACTATTTGACTAATAACAAAGAAATGTGCATATTGACAGCATAGCAGAAACAATGAATGTTCCTGCAGACCATACCTTTGGAATGTTACTCCGTCCAGATGAATATGGTAAGTGTTACAGTGGCAGAATAAAATCTTAACTTGTTGATGAAACTATGCTGAAGTAATATAGTATATAATTTTGGAGGGGCAATTTGAGAAGAAATGAAGTAACTTTTTATTTTTTATTTTTTTATTAGTTAATATTTTTTTAAGCTTTTGTTTGTGAGGCAGGAGGAGGAGAGTGTGAGAAACTCAAATTGACATCTAAGTGATAAACAAAAAATGGATATTTGCATCAATTATGTGTCTTTCCTCACAATGATTTTTCCAGTACATTTTCACAAGAGTGAAAATAACAAACAATAATTGAGGAAAAATAGGCATGTATAGACATTGGTAGAGAGACAGAAAATGGAATGAGGGAAAAAAAAGATTAATTTTCACTGTGGCAAAATTTTGAAAGCTGCTGAACTCAACAGTTGTTAGAATTTCTGATATTTTGGTATAATTATTAATGATTTGAAAACTGCAGCAAAGGAAATACAATGCAGAATGACAGCAAAAATTAATTTTTAACATATAGAAAATAGTGCATATACATTCCTGTTTGAATGGGGTTAGGTGGACTACACTTATTTGTTAACTGGACTCTGAACTTCTTCCACTCCATATTGCCTTCAGTGTTTTAATGGGGACTTGGATGAAAATTGTAGATCAGTGTGTCAGAGTGTTTGAAAATGCTAACGGTGTTAAGATACATAGAAAATTGGAAGAATTACACAAGAATAGTGCCAAGAACAGTCTTGTATTTTAGAAATCAGTGATATTGAAGCCCTTGAAGATATTACATTGAATTTTCTACTGGTTCTTGTGATTATCCTGAAACATGACAAGCTGGTAGTGATGTATTAACAATGTATGTTATTTTGTTCTCAACTATTTGGATATTAATAATTCCTACTATATTAAGCTATAAAGATGTTTCAAAATATTCAGTATTAACTGCATGTCAGTAGTGAAATCGTGTGGACCATTTGATCTTTTAATGAGATGGCCTTATCAGATATTCTGCACTGATTAAAATCAGCATCTTGAAATTAAAATTCTTCTACTCTAGACTCTAAGTCATTTTTTAAAATGTCTATTTTCTATATATGTGTAACTAATTAAGGAAGTGTTTACTTTTATAGGCGTTGGAGATCTTCTTCACTGTAGGGTTCCAAGTGAGTTCCTCCGTGGCAAAGACAGAGAGAGAGCTGTCTTAGCTGCAGTTAGGCAATGTTTGAAGAAAGCTAACTATGAAAATTTTGACATGTTACTAGAAGCATTCAGGCATTATGATAAGGTTAGTGTTTTGGAAAAAATAAAGTAAGTGCATTGTGTATCATTAGTACTTCTGTGTTATAGAGGTGCAAACATGAATAATAATAATAATAACAAAGCAAATATAAAAGAAGAATATGAAGACAAGATAGCTTAGTTACAGAATGTTTAACGTAGTGTGACATGCTACCGGACTAAATAATTAATAAATGTAAATCTATGTTAAAAGTTGTGTTGTAACAGACACAGAGCATGTATTTCATTTTGTTGTTGTTGTTGTTATGTATGCATCCTTTTGTATCTTTTTGCTTTTATGACTTTTTTTTTCTTCTTACTTCTCGTCCTCTGAGATTACAGGAGATTGCAGAGAATACCTTTGTTAATCATACACATTTCTATTATCAGCCAAAATCTGCACCCCTACTGTTGCATTTAAAAACCCAAACAAACAACTATATAAAAGCCAATCAAAAAGAAACAACCTAACAACCCAGACCTAAAAACCAAATGAAAACTTCTGGAAAGTTATAGTTGCTGTACTGGCCCTATGCTTAACATGAAATCATAGGCACTGTCTGGCAGATCACTATACAGGCTGGATCATATACTACAGTTGGATCTCCTAAAGAAAACAGTCTTCTAAAAACTAGCTTCTCAAATTGCCACTTATCAAAATAGATACTACAACAATCTTACCCAGTAGTATTTGGAGATTCCAAGATAAAGGCAAACAAGGGAGAAAAGTAAGAAAGAACAACCTTGCCAATTTTTTTTTCTCCTCAAAATTTATTTTTATATCATCTCAGAAGAAAAATGATTGAAGGAATTTTATTCATATTTTCTTCCAAACTGTAATTCTTTACTGCATTGCCAAGCACCAGAATTTCAAATCTCTCTTTTTTTTTTTTCCTGTGGATAAAAAATATTATTTCTATTTCATACATAACATTAATGATAGTGTATGCAAAATGTGTGATGCCTGACTTTCAAAGGAAATCTTGGTTTTCCTTTAAAATTTGTGATTAGATTGCTATTTTGTCATAGTAGCTTATTTTACTGACTTTTAATCTGAAGTCACTGAAGTATTATTTGGGTAAAAAATTATTCATTATTACTCTTGCATTCAGATTCCAAATTTCTAATTTACTTGTGGATTTTTTTGTGTGTGTTCTTTTGAAATGGTGTGGCTATATATATACATGTATGTACACACATATGTTAGAGTATTTTTATAACAGTTGTTATAACAACTATTTTATTTATAATAGAATGGTGATGGGATGATAGACAAAAACGACCTGAGGAAGTCCTGTTTTCAACTTAATCTGAATCTAGACAGTGAGCTCTTGGATTCCTTATTTGACTATTGTGATGTGGATAAAGACGGTCTCATTAACTATCAGGAATTTGCAAACTTTCTGAATTGGAAAGACAAAATGGCTGTAGAAGAATTTGAAGAAAAAGTAATCACGAAAGGTAGGTGAATTAATACTGAGAGATTATGTAGTTGAGCTTGTTACTATGACAGCAAAAATCTTTCTGAAGTAGACTAGGTTCCATTAGAAGAGCAGGATTTACAGAGTGCATATAGCCCTTTCATGCCAAACAGTGTTGGCCAGTGATAGCAGAGAGACATATACAAATTACAGAAACCTGGAGTTGTTTTCATAAAATCATAGAATAGTTTAGGTCAGAAGGAACCTTTAAGATCATCTAGTTCCAAACACCCTGCTATAGGCAGGGTGTCCCTCTAGACCAGGTTGCTCAAAGGCCCAACCAGCCTGGCCTTAAATCCTTCCAGGGAGGGGCATCCACAACCTCACTGGGCAACCAGTTCTGGTGTCTCACCATCCTCACAGTAAAGAATTTCATCCTAATATCTGGTCTAAATTTACTCTCTCCCAGTTTAAAACTATTTCCCCTCATTCTATTGCTACCTGCCCTTATAAAATGTTCCTCCCCAACTTTCCTGCAGGCCCCCTTCAGATACAGGAAGGCTGCTATAAGGTCTCCTCAGAGCCTTCTCTTCTCCACACTGAAGAGCCCCAGCTCTCTCAGCCTGTCCTCATAGGGGAGGTGCTCCAGCTCTCTGATCATCTTTGTGGCCCTCCACTGGACCTACTCCCAACAACTCCATATCCTACTTGTGTTGGGGGCCCAGAACTGCAGTTAGTAATGGAGGTGGTGTCTCGTGAGAGCAGAGTAGAGGGGCAGAATCTCCTTCCTCGACCTGCTGGTCACACTTCTCTTGATGCAGCCCAGGAAATGATTCGCCTTCTGGGCTGCAGGTGCATATTGCCAGCTCCTGTTGTCTCTCTTATCAGTTGACACTCTCAAATCATTTTCCTCAGGGCTATTCTCAAGCCATTCTCCACCTAGCCTGTATCTGTGCTTGGGATTGCCCCAACCCAGATGCAGGACATTGCACTTGGCCTTGCTGAACTTCATAAGGCTGGGCCCATCTCTCTAAGCCTGCCCAGGATAGCATCCTTTCTCTCTAGTGTGTCAGCTGCACCACTCAGCTTGGAGTTGTCTGCAAACTTGCTGAGGGTGCACTTGATCCCACTGTCCATGTCATCTACAAAGTTGTTCAATAACTCCAGTCCCAACAGTGATCCCTGAGGAATGCCACTCATCACTCATAACCACTTGAGCCATTGATCACAACTCTCTGAGTGTGACCATCCAGCCAATTCCTTAACCTTCAAGTGGTCCATCCATTAAATCCATTTTTCTCCAACAAGGATGTCATGCAGGACAGTGTCAAATGCTTTGTACAAGTCCAGGTAGATGTCATCGGTTGTTCTTCCTTGTAACTCCATCATAAAAGGCCACCAAGCTTATCAGGCAGGTCTTACCCTTAGTGAAGCCACCAATCACCTCATCTTTATTTTCCATTTGCCTTAGTAGGGCCTTCAGGAGGATCTGCTCCATGATCTTGCCAGGCACAGAGGTAAGACCTATGGCCTGTAGTTCCCTGGATCTTCTTTTTTTCCCTTTATGTTTCCTTTTTTCAATCAGTGGGAACTTCACCAGACTACCATGACCTTTCAAATATGGTGGACAGCTGCTTGGCAATTTCATCCACCAGTTCCCTTGGAACTTGGGGATGGATCCCATCAGGTCTGATGGATTTGTGAATCTTCAGATTTTGTGTTTAGAGATTGTCTCATAAATCAGGAGGAAGTAAAAATTTCCTAGAATCATTATAAAGTATATGAATTGTTTATCTTATGTTATCTACTTTATAAATTCCGAGAAGTTCAAGCAACTTTTAAAAATCTCTTATAACATGCTGATAATAAATCCTGGCTATTCTGTAACTTCACTTTAACAGGGAAAAAACTAGATGTTCTTCCTCAGTCTGACACAAAGACAGATGATGAGCCACTGTTGAAGCAAGAAGATCTTGTATTAAAAGAAGCAGGAAGCTCAGGAAAGACACCAAAAACGCTTACAAGACCAACAGACAGTGTATTTGCAGACTATCAAACAACTTCTTCCCAGTATAATGCTGTTGTAGGTGGTCTTCCAACAAACTGTAAGTTCAGTGGACTGTATGTCACATTTCTAAGCGTTAAGAAAAAAATCAGGAGTAAGTTTGAAAACTATTGCTGCAGATAGTGCTAATGTTCAATAGTGAATTAATATATCTAATCTAGATTTGTTTAGGATTGTGGCTTGGAATTTATCAGTTTGAATATTTAGCATAGATAATCTGTAGAAAATTTGAAATTTGGTCTAGATGTACAAAACATTTGACGCTGTTCCACACAACATCCTTGACAATTAGGTCAATTGCTCAAAGTCCAGGTGGAGACCAGTGACTGCTTGTCTATCTTTGGAGGGTGGTATTGGGACTGACATTTTTTAACATCTTTGTCAGTTACATGGACAGTAGGGTTGAGTACACTCTCAGCAAGTTTGCAGCCAGCACCAAACTGCATGGTGTAGTTGCATGCTGGAGAGAAGGGATGCCATCTAGAGGGACCTTGACAGGCTTGAGAAGTGAGCACATATGAATCTCATGTACTTAAACAAGGCCAAGCGTAGCATCTTGCACCTGAGTCAGGGCAATTCTGAGTGCAAATATAGACTGGATGATTAATAGAATGAGAATAGCCCTGAGAGAAAGGACTTGAGAGTGTCAGTGTATGAAAAACTGAATGTGAGCCATCAATGTACACTTGCAGCCCGGAAAAATCACCGTATCCTGGGCTGCATCAAAAGAAGAGTGACCATCAGACCTAGGGAGCAAATTCATCCCCTCTCGTCTCATGAGTTCATACCTGAAGCATTGTATTCAGCTCTGGAGATTCCTGCATAAGAAAGACACAAAACTGTTAGATCTATTTCTAGCACCAGTGAGGATGATCAGAGGACCTGAAGATATTTTCTATGAAGATAGGCTAAGAGATTTGGCAGAGAAAGCTCTGGGGAAACTTTATAGTTGCTTTCCAGCATTAAAAAGGGGCCTAGAGGAAAGCTGGGGAGAGTCTTTATCAGAGAATTAGTAGTGGGACAATGACTAATACTTTTAAACTAAAAGAGGGTAGATTTAGATTAGACGTTAGGAAGAAATTATTCACTGTGAGTGTGGCAGGACTCTGGAACAGACTGCCCAGAGAAGCTGTGTATGTCCCATTCTTGTAAGTGTTCAAAGCTGGGCTGGCTAGGGCTTTGGGCATCCTGGTCTAGAGGAAGGCATACCTATCCATGACAGTGGAGTTAGAACTAGGTGATCTTTAAGGTTCTTTTCAACTCAAATCATTTTATGTTTTTGAGAAATTAAGGTTGTAATTATAGGAAGACAAGATCATCTTAGAATCATCTAAAAATGTTTTTAGAAGAAAGTGCTCAGAAGTTACTAAAATATTTCCCATTTTCATGTGTCATTAGATAGCTGGAAGTAAGAATTTGGAAGTAAGAATTTTACAAATAGTAAAGATGAGGGGGAAAATTATATAAACTCTTGAAGCTATATGAGACAAAGGATCAAAATTGCTCTAATTCAATGCAAAATATTTTATTCTCCCTAGGAGTATCTTTACATACTTTTCCATATTACCATTGATTTTTTTTTTCCACAGATTATCCAGTATGTGGCGTTCCAACTATTCGTTCAGATATTCCAGCTCCTCGAATTCGCCGCATTAGTGACAGAACTAATTATGGTGATGAGGCCAATGCTTATGCATTATTGTTCCCTTCTGTCTTCAGTCAAAAGGGAGTGTATGAAGGAGACTTCTTTAAATCAAGACCAAAGGCAGAGGTACAGTACATTTTTTCCAGAACTTTCTTTCTAGATAAATGCAATTGCCTTGACCCATGGGGAAGCAGAAAGTTGTATAGGTTGTAAAATTCATTATTTTGACATTACCATTCTTTAATATCCATTCAGACATCTGAAAAATATATGCTCTTCACATTCAAAGTTATCCATAAGATGGTAAATACTTACTGAAGTCGTATCTCAATGAAATGCGAAATATAAGGAAGTATGTCAGGTTCTTGCTGCTCACATGCTCAAATGCGGTGTTGAATAATGCTTGGTAGATAATTTAGGGCTTCAGAGTCTGTCTTTCAGCATTTCTGTAATGTGAGAAGAGCAGAGGAGGAACAACCTCATGCATCAGGTTAGGGGCTGACCTAAAGTAAAGGAGCTCTGTGGAGAAGGACCTGGGTGTCCTGGTAGACAGTGGGTTGGTGATGAGCTACTGGTGTGCCCTTGTGGATCAGAAACACAATGGTATCTTGATGTGTGTTAGAAAGAGCTTGGCCAGCACGTCAAGGGAGGTGATCCTCCTCCTCTACTCTGCCTTGGTGAGGCCACATAGAATCATAGAATCATCTGAGTTGGAAGGGACCTTTAAAAGTCATTTAGTCCAACTCCCCTACAATGAAGAGGGACTTCTACAGCAAGATCCAGTTGCTCAGAGCCCTGCCCAGCCTGACCTTGAATGTCTTAAGGATGGGACATCCACCACCTTTCTGGACACCCTACTGCAGTGCTTCACTACACTTATCATAGAAAAACTTTTGTATATCCAATCTAAATATCCACTCTTATAGTATGAAACCATTTCCCCTTGTCTGACCACAATAGAGCCTCCTAAAGAGTCTGTATCCTTCTTTCTTAAAGCCCCCTTTTTGATACCGAAAGGCTGCTATGATGTCTCCCCAGAGCCTTCTCTTCTTCAGGCTGAAGAGCCCCAGCTCTCTCAGCCTCTCTTCACAGGGGAGGTGTTCCATCTCTTGGATCTGGAGTACTGCATCCAGTTCTGGGTTCTCCAGTTTAAGAAAGACTACTGGAGAGAGTCCAGTGAAGGGCCATGAAATGTTTAGGGGTGTGGAGCAGCTTGCTTATGAGGAAAGGCTGAGAGACTTGGGCCAGTTCAACCTGGGGAAGAGAAGACAGAGGGAATTTTATTAATACTTGTAAATAACTGAAGGGTGGGTGGCAAGAGGCTGGGACTAAGTTTTTTTTCAGTGGTCTCTAGTGATGGGACAAGGATCAACAGGAACAAACTGGAACACAGGAAATTCCATGTGAACATGAGGAAAAATGTCTTTACTTTGAGTGTGGCAGAGCACTGGAACAAGCTTGTGGAGTCTCCTCTGGAGATACTCAAAACCTGCCTTCACACTTGCCTGTGCTGCTTACTCTAGTGAATGTGTTTTAGCAGAGCAGTTGAACAAGATGATCTCTAGAGGTCCTTTCTAACCCCTATGATCCAGTGATTCTGTAATTCAGAACAGATGTGAAATTTCCATCTTTGGATGTATTCAAATTCTGAGCCACATCCTAAGGAACATGGTTTATGGTGAATTTAGCTCTGCTTTGATTGTATGATTAGATGGATTATCTCCAGAGATCTCTTCCATGTAAATTAGTAGTAGATAGAATTATATAAAAATAAATATATAAATAGGGTTTTTGTTGTTGTTTTGTTTTCCTAGAGAAAGAATTTTACAGATGTGTAAAACTAGTTTCTATCACACAGGAACTTTCAGTAAATATTTTAGCCAGATTGTCTTTCTTTGAACTGCCAGGTTTTGCTAATAGCAATTTACAAGCATTTTTCAGCTGATATCTTTGGGGGCTGCTACCACTCTTGTTTTGCAACCCTAAGTTTATCCAGCATAAATGCTAAAACAATGTTGCCCCTTGCTCGATGTTGCTTATGGTTTTTCTATTTTATTTCTCAGCATTTTCTAATGAAAAAGAGATCACTTCATTATTGAAATATGATTTATGAGTCAACGATAGGAAAATATGAAATTTTAATCTGAAATGGAAAAAGAAACATTAACTGTCCATCTCTCCTAGTCATTTTATTAGATAAATATCCAGTCATATGAAAGTACATCTGGAACTTGTGTATATATTTTGCAGAAAAAGGTGTTGCTAATTAGTGGTGGGATGTAAAAGATATAGTGTCATGTTCCATGAATATCCTTAAAATAGTTTGTCAGAATGTCATATACATGAGAATTTATCATTTTGTAACGTAGGTCTCAAGCAGGAAATCCACGTGTGCAGAGTATAGCTAACAGTAAATAGAATTTGTGCTTCATTGAGAAATCTATTATACCTGTCAAGCACCAGATAGATCTCTGAAGTTATAATGTGGCCTGAGATGTCATCCTCCATCGTAGACTATACAGGTTATACGGAGTACAGAACAGAACTATCTCTGAGTGCATTAAATCATCCAATACTCATGAAATAGATTGCTTCAGTGTTGGTGATGTTCTTTTGATTTATATTGGCATGGATCATTAATATCTTGAAACATTTAGTAGCTAACTAAATTATTACATGAAAACCTAGAGTTGTGTCATAATATCAGTTTGTGAATAGGCCTCTACTAATTAATGACAATTTTGACTTTGAAACAGTTTTGTAATGTGATGCTTCCTGTTACAAAAGAACAAAGCGTTTCTAAACCTGCTGTTTTCTTCAGTAGAATTTAATAGTCTGTAAAAAAGAATTTAATTTACTTGGCTGAATTATAGCATGTAATTGATATTCAATATGATCATGTTGATAGTCGGTAAGAGCCAGATTAAACCATGTGTGCATTTGATAATGTATGGTTTAGTCAGTGATTTTTTTATGGCTGCTGATGAGTCAGGACACAATTGTATTTTAATAAGTTAGAATTGATAAAGAAAGTTATGAGAACTTCTAGTTATTTATCCTCCGCAGAGTACTATTTGTATTTGATTTTTCAACATTAAAGTTATTTAAACTTTATTAAAACAGTTTTGTATACCACTGTTTTCATCAATATAGGATTCCATTTCACTGAAGTGGGAACTTCATGGGTTAATGATCCAGGATGTGGATTGCTAATGTATGTGAAAACTAGACTTTACAGTTTAAAGAAATTGCCAATCAGAATTACTTGAGTTATATTGTTTTGTAGGTAGCAGAAATTCTTCACAACATTGGTGTGAACATTTCAGATGAAAGATTTGAAGACATATGGAAACAAGCCTGTATGAAACAACAAACAGAAGAGGTTTGTGTAGAAAGTATCAGAAATATACTGGATGAGATGCACGCATCACACACAAAAGATAGTTACTAAATCCAGTCTTTGAGCTCTGCATTTATTTAAATTGACATCAGTCATAAATCTGGTGCTTAATATAATAAATATATTTTTTGAAAGATGTGCTTTTGTAACTGCAATTCACTGTTTCTAGTCTTTCTGCATAGTGCTTTCACCACGGGTCTATATGATTCTTTCTGCCATCATTATGGGTAGTATCCATGGGAAGACAAAAGGCTGCAGCGCTCTTACATTATTTATTTTCTCATTTTATTTTTTTTCTCTTGAACTATAACTCATAATACTTTAGGAATAGA